GCTAGAGTATTGCTTATCTTAATTTCTTTTTTCTTTTAAATTGATATCTTTGTCCAATATGCTTACTTATCATTGCTTTTTTAGCTAAATCACAATTTGTAAGACTTTATAGATGTAAAGCAAAAAATTAAAAAACAGCCCAAGTGTATTTCATGCCTGATTTTTACTTAAATTTCAGTGGTAACTTAATATTTTTGGTGGATTCTGATAAGAATCCCAAAATTTTAACCAACTTATAGAAATGTATAACACTGGGCACTTCACATTATTATTAGTATTTTTGTCCTTTGACATATTTAATGCCTTTTGCAACTTAGTAACAGCAGTAAGCCTTGTTTTTCAGTTATTTGCCCTTTGGTGGAGGACCGCGAAAATGTGTAGGGGACATGTTTGCTACATTTGAGGTAACTTATTGTTGGATGCTAATTCACTGTCATAATTCTGGGATCTGGGGATGCTCGTTACTGAACTATTTGGCTTTCTGCTATAAGACTAACCTTTAGTCATGCTAATTTACAGACTGTTGTTGCTGTTGCAATGCTTGTTCGAAGATTCAACTTTCAAATCGCTCTTGGAGCACCTCCAGTGAGTTATATACTATTATATGTTTTTTTTTTTACTTTTGTTATACCAGAGATGGAAATGGATAATTTTGTGATATTCAATATTTTACTGAATGCAGGTTAAAATGACAACAGGAGCAACGATTCACACAACTGAAGGATTGAAGATGACAATCACAAGAAGAACAAAACCTCCTATAATACCAAATCTAGATATGCCAGCAGTGAAAGTGGATGCACCTGTAAATGTTTCCGGCGGGGAACCTCAGGTTGGTCAGAAAGGTGAAGTTTCTCCTGCTCATTCCTGATTGTAGTTCAACAGTACATCCATTAATGATAGGTAAACAATTACAAAATGACTAAACAAAGAAGAAAAAGAAAATACAAAACAATCAAAGGTGTTCCATTTATGATTATCTTCTATCTTTCAGTTCGTTTTGTCAGGTTCTCCAAAGTCGTCTGAACTCAATTCTTCTCCCTCTTTTACATAATTTTTGACAATTTCGTCTTCAATCTTAAATATAGCCATAGGACAATCAATCAAGTACAGCCATATCAACAAATTCAAGCCTTCAGATCGAACTCAGAAATTTGTGGTTCTTTAATATTTATTTATATATATTTTTTTTCCATTATTCTGGGATGACGATCTTGATTCTGAATGGCGGAGGGCTTGAGGAATTGGGAGACGGTGGACATATTAAGGAGTGCATCGAATTGTTTAAGGTGTTGTCCAACGACAGGTCGTAAAGTCCCTCGATGGTCCAATAGAATAGCCATCGGTTATTTGTAAATTGTATCCAAACTACGATAGGGTAAAAAAGTAAATTGCATCAAACTGAATAAATCATAATTTTTTATAATAAAAAAAAAAAAATCAAATTAGATCGGATTCATAATGAAATTAAATCAAATTGAACCTATAGGTGGTACATCAAAATTTTCCAATTTTGTGATATAATTCAAATTGATCCAATTTGAATTAAAACTTCAATAAAAATAATCAACCCAGTCCAAAATAATTGAAAAACCAACAATTTTCAATAGACCGAATCGAATTTTTGAATTAAGACCATCGGGTTGGAGTTTTGAATAGTGCTTACCCACGCTTGGCGGCTCAAATAACTGTCAGGGCAGTCGTCGAATCGAACCACATTTCCTTAGGTCATCCAGCTTCTCATATGTTGTTGAACATGAACATTAACAATTTCGCACATTTTCCGGAGAAAAAAACGCGGATTTCTTGCAGTAGCATAAAAAATATAAAAACAGAAAACCCCTATCAAATGTATGAAGCTTTTAAGTTGTCCGATTCAATTCGTATCCCCCAGATCCTGGGGAAATGTTTCTCGATTTTCAATTAATCCTATTTCCAATTTGCAATTAGTACGCAGGAACCGCAGAAAAAATGGAAATTAGTACGCAGGAGCCCCAAAGAGTCTTACCTCGGGTGCTTTGTCAGTACGGAAAGATGAAGCAAAGCGACGTTGTTTCAACACAGTATCCTCTTTCTCAGATATAATATATATGGCTATTTCATCATTGTTCAGAACAACAATATAAAAGATCGTTACAACATTTTCCATAGTAACCTCTTATCGCCATTGTCAAAATAAACCTCCATTGCCGCTTGTGTAGTTAATATATCACGTGTAAAAGCCAAAGCCAGAAAACCAACTAGAATTCCTAAGTATGAAAATTCCTGTAGTTTGTGTCAATTGCTGCAACCAAAACATCTTCTCATGGAAGAAAATTTCTTACGTGCATGCTTGGGCTCAGGTACTTCCGATCCCAACATTTTGCGAGGATAATGTTTATAGAAAGCCTTTACTGCACCTTTTACTCCATCCTCATTCTCCATGGCCTTGGCCAATTCAATAGCGCGCTGCTTCACCTGCATTGAGCCATCAAGGGACGCAATCACATTGTTCTATCATTAATAAAAAGATAAAACTTGAATATCAAAGCTGACTTCGACAGGAAATTCATGCCTACCTCAGGATCTAGCATGAAGCGTATTGCATCAACCAATTTTTCAAGTGAAAACTCATCAACTGGGATAGGTGCTGGACCCACTCCTCGTGCATGAACCCTCTCTCCCCAGAAAGGCTGATCCCCGAAGAATGGTACGATGGTTGTAGGACACTGTTGCAGAAATCATCACCAACCATAAGTTTGTATGTGATTTATTTACAAGAACATTTGTTGTCAAGAAAAGAGCATCAATTTACCGCAGCTCTAAGGCCAGCAGCTGTGGTTCCAGCACCCCCGTGATGCACCTGAAAAGAAAAGGTTCCAAGATTATGTAACCAAAGAGCTTAAAATGAAAGAAAAAAAACAATCTCTCAGTTGCAGTAGCTTAAAATACATTTACTAAATCGACAAGGGAATCAGAAAAACCAACAATTTGCTTAAAATTCAATGTGAAAGAGTGGTGTGAAGTGAACAAATTTTAACCATGAATTCAATTCTAACGCTATATATATTACTTCAACTAAACTAAAATAACCGAACAGAGAAGCTTTACCACAGCCTTGCATCTTGAGAACAGCCAGTCATGAGGGCAGTTGTCCAATAAATACACAAACTCCTTCGGTTCTGCCACTGAAAGGAAATAAATAAGTATACGCTATGGAAATTCAAAGCTTAAACATCCATTAGATATCATAACTATCAGATGCTTACATATAAGACTTACAATTGCCAAGACCACCCCAGCCCTTGTTAACTATGCCCCTTTGACCAGTCTCTTCCAAAGCTTTAACTATAATCTGGGTCATCTTCTCTGGTTCTTCAAGAGGCTGTAGCAAATTTGAGATAAATGACTAAATCAAATAAGAAAAGTTGATACGCATGTGTGTGTATATATATATATATGTATATAGTTGGAAATGCAAGAGAATTCGGAAATACAAACATCAAAATTCAAAGGAATAGCCGATGAGGAAATGAATTAGATTGTAGCTTTAAGAGTATTAAGGTGCAAGCATTCTCCCTGTTACACGACTGGACTAGTTACTAAGTCTATATTAGAATTTCCTGATTGCTCCATTTAATTAAGGAACCACAGCCAGTCAAATCTTCACAAAAGTATGATATTTCAAAAGCCATAAATGAGGCAGAGGATAGGGGGCTCCTCCCAATACAAAGTATATCACTCAAATGACTGGTTTATGTGCAATGATTTATTATCTTTATCACTCAAAATATACAGAAGCATAAATAAGTACACACTTCAGATGATGAACCTAGGGCTAAATGTTGTCAAGTTTTATACCATTTTTCCACCTTCACAATTATCAATTTATTTTGCCATGTTCAGTCCGCCAATTACCCATTCTCATCCAGATTATCCTCTGCTTTATGATAAGTACTTATCAACAAATGAACAGCAAAAGAAAAAAAGGGAATCCCAGTAATAGCTCATTGCGTTTAATAATTTTTGTTTTTTTTGGTTGTTAATTAAATAGATACAAAACCTAGTTCACATAATAGGGGGAAGAAACTCACAAGGCTACCAAAACCAATATAGATAGGTGGATCACGACCTTCTAGCCATGTCAGAAGTGAATCTGGAGGTTCATAATTTGATGCAAGGTCAAGGAAGCAAAACCCAACAACATCAATTTTTGGTCCCCAGTCTGCAAAAGGTAGAGAAAAAATATCCTCCAAGAAGTAAGAAACAACAAAATAAATAAGTAAACAGAAACCTGTATAATCTTTCATAGGACTACCCTTAAAGATCAAACCTATCGCAATAGGAAATAGCTTCAATGCATAATATAATTCTAGGGAATTCTCAAGTTATTAGCACAACTACACGACCTTTTGGTTTGGGAACAAGGTGAGGACTCCATATATATCCATAAGGCACATCAGAAGGAGAGCTATAATTTCCACTTAAATATGTGACAGGTCTCAACTTCAGTTGTTTCTTCCTAAACTCATTAATCATGTCTCGTATTCCAAGCCAAATCATTGCATCAACAATTTGATATGACAGCTGCAGCAATAGGATAATATTATTAAAATATGAAATTACTAGTCATACATTAGTTCACAAGAACCAAAGCAAATAAAATGAAAACGAAAAAAATAAAAATAATACTCACTTTATAAGCTACTGGCTGCTTAACACGAGACAGAGGATGCGGAAATTCACTAGTAGGCCTGACAAGGGTAATAAATATCACCTTGTAGTTCAATTTAAATCAGAAACATGTAGTCCATGTGCAGGAATAGATCAAATCAGGTCAAAAATAGCCACCTCAAATTAATTTCATTTCTCAAGGATAGGCGTAATGTAATAATTTAAAAAATAATTCATGCAATTGTAACACAGAACCTTTTCATCCAAAATTGTTGATAACATTGAGAATATCACAATAAAATAAGACTCACGTCCATGGCATCGTGAAGAATATATGAATTGGTACTTTTAGCTTCTCTGCGACATGTGTATGTCCTGTGCAATTATTTGCAAGTTAGATATGTAAAAACAAAGACAAGACAGTACAAACTCAAAAAGAGATGATTTTGAGTACAATAGCATATTAAACTCAGACTAAATTAAACCTCAATCTCAAACTATTTGGAGGTGGCTGTATGGATATAATTTCTCTTCCACTCAGTTTAGAATTACACCTTGAAAGATAGCGACATCAACTGAGTCCAAAATAATCCAACTCTATTTATTATTTTGCTGTGTTTCTAATGAGGATATATGCCAATACTTCTTACTTTCTTAGCGACTGCTCCAAGTAATTCTTTCGCTTGGTACCCGACAAGCAAATAATAAAAAATTTCTAAATATATATTAAAGTGTAAATGGACCTTGTTATAAAGTTCCTCAAGGAAATAAATAAAGATATTACATATAGCCAATAAGAAGTTTTCCAGTTAGAGTTTTAGAGAAAATTACAACTCTCAACATATCCACTCATCCTTTGATTTACCTCTCTTATCTTCTCACTCTAGGTTCTGAAATCTTATCTTCTAATGTTTCATACACTGATTTCATCATTCTAATCAATGAGAATCATTTTAAATCCACAGTTACATAAAAATAGAGCCAAACAAAAGGCACCTTTAGAGGAGATACTGAGTATCCAAAGGAGAAAAGAAAGGGAAAAGTCACAAGAATTAACCATATGCGGGAGGGTTGGCAATAATTGCTTCTGCTTTAAATGGAACATTTGTATCAGGATCAGGATCCTGGCATGCAGGAAGTAAAGAGAATATGATGTCTCTTATTTGATGCCTCTGAGTAGGTATTTCTGAAGGAACAGATGGCAAGAAACCTTTATTCTTGACCATATCTGCAGAAAACAAAATAAGTTGTAACTGTTTTTAGCACATTCAAGAAGGGTAAAGATTAAAGGTTTGTATTCTCGATCAAATTGTTAAAAGTCATTCAACTTTCTTGCAGTACATAACAGAAGAATCAGATAAAAGTTGGGGAACATAAGAAAACGTTGTAGAAAGAAAAATATGAAGACTCACAGCCAGCAAGAACTTTTGGATCTCCACCTAGAGGAAAAAATTCCAATCCAGCAGTCAATACAAAATCTTTGAAATTTGAGTGAGTTGCTAATCTAACCCTGTGACCATATTCCTGCAAGCAAGTGTTTATCTCCATCAGCTCAAATTGTTTATGCTTGATGTTATTAGGACATTTTCAGAATAAGAGAGACAGAGAAGTTTCAGAACATCATAACTCAGTAATTTAAGTTGTTAAGAAAAACATAAATCAGTAACAAGCATACAAGATGTTTTCAAAAAAGATGATGCTCGTGAAGAAAAAGAAAAAAAATAAGAAGAAGAGTTCTGATCATGTTGAGCCCAAATTTTCCACATCATTGGTGTGAACTATGACATTAGCAGCAATTTGAAACACCTCTGATTGCATTTTCATGTACCTATACTTGTTTCACATCTCCAACACGTCTTATTGAAGCATGTTTTAGTCCACCAAGAGGAGAATTCAAACTATAAAATTATGGGAGAATACAATAGATGAAAACCCATAAATAGAAGAACTGAATGTACCAGAATACTATTCAGTTGTAAAAGGTGAAGGAAAGCATAAAAGAATGAAGAAAAATGGTTAATACTGATGAGAGAATCATGCATCTCCTAGGGTTATCTCTCCTCTTATTATACTAGATTTCTTATCATAAATGCCTCAGACAGACAAAAAAAACTTAGCAGTGTCAATCACATGTACTCACAAGAAGTAGACATGCATTAGGCATGCTGCTCAATATTGGGGAATGAGTAGTTATGGAACTTTCTTAGAAGACTCTGCAAAACAATAGAATGAAAGTAAACCTGCAAACGTTTTCCAATGGCAATAAATGGTTGTACATCTCCTCGTGTTCCAACAATAAGCATAACTATTTGCAAGGGTGGTATATCTGGAAGCTCATCTGTATCACAGAATTCCTCATTAGTATACCCATTATGAATTGCAGGTACTATATCCAGAGTATGTGTCTTGATATCTCCGGGCACTTCTAATTGTACAGTTCCATCATCTTTGACATTTGCAAATCGATGAAGCAATTTGAGCTGCAATTTTTTATATTCAAAAGAGAAATTATTAAACATCCAGACAGTTAATTACAAGGGATAAGAACAAAAAAGGAAAGAAAGAAGTCAAAACATTATCAGTAAAGAATTCATAACATAACATGATCATATCAATTGAACCTAAAAACAAAATCTCTTCCAATAATTAAACTTATCGTGATGCTACACAACAATAAGTAAAATACTCCAACTTCAGAAATCTAGTAGCAAAAAAAAAGGTTACTTAGTGTAAACAAAATGCCAGACGCATATCTGTGGCACAGCCTCTGATTCACTGGAATTCATTAAAAATAACCGATAAGACAAATGGGTCCCTGTCCAAACAAATTGTTGACTTTCAATTAAGTGAAGAGTCCATCACAAAACTTACATCAATCACATTACACAAATACAACCAATTTCATATCCTCTGATTCAACTCAATTAACAATATAGACAAAACAAATAACAATTATTTAAATTTACCAAAGTAATTGTGCTATGATCAAACCTTCTTTCTAAAAGGAACTCTATCATCGAATAGTTTCGTTGCAAGTATTGCCAGTTTATAACTGTCACGATGTTGATGTTGACCGAATTTTCTTCGCTGGCTGGACCCTGGATCTGATTTTCCAGTAGTTTGTGCTTCATCAGGCATGCTATGTTGCGAGAAATTACTGTCAATAACCCCTGAGTGGAGCAGATAAAGAAATAAAATACCACATGGTTACTTGAACTAGCAAACTAACATGATAAATGTCACTGCACAAGAACAACTAAAAAGAAGCACCTACATATTTTAAAAACAATCAAAGAGAAGACATGTATGTACATAATTAACAATAACAATTCCGGGCACTTCTTAACTATCATCCACCTATCAGCATTTAGCTCTGCAAATTAAGAAATCTAATATTCTTGACAAATAAATATGATTAGAAATTTTGAATTCTTGGTTCTACATGCAAATCCGCTAAATTATGTTGACACGGGAAAATCATATATCTTACTGAACTTTCTAATTGTCTGTTGTTTAGTGCACATTTCGACGCCTTAAAACGGTAATGATCATTACTCTACATAATTAAACTAGTAGTTATTGTCATTCCTAGAGCGTCCGCTCACCAAAAAGTCCGAAACTTTTACAGGAATACAAGGAAGAAGAAAAAGGAGAAGAGAAGAAGATAAACCAGGAGAACAGGAGGTAATGCCATTTTCACCAGCGGTTTCAAAATTTCCGAAATCAACCGAAATGTCTGAAGAACTGTATCGATGATGATTATTATCCGGCAACTCTGCCATCTTGCTCTAATGAAAGAGAGACGGAGAGTGCAAATAAAGGTTCTAGAACAAGGGAAAGGAAAAGGAAGAGAGGAGAAATGGCGGCAGAATATTGGTATCCTATCCCCTCCCCCGTGGAAGACAGGTAGAGAGAGAGGATAGGTTTATAGAAGCAAATGGGAAAGGTATCTCTGTCTGTGTTGTTGTTTACTGTTTTTGAGGTTTTGGTTATCAGAAAAAAAAATATTAAGACCGAGAAGAGAAGGCAACAGTCGGTGGACGAAACAAGAATCGAAAAAAAAGCTACGAGACAGGCGCAGGAAAGGAAGCCAGACAGAGACAGAAAGAGAGGCGTTTTCTAAAAAAAAAAAAAAAAAAAAAAAAAAAAAAAAAAATGAAGGTTTTGGTTATCAGAAAAAAAAATATTAAGACCGAGAAGAGAAGGCAACAGTCGGTATGATCGAACAAAGCAATCGAAGAAAAAAGTACGAGACAGGCGCGGAAAAGGAAGCGCAGACAGAGACAGAAAGAGAGCGTTTCTAAAAAAAAAAAAAAAAAAAAGAAAAAAGAAAAAGAAAAAGGCCACTGGAACGACCGAGGGGCCGTTGGAAAACGTCCCTTGTTATCTTTATCTGTTTGTTATTGGTTAAAAGAATATAGAAAAAAAACAAATTCAATTTTATATATATAAAGCTCGTCGTTCGATCGTGTGTCACCTAGATCAATATTGATGACGAACAGACCCTTCCATAATTGGACCCTAAATCCGTTAAAAAAAAAAAAAAAAAAAAAGAAAAAGAAAAAGAAAAAGGCCACGTGGAACGACGAGGGGCCGTTGGAACACACGTCCTTTTACTTTTCTGTTTTATTGGTTAAGAAATAGAAAAAACAAATTCAGTTTTATATATATATCGTCGTTGCGATCTGTGTCACTAGATCAGATTGATACGACAACTTCATAACTGTTGGACCTATCGTTTTGATGTTCACCTCCAAATTAGGTGAACGATAACTTAACCGATTTGGTGTTATTGGTCTGTCGTGTAAGTACTCTTATGGTCCTAACTACACGTAATTTCCTTTAATGCTCCAACCATAAACTTTCCCAAAAAGCTTTACCTTTATTATTAAGTTAATTTTCTGTCAAATAGTAATGAATAAAAAATTTTCACAAATGATGAACATTTTCATAATAGGACTACAGATATAATTATTCAATTAAACACTCTTCTTCTTTAACCAATATTGAAAGTTCCACTATGGAATAAATATTCATTTATAACACTTTATCCTTTAGTGACTGACCGTGAGTAAAATCTAGTCTTTAACCCAACGGGCTGAGGATATATATTATTAATACTAAAAAAAATAATTAGCCTAGGCCGACTTGAACCCAAAGCTCGAGCCCATAACATCAAGAGATGTAGAAGAGTGGAGACCAAAGCTCCAGCCCAACCAGCCAACCCAAAGCGCTATCAAAATCATCAGTCCATCATCTATCATTCCATAGTCACGGACCTGACCTGACTGAGCGACACCCCCTGCTCCGTGTGGTTTCAGTTAAGTAGGACCCCACTTACCACTTTACTATTCATACATGGGACCCACTCAAGAAAACCATTAAACGATACTCCCTGACGTTGCAAACCGATGTCTGATTGTTTTTCCTAACGCTCATTCCTCGAGCGTGTAATTCAAAAATATCTGTGTCTGGTTGACATGGCGCAAAAAACAGTCCACTTACGTGCGGGTGTCCGTCACACCTTGCCAAATCATCTCCCTAGGTGGTAAAATTTCACACCTATAATCAATGTGTCTTCGCACGAGTGGTTTTACGCCTTCTTTTTTTAGGTGAGGTCGATAATTTTATCTTTATAAATAAAATATTTACTTTCTAAAAACACTTTATTCTTTTATAGACCGACTTAAAGCCGGTTATAATCTAATTATAGAGTTGACCCAAAACGATTAGGATGTAATTATAGCAAGCCGTAGCACCTATCTCAACTTTAATGCACATAGGGATGTAAACGAACCAAGTTCGAACTCGGTTAAAAAATTAACGAGTTTGAATATTTTAAGTTCATGATAAACTTGGGATCAGCTCGAGATTTGAGACTCCAGTAAATTTAAATAAACATTACATACACACACGTGTGTGTATATATATATTTATAAATTTGACAAATGTTCCATATGAATATCATTAAGTTCAAATTTATATTGGGCTTAATTTAAGTTGAATTTTTTTGAAATCGAGCTTGAAAAGCTTGTGCGCCAGCTGATTTATGCCCCCCTAAGCGCACATATAAGTTTTTGAAGAGATTGGAATTATTTCCCCATCCCTCCCTTGAATGTTGAGTGTTTAACGTAACTATAAGTAGGCTTTCGAAGTGACCAACTCATAGTGCTAGCGGGGCACCACTTGCCATGTGTTATTCCTTATCGAGAGGGCGAGCGAGCGAAGGAAAAGGTGGGCCAGAGTAGCAATGCAAGCCTTTCCTAGATAAATGACAGAGAGGGAGAGTGGAAAGAAACGTTTCATTCAGTCGCTGACAATTAAATGCTTCTCTCTCATTAGTAACGACAGAAACTAGCAAAAAGAAAAGCTCACAGTTACTTTAATTCTCTCTTTTCTTTTTGTAATTTTTTTATCACCATTTTTCTAGATAGAGTAAGAGAAGACGGAAGACAGAAGTGTTTTTGAAATTCTTTTCTTTTCGTTTGGAGAGTTAGGAGGAGAGAACCGATTCACCGGTGGCCACCGCTACGCTGTCGTTTTCGCTAAGCACCGTCACCGGCATTTTCTGGTTCGTTCATTCTTTATTAGTTTGTTTCTTAGTTTCAGTAGTCTTTGTCAGATATTCACTGACTATTTCATGAATGTATATCTATGTAGCTCTTTCGTTCTTGCTGTTTTTATTCTTTTATCTGTTTCCTTCTCTGATTGGAGAGGAATTTGAAAAAACAAAAAATCAATCTAAAGTGCTGATTAAACTGAAAAAAACAGCAGATCATAAAAGATTCCGTGAAAAGATAAATTCTCAGGAAGGAAGACTTGGCAGAGATTATCGGAAAAGTTTGTTATTTTACTTTCTTTTTTTGTTCACATTGCTCAAGTCTCTCTCTCTCTCTCTCTCTCTCTCTTTTTGGGTCCTTAATCACTTCTAGATTCATAGGTTAAAAATTGAATATTTACAGATGAACGTGAAATGAAAGTATGACTAATAGTGGACTCGGTTGTTTTGTTCACAAGTGAACAAAGTGAATTCTCTGAAATTTCTACCATTACAAGACTTATTTTCAGCATTGCAACTAGTTGCTTCAGTGACAGCTTGAATGCCTAGTAGCAAGGTTTATCTGACATACAAGCGAAAGCTGCCATCATCAAGAATTGGCATTGCCAGTGAAAAGGGTTATCATGATTCATTTTCTGAAAGACCAAGTGATACTTCTATGACTGGACCAGACAAGTGTGATAGGCTAAGTGAGGAGCATAAATCAGAAAACGAGCAAAAAATTTCACCGGTGAGTTTGCCTAGGATTGATAAGTTTTTTCTGTTGCTTTTAAATCAATTTCCTGAAATGCAGTTTGCTGTTAAAGGATTACAAGTTCTTTACTCACATAAGCTAATTATGGCCTTTACAAGGTATGCTTTCTACTAGCTGCTTCAAATGGCATGCAGAAAAAGGACCTTGATGATCCATATTAAGTTTCCGAAATATATTTTATTGTGACCATGCTATTAATAACATCCATTAGATTCTCTCTCCCCTCTCTCTTTTAATTTAATCAGATACTAACAAAAACAGAAACTTGAATTAAGCTGCTAAGCCTGCGTCATTTTCCTCTATTTATTTGATAAGTTCTTGTTTTAAGCTTGAAAATATTGATCAATGTATATATTATTAAATATTTAAAGTTTTTTAATTTCTGTGAAGATGTATTCTTCTTCTACTCTTGACAAATATCAATTTCTTTTTCCTTATCTCATGTCTTCTCTGTACACAATCCCAACTTTCATGCAGATATTTCCTGGATGTGTTATATGTGGCATCAGAGGCAACCTGCTGCGATGCAAAGACTGCCATCAACCTTATCATCATCAGTGTCTTGATAGGGCCCTCGAGGTATTAAATTTTACTGAGGAGAAAGAAGAAAAAAAATCTTGGCATTAGCTTTCAGTTAACAGCATAAATTTTCCTATTATCTAATGAAATATTCTCTTCCTCCTTCCCTTCCCTTCCCTTCTCTTTTCCTCTCCCCCATTCTTCCCTCTGTTTCTCATACATGCACAACCCATAGCCAAAGCATATGCTCAACAGGGAAAGACCGAGCTGCGGTTGTAAACTACAAGATTCTTCTGCACTTCAGCCACTGCAACAGCTAAGCAGACTGGAAGCGATGAAACCCGTTGAAGGATCTGATATGAAAATAATGACTGTCAGCTTCTCTAAATCATCTGTGAAAGGGAGTCCTGGTGAGGGCACCTCTGGAAAGTATATGAAGTCACCTCCTTATCTGGATATATCCATGAAAAGTATATCAACTCCTATGGAAGTTAGTCCTTGTTCAGCAACAAACATGGATTCTGAAGGGAAATTTATTTCTCAGTCAACTGGAATGAACACTGGAAAGAGATTTAGTAGCTCAAAATCAGCCACTGAAGGATGTCACGTCTCTGTATGTGATGCTGGTTCTTGTTTGCTGGAAGCGCCCAGCTTTGGAGGCACTAAATCATTCTTAAAAGGTAATTGCACTGACTGCCCTGGCAATTCACTTGGGCAAACTAAGTTGACTACTCCATTAATTACTTTTAGTCGAAGATGTAAAAGAAGAAAAGAAGATAATGAGGCTCATGTTAATAGTTCGTACCTTGGGGAGACTGCTGATAGTGCAGCATCTCTTAAACTTTGCTTGGGAGATAATTCAACAGCTTTGGGGCTACCTAGGGAGGATACAGATTCAAGGCATAAGTTTCATCAAAAACAAAAAATTGTATGTCAACTTCTTTTTCTGCAAAATTCCTTTTGTTTCTTGAACTGTTTTATGATACTGAATTGTCAAATCGTAAAGTTAATTAGTAATTCAACGTTGTTACGATGACTGTATTTTCAACCATTTCTTCACATGCATTTCATTGCTTTGAAAGGAGGGATAAAACTTGTTTTTGATTGATTAAACATACTAAAATGTCTGTTTATGTTGTTTTTGCATTCTGTGCTCAAATGCAAGTATGAAAAATCTACAGTGTAGTAGAACTGAATCACAACTTGGAAACTGTAATTTTCTTGGATGAGTTTGTGTGTACGTGGTCTTTTTAATTTCTTAACATGCATAGTAGTAGTAATGTGTACAAACTAATTGAATGATTCTCAGGCTTTTTGTTAGTTTGGGAAAAAAAATCCTTTATTAGGACTAAACACTATGTAGCAACTAGTAATGGAATAAACTCAGTGATGCTGTTTCCTCAGGTTTAACATGAAGTCTAGATACAACAAATCTAATCCTTTTGGTAGATGCTGGTTGTCTGTGTTTCATCGTTTAGGCGTTAATGTATGCTGAAACCTTCTTATAGGTTTCTCTCTATGGCTATCACTCACACATTTAGATGATATATTACAGATAAAGGGTGTTGATTCTGCATCCGTGCATGTAGGATCTGCTCTAGAAGCTAAGACGTAAGTGCAATGTTAACTTAAGTGAATTATTACTCAAATTGGAACTTGAGTTCTAAGTTTTAACAGATTGAATATTTTTGAAGCAGTTTGATATATGAGGGAGAACCATCTAATGTTTCTAAAAGCATGCATAAGGATGGACCGGCTATCAATGGACAAGGACAGATTGCAAAAGTTTCAATGGACACTGAAGAAGCGCTTCTAGACAATTTGCAGATCTCATTAAATGATGCTACTAAAGATCCATGTGAAGCCATAGTCGTAGACACCGAGTTGGAAAACACTAAATATCAAGACAAACCTGAAAATCTGTCAAGCGATGGTGGGAAATCAACAATCATTCCTGACTACAAAAAAGAAGGATTGCAACCTTATTTGGATCTGTCTGTTACTCCTGGTATATTTTGTTAACTTGTCTCTTAAAAATGCTAGACAAGGGCATAAGCTGGTACTTTCATCTTTTCATGTTCAAATTACAGTGCAATTTATCCAGTTTGCTCCTTTGTAGATTCCTGTGGTACATCGGACAATGATATCAATTTGGATTTGGAATGTCAAAAGGAGGCTGTTGATGCCACTTCAGAATCCCTTCGAGACTCAGTGGACTCGACAAGCAGAAGTCATGCCACTGTTTTAGATCAAGTGTCCCCTTGGGAATCATTGCAAGGCACGAGTAAGGGACTTGTAGAAGCTTCACAAATTCATTCAAGCAGGGATCTTAGTGATGCATCTAATTCTGTGGAAGAAGTTGGTGCTAACTTGAAAGATAATGATGAAGCTTGTCCTGGACCCTCCTTGGACAATGCATCAAGAAATGAATGCCTGCAGGCAAGTTGTAGCTCATTGTATGCATATATCTATTCTGGTTGTTGACTATTTCCAGTAATTCTTGTTCTGTATTAGCTTCCTTCTTCTCTTCAAGAATTAAAATTTTGTTATTTGGTACTTCCTGTGCTTGATATGACTTCCTATTTAATATGTTTCTCTGTGAAATTAATTCCAGCTATTTTCTGAAGAAAAGGGCAACAGTTTCATTCAAACAATTAGAAAGCCAGAAGTTACTGCTTGCACGGTCTTGGAAGAAAGTAAATCTCTTCATTTGGGAAGTGACAGTAATCAGATGAGACAAAATTCATGTGGTTCTCCATTAGAATTGAGTTTATCACTCCCTACAGAGTCTGATATGGGTAATTATTCATCTAAAAAAGACCCGATCACATCACAATTCTGGAACTCTGACAGTGAAATCAGAGACTTTTTTCGGGATGCAGTGCCTCAGTCTTCACCTAACCAGGCAGCTCCATTGCTGAGACATAAGCTGATGCTTGACAGAATTGTAATTCGAGCAAGTGGTTTAAATGCAAAGAGTGGTTTTAACGAGAAGTTTAAGCCATATGCTACATTATGGTCGGAAGAAGAACTGGATTCTCTTTGGATAGGAGTGAGAAGACATGGAAGGGACAATTGGCATGCCATGTTAAGGAATCCAAGACTCCACTTTTCTTCATGGAGGACAGCAAGGGACCTTGCTGAGCAGTGGGAAGAGGAACAAGCAAAACTGCTGAATGACACTCATGTTTTACGATTTAAGTCTCCAGTAACACATGAATTTTCCGTAGACAATAATGGTGGCTTCATGTGCCCGAAGACAGGATTTTGGAGAGAAAATGCTCCTGAGGAAACTAGGCTCTCCCTAGGAGATATTTATTCTCATAGAACTGCTAATGTCTCAAAGAGACGGCGTTTCAACTTCTTTGGTGTTGAAAGAAATGAAATGGAACAGCTGTGCCGGCCTGCTGCTTACTCAAGAAGTTATTCTGACTTTCAGGGTGAGATATATGGCAAGGGACCATATGATCATATGGGTTGCGCGACTGTGCCAAGGTGTGATCCCTTATTTGTTAATTGCTCTTTCACTGCTTTGGCACCAAAAGGAGGCAATTTGCCTCATTGGCTAAGGGAAGTAGTAAGCACTCCTCCTCCGAGGCCAATGGAGGCAACTCTACACCCTGGTTTTTCACCTATTGCTCATTTAGGGAAGATGCGAGTTATGAGACCATATCAAGATCCTAGCGAGCTACATTTTAGTGGACTGAGGAATAGGATAGATAGCGAGTTTGGTGATATAAGAGCCAATGGGCTGCAGCCATCTGGTAATGGTCATCACTCCTATGTCACCTTGGGAATGAGACATGGGAAATCTGGAGTAAGTCGGAGTTCTGCACGTCTTGCCAATAAACAGGACAACTTAATTGTTATCGATAGCGATGCATCTTCTGAGGAAACAATATCTGATGATCATAGTGCTAGGCCCTAGCATTGAGGAGGTTATGTAAGCGAGACTCTTTCTTTAGTTATCTAAAATGTGTTCATTATGTGTTGTGCAGTTTTGTAGTTTAGCAATTTGTAAATAAAAATTTTCACCAATTTCTATGTCAATTTTAGACCCATTGGTGCATGTACTGGTGCTGTCTGATAATTTCTAGCTGCTAGCAATATCTTGAAAAATCTATGGGTTTCATGACGTTAGGAATATACCACTAACATATCTGCATACTGAGCCTTAATTTGAGTAGACCAGAAGGTATTACTGCGAAATTGGACCTTTGTTTTTTCTGGTTTGTTTAGCCACTAGGCAGCAGAGCAATAAGTTAATAATATCTGCTCTACTCTAAAAGTTTGAAAAAAAAAAAAAAAAAGGTGAAAATCATGTAATGGGATGTTAGGTATGTTGTTCATGGTATAAATAATGTAAGTTTCTTAATTTTTCTGAATGTAGCTTAGTTTAAGTAGAAATCAATATTTATTTTGTCTCTAATTTCTGAAATCTTAGAATAGACAAGGCTAGCCTCCCCCTTTCCAAGAAAAAAAAAAAAAGAAAAGAAAAGAAGGGGAAGATTCACCAGCCAAATGATTGAATGGCTGACGTCAGATGTGAAGGATTCTAAAATGTTGCATCTTCTTTTTTTCCTTAAATAATACAATTTCAAGAAAATTCCATGCGAGGATAGCAAAAATACAATTTCCAAAGTTTCCTTGATGTTATCAAATTAACATGATTCACCATTGTAGAATGAAAATTCCAAGGTTTATTTTTGCCCAAGATCCTTTGCATAGGACTTCCCTCCATCTAAATTTGTCAGTTATTAGAAGCTAGGACTTTTTAAGTAATTGTTCTGTCTTCCCCCTCCTTTCCCTCTGTTTCAAAACATTTGCAGTTGCAATGAGGATGGTTAAAGATTCTAAGAATTGTAGGGTCCTTAAACTGGTGCACCCTGGAGGCTTTGTTGAGATTCATCAGAATCCTATAACAGCTGATGAGATCATGAAAAAGAACCCTAGACACTGTGTTACGCGCCCAGATGTTTTCAAGTTTCCATGGATTGTGGTTAGGCCTGAGTCTGTTTTGAAGCCTGGTGCTGTCTTCTACATTGTTCCATTTCATACTATTCATATCTTGCTGAAAAAGAACAGGCACCAGTATCAGGACCCTCTGCTGCTGCACCTGCAACATGATTTGGTGGACTCTGTTGAGGTAACATACTTTCATCATCTTATGGAGAAGCAGTCCCTTAATATATTGCGCACCCGAATTAAAGTAGACTGCAAGATTGAAGATTGGCCTGATGATTCCATTTTTCCTAATTGTCTACTTAGAAATAAGAAGGTCCTTGATGCATCCCACAGCCAGGAATCGTTAGTCAAGTCTCACTTTGAACTCGAACATTTTGATGATTCTCTTAATACAGCTTTTGATTACAAAAATCACCAAGAACCTAAGCAGCTAGATGGAGTTGATTCTTCTGTCAAGTCAAGATCTTCGTTTTCATCAGATGATGCTTCAAACACTTCTCGCATTGAGGGTGCAGTTCCTAAAGTTGATTGTGTGATGGAACCTAACAGTTGTCGAGAGAAGGCATTGAAATCTTGCTTGAGGAAGAGCAACCAACCTAGATCACTTGGTCTCAGGGTAAAATTTTCTCTTCCAGATGAGGAAACTTGAATATTTCAGATCATGCACTGAGCTAGGATACCATGGTTGGAGTTTTCTTCATAGAATTAGCATCAGTTAGGAATACTTAATAGCATGAGATAATGAATGTTTAGAGGCTACTATATCAGACAGGTAACAAAATGGTTGTGGATCATCTCTAGAATGTCCACAGTCTCTCTCTCTCTCTCTCTCTCTCTCTCTCTCTCTTCTTCTCTCTCTATATAATATAATATATATATATATTGGGTGTGTCGTCTGAATAAGGTATTAAAACCTGAATGTACCCGTAATAAATAGTTAATAATATTCTTGTTCTTGTTAATAAAATGTTAAAATAATGTTCCTTGTTCAGAACTTATATATATATATATATATATATTGGTGTGTCGTCTGATAAGGTATTAAAACTGAATGTACTCGTAATAAATAGTTAATAATATTCTTGTTCTTGTTATAAAATGTTAAATAATGTTCTTGTTCAGACTTCAGCCCAGAAGTGGCTACAGTTAATCATAATAAATAGTTTCTTTTTTTTCTATTTTCTTTGGAAATCATTTGAAATTAACATCAACTTTCGTGCATAATGTTCAAGTTATCAGAATATAAGCTTATATTTTGCAAGGCCTCTGTTATTGAAGCACAGGCATGGAAATGCATATGTCAGGATTAATCTCCTTGGCTATTCATAGGTTTCGAAGCACATTAAGTGCAGGGTTTCCACAAAGCTGCTGATAAATTTTCAGGTTATAACAGCAACACTGCTGATACGTAGATGGAAAGAATATAATGTCATCTTCAGTTCAATATGGACAGAGGTTTCATATATTAAAAACACGAAAAGTTTTGAAATTAAACATACATAAAAAGCTAATTAAGAGAAAAGGAACCTCCATGGAAATCTATCTTTCGCCTGTAGTCTTTCCCCCACAAAAAAGAATATTTTCTTTCAACTCCCACCCTAAAAATTATGCTAGGGACTCATTTGTTTATGTGCAGAAGATGATGTTATGGTGATCTGATTGAGATCATCTTGATGAATAAAAAAGTTCCTCCTCTGATCTCCCGCTATTGGTGTGATCTATAAAGAACACTTTCCATTTTTAATTCCCTGCTACTCTTATAGATAGATGAAATGCTAAAATGATCCATTTCTATTGCGTGAATCAATGCTATTCTTCTTCTTCATCTTTTTCTTTTTCTTCTTCTTCTTCTTCTTCTTCCTCCTCTTCTCCTTCTTCTTCTTCTTCATCAGAATCCTTCGAGTTTCTTCTGCTCAAATGCCCTGAAGTAACACTTCCATAATTTGATTCACTGCCAGTCTTGCGGCTTGAAGAACCATTTTTATTTCGCATTCTTCTGCTGCTCTTATGGCTTGAAGAAACAGCATCTTCTTTATGATCATCATCATCTGATGATGATGATGACCGGCTACTCTTGTCATCGTCATCTGATGAACTTTCTTCACCTTCTTGTTTTTTTTGCTCATGATTAATTACTTCCTCTGAAGGTGGAGTTGAAGGACTTGGAGGAGAAGGAATGCTTCCATCCGAAGACGTAGAAAGAAAACTTAAAGTTGTTACAACATCACTCATCAAGGGACGAGCTCCTGCTTCCTCTTGCAGACACATTGCTGCAATTGCAACTGCCTGATTTAAATCTTTTTCTGGGAATCTCTTCTTAAGAAGTGGATCTGCCATATCAGGAAACCTTTTTGGATCCCGAAATATGGGTTGTGCCTGTTTGATCACAAGGGAAAAAAAAAAGTCTCTAATGACATGTCTGTGTTTTATCTCTCTAGTAATGAAAATTTCAAATGTAATTCATAATAATAAAGTGAATACTACTTACCCAAGCAACTAAATTTTGCTCATCGATCGGTTTCGTTGTGTCTATGGCTTTCCTTCCAGTGATGAGCTCTAGCAAAATAACACCAAAACTGTATACATCTGACTTCAATGTTAGTTCACCACCTCTTGAATATTCTGGAGCACTATAACCATAAGTTCCCATCAGCCTAGATGGTACATTCATCTTGTCTCCAGAAGGGCCAAGCTTAACGAGTCCGAAATCGGAAAGCTTTGGGTTATATTCTTCATCCAACAAGATGTTTGATGGTTTCATATCTCCATATATAACAGGAGGATTTGCCTTATCATGCAAGTACTCTAAACCTTGAGCAGCACCAAATGCTATCTTCATTCTGGTAAACCAATCTAACGGCTTCGTTTCTGAAGCTAACTCTGCCAATTAAATTAAGTGATTCATGGAACACTATCAATCTTGTACTGGAAAAAAGGAAAAAGGAAAAAGGAAAAAACTTGACAGAAAGCAGCTGAACAGGACAAAAAATGTTGCTTATAATAAAAATAAGGATTTGAGCTTTTTAATGAAGAGTGAATTTAACATGTCATGCTCATAGTTATAAACACTCCCTGAAAACAGCATTGTCTGAGAAGCAAATTTCACCTCAGTGCCAAACAATGTCTAAATAATTTGAGCTTTTAGTAGTGAGTAAAAGATTACCAAGGAGATGCTGTTGTAAAGAACCTCCATTTATAAACTCATAAACCAAAACCCTCTGATCTCCATCAGCACAGTATCCGACAAGTTCAACAAGATTTGGATGGTGTAAAAGACTTAACATAAGAACCTCAACGAGAAATTCCTTGTTCTCTTGTAGTCCACTCCTGTCAAGTTGTTTTACAGCTACAACCTGAGCAAAATAAGTTTCTGCTAATTAATTCAACTATAATTTACAAAGAAAGCTTGAACAAACAAGTTGAAAGATTCTATAAGACCTGTCCTGTTGAGGCTAATGTGCCTTTAAAAACTCTTCCAAATCCCCCTTCACCTAACAGACATTCCTGACGGAAGTTCTTTGTTGCAGTACATATCTCCCGAAAGTTGAATGCTTGTGCTGCAATATTTTCATTATCAACGTTGGGTTCTTCTCCTTCCTCTCCAGGTTTTTGCTTCTTATTCTCTGCACAGACATTCTTGTCCAAATCAATTTGTGTAATACTAACACTAACAAATAATCAAGGTAAACAAACATGCATACCAGGTGATTTTGAATCAGTAGCTTCTCTAGGACTAGAAGGAGAACCGTGCTCTCTCTTGCTAAATGATTTCTTGCTTTTCTGCGATTGAAAGCACGAAAAGCAATTCATTTCTTTTTCTTATTTTCTTATTAAACAACCACACTTTGATCAAGAAACAATTGCCCTCTCTCTCTATATAATAATAATAATACAACTTCTCCTCGAAATTGATCAAGGAACGATTTTTACACTCTCTAAATATAAAATGTAAAACACCAAGATCAAAACTTGGGACAATATAACTTTGCCTTGAAATGTAGAAGGCAAAGCTAAAAGCTTTGAAAAGGAAACAAAGAGAGGGTCCTTCAAGCTTTGAAGGACCCTATGAGAGAAAGGATAGAATCAAAGAAAAAAAAGAAATGGTTGAAAGAAGCCATAATTTTTTGGAGGGTGAAGAGAAAATGAGAGATATTTCCTCAGAACTGTCGGAGAAAAAGGAGGAGAGTTGTTTGGAGATTTTGTCTTATTTTAAAAGACACCCATTTTTGTGGAGGTTTCAGGGCAGCTGCCTTTCCAGCCGTTCAAACTCTAAGGATGGAATTACATTACATTACATTTCATTAGTTTCCTTTTTATAATTAGACATAACATAACCACATCTAAAACCGGATAATTTGTTTTCAAATTCAAACTATAAATTTACCTAATTTTTATATAGGATTTTATGCTAATCATATAACTTACATAGTTACAAATATATATAAAAAATGTCTTCTTCTCACCAAACATAATTATAATGCTGTTTCTGTCACCCGCATTGCATTGCATGTATTACTGGTCTCCTCCTATTCTCAAATTGCAGTTCCAATTGGGCCAACGAGCATTGGGCCTACGAGCATTTGGCATAGATATAAAAGGCCACGTTTCGAAAAAGTTTGTAACGCGTAATCTGATTAGTTTTTTTACTGATACGAAAAGTGAAAAGTTCAAATTCAATTTTTATTCGACTGTGAAAGTTTTTATTAATTTAATGAGCTAAGAGAAATATTACTCCAATATAATTCATATTATTGTTTCGACTTATTGAGTCTCTCAACGAATGAAAAATATATATTTTGCTAATTTTTCAATATTTCTTCAATCTAATTTCCTAAATATATATTCTTCGAAAATAATATTTAAAAATTTTTTTTTTTTTTTGGAAAATGGATAGATTGAAATAATAATGTAACAATAATAATATAATAATAATGAAAAAAATATATGGAAAAATACCCAATGGACCCAAAAACGATAGAGCAAATGCAAGAAAGCTAAGAAAAAAACACAAACACATGCAAACCAATTAGAAGCCACATCATAAAGTATTAACTCTTAAGTATCAAAGTTCACTTTCCGACGTGTTCCCAACTTTTCTTTTTTGCTTCCACCATTTTTTTTTTTTTTCTCATGCACGTTCTTTTTAGTTTTCAATATTGCTAACACTTTCTTCTTTCTCCCACTACCATATATATATATATATATAACAGTTTAAATTAAAAGTATTTAATAAAAATAGTTATTCAATGACAAAAAAATTTTATTAATTATTTAATTAGTTGAATTCAAAGAAAAAAATATTACATAACTTTTTTTCTTTTACTTGTGCTCGTATTTTTATACCCAGATCAAATTAATATTTAGATATAATTTTTCATGATGAAATTAAAAATTTTAGTTAATTGGAAAAAAGTAAAATATATAAAACAGAAACACCCTTGTTTTTCTTCTTTGTCTGTATTAATTTCATATAATATATTGTTGTCATTAATAAATAAAGACTGTATTAATTTCATATAATTTGTGATGCATTGATGATTTTGTCATATAGACATATTGCAAATGGAAAGTAGAAACGACACATTTAAAAATTTACAGGCGTCGTTTAAAAAGTTGACATTCCCGCCCATCGCTGACACGTCACCTGTTCGGCTGTTATTTTTGTTAGCGGTTCAAATAAGAAGAGTACAGATGGGGTGTAACATCTAACACGTGCATGCCCACGTCCTACTTGACCAAAGTTTTGGCTTCAATATGTTCGAAATAAAAAAAAAAAAGTTTTGGCTACAATTTTTTTCAATTTTATTTATAACCGAACAATTTGATATATGTACACTATTTTATTATTATATATATAAACAAGATTTGAATTTCATTTTCGATGCTAAAAAAAATTTAAAAAAAAAGTTTTTGGCTACAATTTTTTTTCAATTTATTTATATACCGAACAATTTGATATATATGTAACTAATTTAATCTAATGTATATATAATAGAACCAAGATTGAATTTCATTTTTCGATGCTAAACAAAAATTTTATATAATATAAGTATATATATAATTTATCCCATTTTTATATCTTTATTTATTTTATTTCACAAATATATTCATATATATTATATATATATATATATATATATATATTATACTATGGAATTGATGTGATTTAAATTTATATATCATTCACATGAAATATAAATATGATAAAAATTACTTAATAAATATATATATGGATTGATGTGATTAATTTTATAATAATCAATTCACATGAAATATAAATATGAAAAAAATTACTTAATAAATATGACTTATTAATCAATTGACATATGTGATCCTATAAATTTATAGTACATAAAAAATTATATTTATCCTAATATTTGATAATTAAAGGTATTAATATAATATATTTTAACAATATCTTATTTTTAATAGAAATTTAAATTTTTGGTAATTTAGATATGAAAAAAATTATAATATAAATTTTCTAAAAAATTAAATTTACATACCAATTAAACAATAAAATCTTACTTAGTGAATCATAATATAATAATAATAATTTTTTTGAATAGTTAAATATAAAAAAATACAATGTATGTAACATGACATTTACTCTTTCATAAAGTCATGGCAATTTTAATATGAATAGAATATAATAATTAAAAAAAAAGAATTTGGCTTTTCTTTTATTTCCTTTTGTGGTGTGGCCAGTATATATTTGGATTATTGAAAAACTTTATTCAAGAATAAAATACTTTAACCACTGTGTTAAGTGTATGCTCACTTCTATAAAGGAAAGTTGAAAGTACATTCTTGAGGTGGGTCTTTTTCCATGCATGCCACTATGCCTTTTTTTTCTAAAAGAAAAAAAAAATCTATCTTGAAATTTATTCATCTAATTAATTAATTCGGATTCATATCAAATAAATCTATAAAAAAATAAAATATTTTCTTTTAAATAGCAATGTGCAAATTTATAAGAGTGAGGTAAAATATTAATTTTTTTTTAGCATTTTAGATAATAGTTATTCTTTTTAAGATTTTTTTTTATTTATATGCTTTAATTTTTATGTAAAAAGGAATAATAAAACATAAAAGAAAATTCCAACTCTAGCTTTTTATAAACCGTTCAAATATGAATAAAAAAAAAAATAAGGGTCCATCCGGAAGGAATAATTAATTGAAATAAAAACTATAAATAATAATAAAAAAAAAAAACCTTAGCCGCTAAGACTTCCTCCTATTTCCGTCTGTATCCTCTCTTCTCGGAGTATATATAGAGGTCAGTTGGCCAGAAAGGGTTTCATCGTCCTCCGTCGCGACAGGGAAATGAACTTAAAAAAATGGAAGAGAAACGTGGAGGAGATTTATGCGTACTACCGGAAGGCTGCATAGCAAACGTCCTGTCATTTACTGGTCCTCGCGATGTGGGCAGATTGTCTGTACTTTCTTCCACATTCAGGTCGGCAGCGGAATCCGACGCCGTTTGGGAGAGTTTTCTACCTCCTGAATACCAGTCTATTATCTCCGGATCCCCTGATTCTTCGCTCTTGGTCTGTTCTCCTTCTAAGAAAGACATATATCTCCGTCTCTGCGACAATCCTATTCTCATTGACGGCGGCAAGAAGGTAATGTTCTTATCCTTTTCTCTTTCCACCGTTTCCATCGGATGGCTGACAATTCATGTCCTGTGGCATCCAACTGTGAATGCCAAACCCGTATGACATCACCATCTGTACTTCCACCGCCATTATTCTTTTGGAATCCGTATAAAAAGTTCTATCCTTTTTGTATTTTATTATTATATCAGGTCAAATGATTCTTTCTTTAGGAATATCAATGTCGGTATAATAGCAATTACTCTTATTTGCATTGCAGTTCCCCTCCAAATTTGAGGCTACCCACGCATCTTCTTTTCTTTATTCTACTGCGACTCTTTAAAATTGTGCCTTGTTTGTGATTTTCTTATGCTTTTGGATACTGAAGTGCATCCTCTGCATGAACAGAGCTTTCAACTGGACAAATGGAGTGGAAAAAAATGTTTTATGATTTCTGCTAGGGACCTTTTGATTGTATGGGGTGATACGCCTAGATATTGGAGATGGACTTCTGAACTTGACTCCAGGTCTGTCAATTACTCTTTTCTTGCAAACACACACATGATTTTCAATGTAAGAAAAAAAAAAAGAAGATCTTTTTGGGTTTGGAATAAATTTTTGTTTTTTAGTTAATTTGGCTCTAACTGGGGTTCAAAAATGTAAGATTTCTATCTAATTGTTGGGTATGGAATATGAACAGGTTTGCAGAAGTGGCTGAGCTTATTGGTGTATGCTGGCTTGAAATCCGCGGCAAAATAAATGTTTGTATGCTATCAACAAATACACTGTATGGAGTTTACCTTGTATATAAGACAACAGCAGGAGCCTATGGATTTGAACGTCAGCCTGTGGTTGTGAAAGTAGGAGGCCATAAGAGAAGTGTTTATTTGGATGCAGAAACAGAGAGTCAGCTGCCATATCCAACTGTGGGAAGGCATACGGGTGGGTTATTCATCAACAGACGTGCATTGGGGTTGCAAGGGCCTGTAGCAACTAGAGATAGAGATAGTAATAATCCACAGGGGGGAGAAGATGGTTCGTTGGGTGCAGGAAGAGAGAGGCAACAGCGATACCGATCAATGGGAAGGCTGCCGAGTGGGTTGTATATCCGCAGCCGTGGAGTGGGTTTGCAAGTGCCTGTAGAAACTAGAGAAAGAGAGTTTAATAGTCCACAGGAAAGAGAAGATGGCTGGTCAGATAGGTTATTCAACCGCAGCCCTGCAAGTGGAGAAAGAGATGTTAATAATTCACAGGAGAGAGAAGATGGGTGGTTGGAGATTGAATTGGGAGAGTATTTTAACAAAGAAGGTGATGATGGAGAACTGGAAATTAGCATTGAGGAGATGGAAGGTGGTCATTGGAAAGGTGGGCTTATTGTTCAAGGAATAGAGATTAGGCCAAAAGAGAGTAAAATGAAAAGAAACAAGTTAAAAAGCAGTGAAAAGCCTATTTTCTAATTTGGATTTTGAAATCTTACTCTCTCTCTCTCTCTCTCTCTCTAGACAGTGAAAAGCCTTTATTTCTAATTGTGGATTTTGAAATCTTACTCTCGTCTCTCTCTCTCTCTCTTCTCCTCTCTCTTCTATATATATTTATATATATACTATAATTATATTATATATATAGTTCGGATAATGAAGCAATAAAGATGTCACCCTGGCTTATAATTTATTGGACATGGAGCAATATATATATTTTTTATATTGGATTTTAATATTGGATATGAAGCAATAAGATTGTCACCTGCTTATATTTATTGGACATGGAGCAATATATATATTTTTATATTTTGGATTTTAATTTTTGGCAAATGCTTGTGCTGGCTGGTGCTATTATTTAATTTTGAAGTTTGTTTTTGTAATTTTTTTTTCTAATTTCCAGTTATATGGTATTATTATATTATATAAAAAATCAACATCTCATTACCTATTTATTGATTTTTGATATTTTAATATATGTTCACTTATTTCTTTATCAGAAAGAAAAAATGTTATTTAACAATAGGCATCATCAAATAAATAAAGAAGGAAAATGGAAATTTCAGTGAACAGACCTAATGAAAAGGACAGAAGAAAAAGAAGAGCCCTCGACTAGACAAAGCAGAGTCATCAGTCGGAACAGATCTAAACATCCATCTTCTTTGTAGACAATCCTTTGATATCTCATATTCAATTTTATCCTTAGTAATTTGATTTCCTTATAATTTGAAGGAATTAATTGTTTTTTTTCAAAAACTTTAAACAATTTATATTTTAAAAAAAATGAATAATTTTTATCTTGATCTATTAAATCATTAGATTGCAAAATTATATTTATTAAATATTTCAATTTATAAAATTCAGCTATTAAATATTTTTACGTATAAAATATATTATATTTTGTTTTGTCTAAAAAGATGCATTAAATTTATTGGTGAAAATGATTTTATCAATTAAAGTGTTTTCATTTAAAAAAAAATTTAAAGCGTTTAAGAGATGTTATTATATTAGCTCAATTTTTTAATAAGTTAATCTAAATGTAGAGAATCTTATTAAATTATTATTTTTTTAATTCAGCAATTAATTTATGTATTTGGTCCTGATTTTTTTCAGGACTCTTCTCCTAATCTATCATATAAGGTTCTGATATATTCATGTTACGCAATAGGTCATCTTCCAATTGAAATTGAAATTTTACCTGAAAACTTTTTTTTTCTCAATTTTTAAATTTTTGAATACAGATTTTTCAATAATTGAGAGTTATGTAATAATGTCTTTAAAATAAATTTTAAAAGACTTAAAAAAAAGAAATTTTGTATGTTGGAATTTAAGTTTCCAATCCACCAGCGCTTAAAGATATAAATAAAAATTACAAAATGTATAAAAAAAAAACCCTAAAATAAGTTCGCCTAAATTCAATGCAGAATTTGATAACCTAAATTCGTGCCCTTTTGTGGGGCTTAATTGTAATTAAAAATAATAGAAGAAAAAACCCATTTTATAATATCGAAACGTTAAGAGTAAATAATGCAAATAAGTGGAAGTTAAATTCATAACAAAACTGAAAAAAAAAAAAAGAAAAAAAAAAAGAAGAAGAATTAAGATAATCGGAGAACACAATCTCTTGAAGGCTTTCTGTTGGGTTTTGGTCCACCACCTCCGTCAATTGCCTAAGCTGTTATACATAAACAAGCAAGACAAAGAAGAAAGGTATACAAAGAAACCAACAAGACGTAGAAGAAAGGTATAACGCACAAGGAAACGAAGCAACAGAGAAACAAACGACCCAACCCTTTACTACCTCCTCAGGTGCTTCTTCTTCTTCTTCCTCTCTTCGATACGACTGCTTCTTTTCGGAGATTTTGGGGTTATAGCTTGGGTTTTTGAAATTTGACTCTGCCAATTCATTTGGCTGCTCGGATCCGCTTTGAGAATGCCGATTCCCTTCGCATTCTTGGTTTTTATCATACCATTAATTTTTTTTTTTTTGTCTAATTTAGATTGTTTATTGGTTTTATTCATAATTTGGCTTTGATTTTACAATTGCATTTTTCCTTCTATAAAGCTGTATTTAGTAGTAACGAAATGCAGTGCACTCAAATGGAGAATTAAACCGTTCATTTAGCGGATTTATCTTAGGGATACTGGTGAGAAGTTGTTGCTAAGACTTAGATAGGCCATTGCAGTCAGTCTGGAAAGTCCCTAGCGTCAGAAGGGTTTTTGCATTTTCGCTTCTTGAGGGAGTGTTCACTCTTCAACGAAGTCCAAAACTTTCTGGAGGTGCATTCTTGGAATGTATGAACGGGTCCCTCGTTTGTGTAGCTGCCAAAGTGAATGGCATAAGAAACTGAGGAGGTTTGTTAATAGTGATCCATAAGTATAATGGGTGCTATTATGAGATTACTTTTCTGATTTTAGCAAGGATATGTGAATTCTTAGACTTATTGAAGGATGTTCTCAGTTAAGTAACTGGAAGAAGATTGTGCAATAGGTTAAGAGTCTTCACCAATCTACCAATCAATTATGGTAGCATTCTAAGTTTGACTCTTCAGATTATGAGATTCAGCTAACACTTGTTGATTTGAATTTCCAACCAATATGTGCAAGAAAGGCTGCATAAGGATGGCAATTTCGGCTATGACTTATACACGCTGCTATAAAGCTTGATAGCAAGGCTCCTTTATTGGCATTGTATTTGATCATTGAAATTCTTCTGTTTTGAAAGTGACGAGAAGGTGAATTTATCAGATACAGGAAATTTGATGCAATTTAAACTAGTTCTTTGAAAAATTGGGGGAAGATGTAAAAACCAGTTGTCACTTGGATAAGAATTCCGTTTAAACTTCCAACTAACCAATAAATTTTCTGTAGTGTTCCAACAGCAATAAGCCATCTTTTGATTGACAGTAGTAGAGAATAGCAGGCAACATTTCTTTTGATTGCAGTATATTTAAAAATCATAACATTTGATTTTGGGATGAGAATTTCCTGAGCTGACAAGTTGGAAAACAACTTAATATAGCTGTAAGATTGGGGAACAAAGTTTCCTGGCTAGAGTAATTTAGATTATCAATACTTTTTTATTTTTTAATTTGATGATTACACACAACTGAGTTAGATAAAGCCAGTGGCTATAATTTATTATTCTTAAATTTGGGTTAGTCGCTTATAATCACTGTTATTGCTTTTGATCGTTGGTTGAATACGGGCTTTGGCTCCTTGGCAACTTTTCTTTCTTATGATTTGCTTCTCTCTTTATGGGTATATTGTTAAGGTAGGGAATAGACAAGGAAATAAACTCCTTTTACATTAACTAAAGCACACCCTTTTCTGTATTTTTTTTTTTTTTTTTTTTTTTTATATAAACTCCTTTACATTAAACTAAAGCACACCTTTTCTGTATTTTTTTTTTTTTTTTTTATTTTTGTCATTTTTTTTTTTTTTTTTTTTTTTTTGTCATATCCCAAATGCCTTTGCTTTTAATTCCCAATTCATGGGTCTCTCTAGTCTCGAGCTTTTGAATTAGAGTTTAGGTTGATACTTTCTTACTATGACATGTCTTTGGGAAACTTTGACTTCATTGGTTTATCATGAATCTTAAGGCTGCTTTTTCTTGTAAATGGATATTTTAAAGTTCCAGTTAATGATACCTTTTCTTATAAGTAGAATTCCCTCTCTATCTATGTGGAGTGTTTGTTAATTGAATCTGGGGAACTTTCACTTTTGAATATACCCATATTCTTCTTCTTTGAGTTGGGCCTGCAATCATGATTATATAGCGTCAATTCAAATTCTGTTCCTCTAGTTATAAAATGGCCCATCTATGCTCATCACTACTTCCCAAGATGTTCACTTTTTAGTGTTTGGTGTTGGAACAGATACGTTTGAATTTCCGAAAGCATAAAGAAAGAATGTGAATGAAATTTCGTTCTTTAGCCTTTGTTGCTTTTTCTAGTTGAATTTCCTTTCCGTTTTGTTCATTTTTAGGGATTTGTTTATTTTGGTTCAGTAAAATACATGCACCTACCAACTAAATTGACTGATTGCTTGGTATATACAGTTGTTGGAAGCAGATAATTGTGCAGTTTTTACTATTTGCTGATGCCCTGCTGTGCCCCACCCCAATCCCTTCTCTCTCTCTCTCTCCCCTTCTTCTGTCTCTGTGACATGCAGGCTTCACACTGTTAAAAATACCTGAAGTTTTGCTGATTTTTTCCATCGGTCAAGTGCTTTGTCCTCGGGAAAAAAAAAATCTATTACCAGTTAATTCAATGGCAATGATATTATTCCATCGAGATGTTCCCTTCCAGTTCAATGTTCATTAATTGAACCAGGTACATTCTTCAGTTTGGATGCTTTTGTCTGGTGTTCTATTTTTATTTTATTTGTTTCCTTACTTTTATATCTTTTATTGCAGTTATCTGATTGAGTTTTTGCGGTATCTGTGTTCTGAAAATCCTAGAATCTGGTTCCATTCTGTATGCAGCACAAGAGGAAGTGGGTAAATCACATAAAAAAGCTCCTAGTCATTTTGGTGGATTCATGGCTGATCGAGCTCTAATTGTGCCTGATGCTTCTCTTGCTTTAGCAGAACAAAGTTTAGTTATTGGACAAGAATTTCCTAATGTCGAAACTTGCAGAAGAACATTGAAAGATATTGCTATAGCCCTGCATTTTGATCTTCGGATTGTAAAATCAGATCGAAGCCGGTTTATAGCCAAGTGTTCCAAAGAAGGCTGCCCATGGCGTGTCCATGTTGCAAAATGCCCTGGAGTTCCAACCTTTACGATTAGAACCTTACATGGAGAGCATACTTGTGAAGGAGTCCGCAACCTCCACCATCAGCAAGCATCAGTAGGTTGGGTAGCTAGATCTGTAGAAGCCCGCATTCGGGACAATCCACAATACAAACCAAAAGAAATCCTGCAAGATATCCGTGACCAACATGGGGTTGCAGTGTCTTATATGCAAGCTTGGCGTGGAAAGGAGCGCAGTATGGCTGCACTGCATGGAACTTTTGAAGAAGGGTACCGTCTTCTTCCTGCATACTGTGAGCAAATAAGGAAAACAAACCCAGGGAGCATTGCTTCAGTTTTCGCTACTGGGCAAGAAAACTCTTTCCAGCGCCTTTTTATTTCTTACCGTGCATGTATTTATGGGTTTATCAATGCTTGTAGGCCACTTTTGGAACTTGACAAAGCTCATCTTAAAGGAAAATACTTAGGTACATTACTTTGTGCTGCAGCTGTTGATGCTGATGATGTATTATTTCCTCTAGCCATTGCTATTGTTGATACAGAGAGCGATGAAAATTGGATGTGGTTCATGTCAGAATTGCGGAAGCTTCTTGGAGTAAATACTGATAACATGCCTAGGCTTACAGTGCTGTCTGAAAGGCAAAGGGGCATAGTAGAGGCAGTTGAAACACACTTTCCCAGTGCTTTTCATGGATTCTGTTTACGTTATGTTAGTGAAAACTTTCGTGACACATTTAAGAATACAAAGCTAGTGAATATCTTCTGGAATGCTGTTTATGCCCTTACAACAGCTGAATTTGAAAGCAAGATATCTGAGATGGTAGAGATCTCACAAGATGTTATAACATGGTTTCAACATTTTCCTCCTCAGCTTTGGGCAGTAGCATATTTTGAGGGCATGCGATATGGCCATTTTACATTGGGGGTAACAGAGTTGTTGTATAACTGGGCCCTTGAATGTCATGAGCTTCCAATTGTGCAAATGATGGAACATATTCGCAATCAGTTGGCATCTTGGTTTAATGATCGCCGTGATATAGGCATGAGGTGGACCTCAATTCTTGTACCATCTGCTGAGAAGCGGATTCTTGAGGCAATTGCAGATGCTCGTTGCTATCAAGTGCTACGTGCAAATGAAATTGAGTTTGAGATTGTGTCAACTGAGCGGACGAATATTGTGGATATAAGAAGTCGTGTGTGCTCATGTCGCCGTTGGCAGCTCTATGGTTTACCTTGTGCACATGCTGCTGCTGCACTTATTTCTTGTGGGCAAAACGCCCACCTATTTGCTGAACCTTGTTTCACAGTCGTAAGTTACCGAGAGACTTACTCACAGATGATAAATCCTATTCCAGATAAAAGCTTATGGAAGGAACCAGGTGAGGGAATTGAAGGTGGAGGTGCTAAGGTTGACATCGTAATACGCCCGCCTAAAACTCGGCGGCCACCAGGAAGACCAAAAAAGAAGGTTCTTCGTGTAGAAAACTTTAAGCGTCCAAAGAGAGTGGTTCAATGTGGGCGCTGTCATTTGTTAGGACATTCTCAAAAGAAATGCACAATGCCAATATGACTAGGATTTAGCTTCTTGACTTTTCTTTCATTTGTTATTCTGAAATTGTAGAATCCTTGGTGTGTGTAATCTGATGTATGCTTTAACTGTCATAGAAGAATAAGGATCTAATCCCTTTTGGTATAGTTCTATCTATGTGCATATGGTAGAAGCATGTTTGTGTTTCTTACCTATAGTTTTGATAGCAATGGTTTGCTTACTATAAACAGTAATAGATCAGAAATATAGTTAATGCATTTCTTTCCACGTAACATTGCATTTATTATGCAGGGAATAAATTGCATAGACAAATTCTGATCAATACTCTCTGCAATGATGTTTTGAATGGAATGCTAGAAGCACATTTATAGGCTGAAGGAAAAACAAATATCCAACCAAGGATGTTTTGAATGGGAAAGGTAGAGCATACTTATAATTTCCAATTCTCACTCCATTTTTTATTTGTAATGCTAAACTGCTCACCAACACACTCTTTCAATTTCTGACAGGATCACTGCGAGTAGATGTCTGGAAGAAGAATGGATCACTGCCTGGCCAACCGGTTGAATACTTTTTCAGTGTCGCAGTAATAATATTTGGATTGCATAATAAATTTATCAGACTGACTTGTCTTCAGGTTTATGTTAATTAATTAGAAAGCCTGTATGTGATTTGGCAAACTGAAGTATTCTGTTCAGAGTTCCTGATCATGGTTAGGCACCTCTTTTGATAAAAAGGTAATAGAATATTAGAGTTCTAGCTTATAAGAAATTGTAGCCTATAATTTAAGAACTTGGCAAATTGAAAGCAGCATTTGTCTTTGTATGGAGAAGAGATACTCTGTGATAATCCATATTCTGTTTAAAGACACTATCTTTTGCCATATTACATATCTGCCTTTAATTTACTTGGATGGGAGACACAAATGATTTATTTATTCTTCTGTTAACATTATTTTAGCAAGTTGGTAGGTCGACATCAGTTTCCTGCCTCTCACTGCTCCCTCGTCACAAGATTGTGCTTGTATTGAAATAGCTCGAAGAATCCATTGTTAGTGCTTCCGAATTTATATTGAGGATCAGCATTTGTGATTACATAATTGGTAATAGATGACCATCCATATATTCATAATAAAAGGAGTTACATAGTTTAAATTCCCCCCTTGGGAAATATGATTGGAAGAGAGCAAAAGAAATAAATTCCATTTACCCTTTCAATCAGCAGGGGCTAATAATTCCAGCATCAAAGTTTCCACCACATATTGGCAAGGGGGAGGAAGAGGAGAGAGAGAACAAATGAAAATCAATTCCTCCAGCTCTTTCCTTGAGGCTTTATGGTTGCAAACAAAGAAGTGGCACAGGAATTCCCAGCAGCGGCACCAACCCATGACTTGTTTGGAAAGCTAAAAACTCAATCTAGAAGGGACGCAACTAAAAGTCTGCCTTGTTAGGACAATCTGATGCTCTGTGTCCAGGCCTCCCGCAGTTAAAACAAGAGCCTCCGAATCTGTTATGCACAGAGAAAATGCCATTAGTTTCTTGGTATATCTGTCTATCTATCATGAATGATCGACCAAAACTAACTTGTTTGAGGATAGAAGTTTATTGCTGGTTAAGATCACACATATCACAGATATCAATCCCTTTGAAAGTCATTGACGCTCTGCTTGAAAACATTGTGTACTAGCTAAACACAACTCCTTTCCCTAATAATTAACCAAATAATGAATTACATACCTGTCTTGGGACGAAGACCGGCCCCAGGATGAAGACCTGTCCCGGGGTGAAGATCTGCTTGACCTTCTACCACTTATCAGCCAATCATCACCACTATTTCTTGAATAGCTTCGGCCACCACGCCTAAATGTATCCTCGTCATTAGAATCTCGACCACCACCCCAACCCCGAGAGGCTCTGGAACCTCTCTGGCCTCCCCTACCTCCTCTAGGAGGTCCATCTCTGCTAGAAAACCTACCATAGTAATCACTCGGAGGCCCGTCATCTTGCAACGAAGGCAACTGCAAGGAAGTCAATACAAATGTGCGATACTTTATCAGGTGAAGTAACATGCAGATTTTAGTGATTACATGATAGCCACTTGAGCAGCATGTTTTGCAAAGAACATGATAATGAGAGTGTGACTAAAATCTACACACACACACAAAAAAAAAAAAAAGACCTTCGTGATCTTGGAAATAGTGTTGCCAGGTGGTAATTGTTTATTCAGTAACTCTTTTGCAATCTCCTCTGGAAGATCAAAAACTGCCCCTTGAACCTGATAAAAGAAATCACTTACTCATTTTTGAAGAAGCCAATTCATCAATCAATCAACAGTCAAACTCAGAAATGTTTAAACGATTATGCTAAATCATACTCTTTCATCTGCAATCAAGTGTATTTTTCCAACTTCATCGGCTGCAGCAGTATAAACATCTGACAGAAAACCAGTGACAGATCTAGCAGACAGATAGCCTCTGGAAAGAGTTGGATCCCGTGTCAACTGCAATGTTATCCATCCCTGAAACAGAAGCATCCAAGATCAAGATACTTGGAGGAGACTACAAACAATGACTAGAAGATTGTAACCAAACCTAATAAAGAAAAAGGAACAAGTACCGCCCAAGGAATATCAGAATAAAAAACATGCAAACAAATTATCCAATGGGTCATGCATTGATTATTTCCAGAGAAGCTGCAAGACACCCTACAAGCAAGCTGGCTGAAAGGAAAAATGCTTCAGGAGCACTCAATTCAACCAAACCTTAATGCTTCTAGAGAAGCCCAAGAGACACCTTAGATGATACCACTTGAAAGGTTCGCAGGATATATTTCTGTAGTGGCCCAACAAAAATTTTGGCTTGATATCTTAGTTTAAATTATCTCAATGGTGCTTATAATCTATGGCTGCATAGATTCAGTATGGAGATTGATAAATGAGAATGGATGAGAACTTGTTTAATACTGGTTAAAAATTTGTAATTTCAAATTCACACTTTAAGATTTACTTGAAGCATGCTTTTCCCCCACTTTTACAAGTCCAACACAATTTGAACCAAGAACTCAAACTTAAACTCTTGAAACTTGGATTCCCTATCCAGACATCGTATATGACCTTCGGAAAACTAAACTATCATTGCATGTGATATTACATAATAAGTTAAATTCAGATTTCACAAGGATCACTTACCAAAAAGATAAGGACTTGCAAAATAAAACTTGAAATTTGATGGTGGCCGGAGGTTTACCTGCTCATGGCTAATAAGAGACCGAGATGAAGGAGGCCGGGAAAATCCACTCAACTGTGCAAGTGCAGCAGCAAGAGCACTTGTGCCTTGTTCTTCAATCAATCTTTGTGCAGTTGGAGTGAAAAATTCGACAGACTCAGGATGAACCCCATTCAGAGTAGCAATCACTTGCTCAGCTGATGACTCCAAAACCTCTTCAGTAGCTGGTGGACTAACAAATTCAAAGTGGCATCCCACATCACGCTCCAGGGATCTGACTGTCCTCCTTTGGCTGCTAGTGTACATCAGAATGGCAGTACCTTCCTTGCCTGCACGTCCAGTACGACCAGATCGGTGCACAAAAGTTTCAGGATCATTGGGAAGTTCATAATGGATGACCTGGGAAAAAGTGTATATCAGGATAAAGTTTCTCAGGACTTGATAGTTGGAATGGAAATTAGAGCAAATAGAAAATAGTCTACAGAAATGGTCTTATATATTGGGAAAAATAATAGAAAACTAGAGACGCAGATATCATAGTTCAGGAACATGAACACATATATCTCATGATTAAACATTCCTTCCAATTCTCAAACTTCGGAATAATAAACTCAATGGGTACTTAATTGATGCAAAGAAATGTCACATTCTTCAAGCTCTGCCATAGATATAATTTGGCCTTTAGCAACTCTTATAAGTAGATATACTACTTATAAGAGTATATCTATTGTACAAGAGGACAATAGATATATGCAAGAAGCTCCTGCTATATGCAGGCCAGAGAGGGATCATACCACATTGGGTCTATTGTAGACAACCTTAACCTGTATTTTCACAAGAGGACATTTCCATGAATGGAACATGTGACCTCCAAGCAACAACTCTAGCATTGCACCAAGGCTCCCTTTCTAGAATATTCTAGAGAAAACATTTTTAATAAAGAAAGCTGTTCTTGTATATCCCAATATTAATAATTTGCGAAAATAATATAGAGAGGTCTTAGTATAAGGATTATTAAAGCAATTCCATGACCTTACCAAATCAACATTTGGAATATCAAGCCCACGAGAAGCAACATCTGTGGCAACAAGCACTGTGAATTTTCCTTGCCGAAAACCATTTAAGGTTCTCTCTCGCTGATGCTGAGATATATCTCCATGCAATGCCTCAGAAGCAATACTGTTTGTTAAAGATATTGAGACCTCATCAGCATCTCGTTTAGTCTGAGTGAATATAATAGTCTTTCCACCTTTTGCATAGACCTGAGCATAACAGCAATATTCAGTGATTTAACACATTGATTTGTTAGGCACTAACATAAGTGGGTTTATAGTATACAAGAAAAGAACAATAGTACAAATTTGAACATTTGCACTTTTCTAGCAACAGAAAATCAAGTCTACAATCAATGTTTAATTGTTTAAACCATGGTCCACCAAAAGGAAATAGGAAATATAAATAAGAACCACAAAGTGTATTTACAGTTTCTGAGTAAATCCCAGAAGCATCTGACTCTATACATTGATGATATTAATGTTAAAGTACATGACCATGATATAGCAAGCATTATTTTCCATAAGCATAATTCCACAAGTCCAATTTCTCAAAGTTCATTCCTGAATCATCACTGTCCATGGCATTCTCTCAATCTTCAGCAGATACAAAATCAACTTAAGCCAACATATAATTTCTCCAACCACTCTTAACCATCTATAGGTACCCAGGGAAATTAACTCTGAACAAGCATTTATTATGCTGTGGACAGGCAAAATCCTCCATAAAATTATCAGGAAATGTGTATGACTCTCCTCAGACTAACAGAAACTCATACCTATACCTTTCATAGGAAATGCAATCACTAATGATAGAAATAGATTAAAATGGTGGGCCCACTGACTCCTACCGTTACAAGATCACTAAGAATGCTCCGCTTTGAAGTTGCAGTGGTTGATACGGCATAAAGTTTGATTCCTTCTGCCAACTTTTCCTCCTGGTCACCAACCTGAAGAAGATATCAACAAAAAGTTACCAGATTAAGAAACTTTACACATCCAAAATGCAATATTTAATCTGTCTTCTGAGAAAAAAAACTTGCAGAAAGGCAAGCGATGTTACAAAGAAAGGTAGCCATCTAAGCAGGAAATACCACATGATGATCCATACTTCACTAATTACTTCATAATAAGGTGGTACATACATGGTTAACTATTTCTACTACTTACATTTCACCACATTCCATCTCCTTTCTAGACAGAGTGCATCTAAGACTTGAAAACATACTTCAAGGGAAAGGTTTAATATAGTCAAAACCATGATCTACAAATCTGAATCCTTATGGACCTTTGAATCGAAGCATATGTAAATCTCAAATTAATAAGTAATGACAGCCTAAGAACATGCAAAATTTAAAAAGAAGAAGATAAGTAAGGAATTTTACCAAATCAATTTGAAGCGGGTTGTCCAGATATTTCCTTGACAATTTTTTTACCCAACTAGGCATAGTTGCAGAGAAAAGCATGCTTTGCCGTTTCGATGGAAGATCTTCTAAAATTACTTCCACATCCTCCTCAAATCCAAAAGAAAGCATCTGATCAGCTTCATCAAGGACCAAATATTGAACTTCTCCCAACTTGAGGCTATTACTTTTAATCAAGTCAATGATTCGACCTGGGGTTCCAACCACAACATCAACCCCACGAGAAAGAGCATTTCGTTGAGTAATATATGAAACCCCTCCATAAACACAAACAGTGTTCAAGTAAGGTGCAGAGTCATTAATCTCTTTCTCTACTTGCTTAGCCAATTCACGAGTAGGTGCTAGGACCAAAACTTTAGGAAGCCGACCAGTTCGTCTGTAAAAACCAAAGAAATGCATTACACTCATAGAACAGAATTAAAGGTCAAATTGATGTCCTTGCACTAAGCATTTAATCATTGGACTTCATTAGTACCTTTGCGAGCCTGTATCTTCAGTGATTTGCTTAATTATGGGGATTCCAAAAGCTAATGTTTTGCCAGTTCCAGTCTTCGCACGGGCAATGATATCTCGACCTTCTAGTGCCGGAATTAAAACAGCCCTCTTTATCATTGAAAAGGAACAGTTAGAAAAAAAAAATCAGCTCAACTTTCTAGCATACTAAACAGAAATTGAGATGAACAATGATTAGCCATCAACTACCAACTTTTCAAACATGAATCTACTTAGCCGTTTGCCATTCTCATCGAACTTATGCAAAGTTCATCTAACGAAATTTAGTTCACAGTAGGTAAAACATCAATATGATTTAGCGCAAAATAAAATTGTATAAAAATGAAAACTATATACATATACAAAATAAGAAGAGTAGCTTGAGCCAATCAATCTCACATTTCTTCAAAAGAAAGGACCTCTGGAATGAATGACCATTTACAGAAATAAGTCAATGACAACTTAATCCGAAACAAGTGGGCATCTTTTAGATGTTACATGTAGAAACGAGCTCAATTATACAGCATAAAATAAAAAAAAACAATATTGAAACATTTAATAAATAAATGACGCGCGGAAGAAGAGTACCTGAATGGGGAAAAGATGAGTAATTCCACGTTTCTCAAGGGACTCAACGAGTCTCTGAGGCAAACCGAGCTCAGAAATGGCAAGTTCATCTTCATCAGGAGGACTCCCACCGGCGCCGGCGGCAGATTGAGACTGAAAGTCTCTGTTTTTAACACCAATATCATTTTCATCATCGTCATACTCAGAAAATCGTTCAGTGAGAGCCTTGAAGGCCTCTTCACTAAGAATAGAATTATTAGGAGTAGCAATAGCAGAAGGACCAACGGAAAGGCCATGCTTATAGTGAGAACTACTTTGAAGAACCAAAGAATTGAAATGAGACTTGTCATGCAAAGATAAACTCGCAGGAGGCAGCGTTGTGGTTCTTCTAGCAGAAAGTTCTACAGAAGGAGTGTGGAATATGGAGGAAACCCCAATTACTGAAGAAGAAGCCATGAGCAGTGTATAGAGAAAGTAAATTTGGGATAGAGGAGAAGATATTTAGTAGAAATAGAGAAAGAGAGAAGAGGATAAGGGCGTAGCAGAGACGCCCCCTTAAAAATGAAGAGGCAGTGGCTATGGACCTTCAGCTGGTTTTAAAACGTAGGACTCACAAAGCTCCACCTCGGTTACTATCTTCTAGAGAAGGATATTTTTGCCGTTGAGAGAGAAAATAAAACCCTAATAAAAAGATTTTTCTTCTCGGGTCTTGTTGTCGGTGCTTAACAAGAGGTCCGCCCGCCCTAACCCGACTCTAATACCCCGGGTAAAATCCGCTTTGACCCCTGCCTTATCTCAAGACACGGGACAAAAGTTATGTATTACCAAAATCTAGCTGGATGTTTTTGTTTTTATTTTTATTTCAATTTACCAAAACGACTGCTCATCTTGTTTTCATTCTTTATAAAAATAAAAATAAAAAATAAAACTTCAAAGTAATTATTAAAATATTTATAATAATAAGACTACAAAATAAAAACTGTGCATTAAATTATTTTTTGGCAGTCAAAACTTTAATATTTTGATACTGTAAAAAGCAAGAAAATGTGCTTTTATATATATATATATATATATATACTAACCGACTCTAATACCGGGTAAAAAATCCCGCTTTGACCCCTGCCTTATCTCAAGACACGGGAACAAAGTTATGTATTACCAAAAATCTGCTGGGATGTTTTTGTTTTTTATTTTTATTTCAATTTACCAAAACGACTGCTCATCTTGTTTTTCACTTCTTTTATAAAAAAATAAAAATAAAAATAAAACTTTCAAAGTAATTATTAAACATCATTCTATTAATAATAAGACTACAAAATAAAACTGTGCATTAATTATTTTTTGGCAGTCAAAACCTTTAATATTTTGATACTGTAAAAAGCAAAGAAAATCGTGCATTTCTATATTATATATATAATATATATATATATTCACGTGCTATTGTTAGAAAGCAATTTTTCATAAAATGTGATATATATATATATATATATATATTCACGTGCATTGTTAGAAGCACATTTTCATTAAAATGTGTTATTTAGTAATTTGAAATGATTAGTCCTTCGTATATGTACATTTTTTACTATTTGATTATTTATCTTTTCAATTTAAATTTTAATTCGTTAAAAATAATAAATTTGATTATTTCAAAATTTATAATGATTATGGAAGATTTGTCAATGTGATTGATTGAATTTGTATTTAGTCATATAATTTAATTAAATTAATTGATATAAAATTTAAATTGATATGTTGTAACAATTATGGGGATTTATCAAAATAGTACCTTCTTAAAACTAATTCACCATTTTTCACAAAAGAAAACCCTAATTTTCTAATAGTAAACATCAGGGAGAGGGGATTTATCATCAATGTTCCTTCCTCATTTTTTAATTCTCCTGTTTGCTAAGCGTCTTGTTTTTTTTTTAAGAGAAAAAGGATAAAGTGTTGAAAAGAAGAAGCTGATACAACTGTAGGTTGATTGTAATCTAGAGACACGGGACAGGACCGAAGCCGCCATTATTGGGTGCCAGTGAAGCGCTCCTCCTCCTCCTCAACCACCACCACCACCAGCAGCAGCTCCACCCCCACCCAGTCTGTTGTTATTCCTTTTGCTCCTTTGGAATCATCTCCAAACATTTCTTGCAGATCTCAACTTTAACGCCAATTATTTCCTTCGCTCTCTCATTAAATCTAATCAATTTCACCTGATCTTCTTTTACTCTTTCTTTGTTTCGCTTCAATTCGCTAATCATTTAGCAGGAATTCGCGCCTTTTGGCTTTTGATTTCCTTTTTTACAATGAAGTTAGGGTTTCCAATTTTGCCACCTTCTTCCTTGCTTTGAGCTCGTCTTCATCCTTCTGTCGTCAGCCTCCTCCGCTTAACCGAAGACGAGGAGGCCAACCTACGGTTCTTGTATTTTTGTTTTTCTTTTATTAGAAATTGGTTTGTTGCAATGGCAGAATCGGTGCCCATTTACTACGGCGTCATCGCATTCATTTGCAGTGCTGGAGCAATCGCTTTGGCTGTTTTCCACATCTACAGGCATCTCTTGAATTACACTGAACCTACTTATCAGAGATATATTGTTCGCATCATCTTTATGGTTCCGGTACTGATTTTTCATTCTCACTTATGGAGTTGTTTTTTTTTTTATTCCTTTAATTCCAATTCAAATGCTTCCCTTAATGCCTCTTGCAAACATAAAAATGTTATGTATAGAATACTTCATTGTCGGAAACACATTACTATGCATATGATCTCTAGAAATACCATTTTGGATTCTGTATCTGTCTCTGTCCTGTCTCTTTGTTGATTCTCTTCTTTTTTTTCTTTTTTTTTTTTATTTCAATTGATTTTGTGCATCTTAACCTTATATTTACTTGCATACAGTTCTATTGGTATTATAAAGTATATGTTACTTGTAGTCATCATGTTTTGTTCTTTTCCTTTATTTCTTCCATTCCATTCGTTTTTCTCCATGGAACTTAGAGTGTGTGGTAGACTGTACTTTTTGAATATTAATTTCTTCTCTTTTTGTTTTTCTATATTAACTAGTTCTTGTTTTCCCTTGAATATGTTGACAGGTTTATGCGTTAATGTCCTTTTTGTCTCTTATTTTGCCTGAGAGTTCAATCTATTTCAATTCTATCAGAGAAGTGTAAGTATTTCTGTTTTAGGATTTTCTTTACAGCTCTTGCAAATGTAATTGGAAATTCACTTCTTCCCAACCCAGGACCATCAATTTTTATATCTGTAGAGCTCCCACAGCTATAAAATATCATTTCTTCTTTTCATTTAAGCACTTAGTCCCGACCTGCTTGGGGTGCCACTTTACAACCTTGGGGGTGCACTTTGCATTGGAACATGAGACCAATTGCTTTGCACTGCAGCAGTGTAGGTTAACTAACCACCAGCGCAGTTATGCTCCTTTTTGACCAGTGGACACAAACACTTAAAAGGGAAGAAAATAGACCAGCATTAGAAAAACCTGAGCTTTCATGGCCCAATCCTTTCCTCAAAGCTTCCTCTGAAAACAATGAAATTAATTGGCTCCTGCAGTACTAAGTTTTATAACGAGGAGATTAAAAGCTGTAAATATAAGTCTAAAACCATCATATTCTAATGATTTCCTTACTGTTTCAGTTATGAGGCTTGGGTCATTTACAATTTCCTGTCTTTATGCCTGGCTTGGGTTGGTGGCCCTGGAGCAGTTGTGCTTAGTTTAAGTGGTCGGGTTCTGAAGCCATCATGCTGTCTGTTGACATGTTGCTTACCTCCAATACCACTAGATGGGTGAGTTCCTCATTTTCTTGGCACTTGGGTCAACAGAATTTATTGTGATCTTTGCTTAGAAATATTGAGTCAATAATCTAATGTTCTTTAATTCTACAACCATTTATGTGTCTCCATTCTTTCTTTGTCTTTCTAGGCTTCTTGGGAGTCTTTGAAAATTGTGGTACCATCTTATATAAAGTCTCAGGAACTGATTTGATATTTCTGACTGAATTTGTTTTATAAACAATGCAGGCGCTTTATAAGGAGGTGTAAGCAGGGATGTTTACAGTTTGTGATTCTGAAGCCTATCTTGGTTGCAGTTACGCTCATCCTTTATGCAAAAGGGAAATACAAAGATGGAAATTTCAGTCCAAACCAATCATACTTGTATCTTACCATCATATATACAATCTCATACACAATGGCTCTGTATGCTTTGGCTTTGTTTTATGTGGCATGCAGAGATCTGCTTCAGCCCTTCAATCCAGTTCCCAAGTTTGTTATCATCAAGTCCGTTGTTTTCTTAACTTATTGGCAGGTAAGCTCTCACTCTGTTTAACAGACGCTAATTTGTTATTTCAACATGTTATTCTACACATATAGGCACTTAGTTTTCAGATTACATGCTAGTTCGAAAGATAGCGAACAATGGATTTATGTGGTCTCTTTCCACAACGAAAATAGTTGTTTTCTGGTGAAATGGCTGCATACAAACAATATCTGGTGCATGAATTCGAGATTTGGTTGTCAATTCTGTATCACTAATTTATCTTTTTTTTCTTGTCTTCTACTGATTCTGTGTTCTTCCTTGCCCAGATCAATGTGCGCCATTGTTAAGAACTTTTTCTCCCTTCTTATAGCACAGTGGCCTTCCCAAATCTGTACTTCTATCAATTCTGTGTCTTTCCCTCCCAAAAGCAAGATAATTTTTTTAAATACCATCAAATCCAAATAGAAAGACAACAGCAGACTCCCACCTGTGCTAAACTACAGCACTACTTCTATTAAGGCTGTAAGAGCTATGGTTTTCCTTTCGATTTTCTTTTAAGTCCCCTTTCATAACTTTTGATAATAGGGTGTCCAAGGATCCAATTTAGAATTTGAGAAAATTTACTTGGTGAGGTGTAATCTGATCCGAGCCTCATTTATGACAATGGATTCACATAATTAGGAAATTTTCACTCCAATGATTAAAATTAAAATAAGAAATGCATACCCAAGTTATGGATAACCCTGGGATGTGGGTGACTATCAATTTTTTCGGAACTCTTGTTGCTTTTACTTTTGACTCTCTCTCTAAAACACATACACGCACATGCATGTATGCATAATCTCCTGGCTTTGCCAATGGCCATATTATTAATTGATTATACATCCGCTTTGTTCAGTAACTGGTTGTGACAAGTTTCTGTTTGATGTGTGAAATTCTAATGAGCATTATCAGAAATGATTCCCTCACATGTAACAGCTACATGGGAATTTTACTTATAGTTGCATTGTTCTGTCTTTTAACAGCTTTCAGGACATGCCCCTGAGACTAGTGCTAATCCTGGCCTTCCTTTGCCCATCTGAGCTTACTTTATGGCTGACAATCTCTTCACTTCTAATTTATTTTTGAGTCACAGAATGAAAATTTTATACCTATCTAGACTAGATTACATAAGTATGATACACGGTTCACAACTTATATTTTTTCTTGGAATTGCAAGAATTTCTAAAAGTATAACAGTATGGTAGTTGGTTTGCTCTTTGTTGGTTTCTTCTTTAAATCAGTTTAGATGCGATGGTACCTCCTTTCATAGATAAAAATTCACTAAAATGGCTCAAGAAATGTTGCTTGTTTTTCAGGAAGTGACTTTGTTTTTCAAGTCTTAGCATCTGGACTTATGATCTTTTATCATTTGAGTTTGTTTCATTTTGATTCATCATCTTCTGAAACCCGCTTGTGTCCATGAGATTTTTTAACTGGTTTTTTCTTTGTCACGTTTCTCCCTGCATAAATACAAAAATGCTTTCCATCCAGCATAACACAGAAATGCTTCTGCATGACTTTGTGGCTGGAATAAATACAGCAATAATGTAAATATAACTATGGATATCAACCACTATACTATTTCAAGCAAGAAAACCAAACAAAGACACTTAGCCTAGGACTATGCTTGCATATTCGTCCATAGGTCAAATCGGATATGTAATTATTGGAATAATTGTTAGAGACTCAAATGGTGGATATAATGTTTCTGCATGACTTTGTGGCTTACATAAGTGTGATCTTATGTATTAATAAAAATCAATTGCTGTGCCTGCTTTTCAGTTAAATTTTGTCTTTAGATAGAAATGTACCTATTTATGCAAACAAATGGGGAAAATTTTGAATTTATTGACTTTGTTGTTGTATTTCAAATTTCTTTTTTAGGGAGTTCTGGTATTTCTTGCTGCAAAGTCTGGATTCATAAAGAATGCTGAAGAGGCTGCTCAATTTCAAAATTTTATCATATGCGTTGAGATGCTTATAGCTGCTGTTGGGCATCTTTTTGCATTTCCATACAAAGAGTATGCTGGTGCAAATATTGGTGGATCTTGTGGTTTAACAGGAAGCCTTGCACATGCCTTGAAGTTAAACGACTTTTATCATGATACTGTTCACCAAGTATGTGCCGAACATGATTTTCCGTCTGCCAATTGAAATTTCTGAAACTATGCCACTGACTTTAAATTTGTTGCAGTTTGCACCAACTTATCATGATTATGTGCTGTACAACCATGGTGAAGGTGATGAAGGAACAAGAAAGTATCGCTCACGGACCTTTGTGCCAACTGGACATGAGATGGATGCTGTCAGAAGAAACAAGCACATGTTTGGGAACAGGCTGGATGAAATTCAACTCTCCAGTCACTCTTCTTCCGGTACAAGCACTCCACAAAATACCATTTTGTTCCCTGATTCTTCTCATTCTGATGCTAGTAAATCTTCATTGCTTGTGGATACTTCAAATTCTTTATCTGTGCCTTATGACATGTCACTCATTGATATGGACTTGTCCAATTACCCTGCAAAAGTTCCTGCAGCCAATGAAACTGGGAATAGGTAACACTCTTGCAGAAATTGCAGTAAATAGATAAGAAAAGTGTTGTTGAAGAAAAAGTTGAGAGGAATATCAGATGTTATTTCTACTTTGGGGAAGCATCCTATGCAAAGTTGCTGATACTGGTGTCTGTTTTCTTGAGAATGTTGAAATCTTTCAAGCGCTTTCTTTTGGTTCAAGTATTTAGTATCCCATGTTAGGCTTCCCCCTTATTATATTAGTGGCCTGTTATCCTCGGTTGCTCATATCTGTTGCCATCTGCTTTGTAGATACAAAAATTTTAGTTGTCATACTTCCAATATTAGAGCTTCAAAATGACAATGGGTTATTGATTTTTTTTTTTCCTTCTAATTTTGCCATCTGATCTGTAGATACTGTACTTTTAATTGTCAAGTTTGCAACTTCATGGTTCAACATGATATTGAGTTTTGGATTTGTTTAACCAATGCCTCACTTCAGGAATGTTATTGTCTAATGAGTTTCTAGGCTCTTACACTTTCAATTTTGGACTCAAATCCTATTGCTCCTTTCTCTTTAGTTGTATGGATTCACTATCATTGGCATTTTTATGGAACAGAACGGTTTGCTTAGTTTTGTTGTTTTAATTTTAAAACCTTAATTTTAGTGTTGTTATGTTGCTGAAAAGAGGGTGTAAGATGGGAGTGACTTTATTATGTTGCTGAGAAGAGAATGTAAGATTGGGACTGGCTTATTACCATAGCCTTTCCTTCAATGTTGTTTTGTATGTTGGTATTCTGAACAGTTTATGTTAGGCCATAGTTACTTCGATTGGAACTTCTACCTAATTTGTGTTAGGCTAATTTTAATTATAAATTTAAAATCTCTGTTGGGTTTTGAAACGTTGTTCTAATAGTTAGATTTATCAAATATTTTTAACTCTGCAAGTTCCATGGATGACATGTGGTAGAATGTCTAAATCTATTTGTTTTCTTCGGATGACAAAGCCTTTGCTATTCAATATAATTTCAGATGAATTTTCTTATTGATTACGCTGTGTTCTGATACACAGCTCATTGTGCGAAATGTAATTCATTCATTCGCTGCTGTGTCTGTATATGACAGGAACTGACGTACTTATCCTTAAGGTCCTGATTTTTGGTGTCTTACGTTTGACATCAAGAAGATAGATTCTAACATGATAATTTAGTCAGATGAGACCTTTTTTATCTGAATGTTTAAAACTTGCAAGGTAATGCAATGCACTAATTTTTGAGTTGGTTATACCTGTCTTGATAAATTCTATATTGTGTATTTTAATTTGTAAGTCACAGTTCGTAGATCCATTCAATATGATCTGTCCTTCATAATCCCTTTTGAAGCAAGTCATGCATCACTTTGGTCGGCTTTGATGGCATTAAAGGCATTATCATAATGGGATAGATTGGCATAAGTTTCTACTTATTAAGAAACTAATTATTATATTCACATCTCACGTACTCTGCCTTAATAAATTAAATAAATATTAATTGATTAAATTTTTGCTTGGATTAAAAAAAGCAATTAATTCTTTTAAATTATAATAAAACTGAAAATAATTTGATCAATTATCCTTTATACTAAAATCAAAGAAAACTTTAAAGTAATTATTATATCTGATGTAAATAAGGGTAAATTGAAAAAACATCAAAACAGAATAATTACTGTAAAACGACTTATATTTTGAACGGATGGAGTAATAATTAACCATTTATCATTTTTTAAAAAAGATTTTGAACTTAATTTCACATATAAAATTTACTTTAAAATGCACCCATGATACAATATTACCATTGATGCCAAAAATCTATATTTAATGCTTCGAGAATATGGATTAATATTTATATATTTGACACCAGAAAACTTCATGGTAGGGGGTTAGAGAATATGAGTTTGACCTTGTAAATTATTCGGTGACAAAAAAGAGAAACTTCCCCTTGACTTGAAAAAAGAAAATTTCTTTTTTGAAAGAAAGAAAAGCAAGGGATTGCAATTGGCGTGAAGTACCAAAATTTTCCTATTAGTAATAACTTTCGTCATAATTTATAATGATAAAATAAAACAAAAACGTGTAAGATGATGATTTGGACGGCTTAGATGAATCCAAACCAAACCAACCCCGTCATCAAACTAATGCTATTCCTAATTTTTTATTTTTCATTTTTCATTTTCCTCTCAACCACATCCTTTTAGTGGGTGAGAAGAAAATTAGAAAAAGACACTGAGAGAATAGAAACACAAAAGGCACGTGACCATCCATCTTATCTCCATTCTCTGCCCATGTGTAATATTGTATAAGAAGGAAAAAAAGTTTGCCAGTTCGGCTTCGCTCTTCGCCCTTTCCTTCTGCGGCGGCGCACGCTCTGCTTGTTGTACCAAAATTAAGCAAACAAAGTAAACCGCTTTCACTTCTAACCCAAGCCAACCAATCTCCTTCTTCATATATACTTATGCATGTGTTCTCTGTTTCCTGTTGCAGTCAAAACCCACTTTTTCTTCTCTTATCTTTTTAGCTTGGAGGAGAGAAAGGTTCAATCTTTCTTCTTCCCCGGTTGTTCAATCCCTGTTTCCTTTCATACCCAGTGTAAAAAGTAAGATGGCCCTGGTGAACCGAAACTGTGCTCATTTGGGTCCAACTCCGATACAGAGGAGTGATTCTTTACTTGGATATACGGAGCATAACTCATTGATAATGGAGAAGAGGCAGTTGTTCTTAAGAAGCTACCAGTTCAGCAGAAAACAGAGCTTAACAGAGAAAGTAAAAAAATCTTTAGGCAGAGTGAAGAAAGTAATATGGTTAAGACTGCGATCTGCTTGTAAACTTAGAAAGTTGGTGTGGTCTAGGTTCCGTCATGCTCTCTATTATCGCCGGAGAAGAAGATTTCTCCGTCTTCTTAGCCCAAACTCTTCATCTTGTTTCTGGTAGGATTATTTCAGTGTCTGTGTTACTTTCTTCTCTCTGTTTTCTGGGTTCTCTGTCTTTAGTTACTCTATCGTGATTATGTCTAGACTATTTATAAATGCTTATATATCTTTGACTGAGTGCAATATTTGATATGAAGTTTGTTTACTATCTGTATGTATATGTGAGACGTACTATGAATCTCCAACTTGCTCTCTTTACTCATACCTAATAGAATTATTTCAACATCTCAGGCATAAATCTTTTAATTTTATGTTATTTCAATTTGTTCAATTAAGTCCAGCAATTGGAATGGTAGTTACAGCCTTACAGGAAACTTGAATTTTTTTTCTTTTTAATAATAGTTTACAAGTACCATGTATCAGTTTCTAGAACTTGAAGTTAGTATTGTTAATGGAGTACTATATTTTTTTTAAGGGAAAACACATCATACATACATGTACTAGAAGTATGAGAATCCCAAGCAAAATGATGTTTGATTCCACTATTGGGTATGGAGCTTGCACAAATTGCCAAGTCTTTTTTCACCAACTTAAAGAAAAGCAAGAACAGCCTTTGGAAAAGGAGGAGGGGTTGATTTTGAAGAGTAAAACTAGGCCTAGGACATTGAAATTTCACGGAATCACATATTCAAACTTTGAATTTTACAATACCCTTTAAGATTAAAAAAAAGGTCAAGAATTTGCCTAGAAGGGGCCTAATAAAGTAGAAAGTCACTGGGGAATCGTGACTTTTACTTTCCATTTACACATGCAACTGCTGTTGAATAAGCAACCAAAGCCCCCTTTTGGGTTTAAAAAATTTCTTAGCTCTGTATTTTTTATGACTAAATTTAACACTCACGGACATTTCCAGCTTGTTAGTTGTTGCCTTGCTGGCCTTAACCATCCAACAAATCCACTCTTTCAAATTCCTAGCTCAGTTGTTCCCATTTGGTTCATTCCCATTTCTCTCCAACCAATCATTCCTTTCTAACAAACAAGTGTAAACTGCCAAAGTATAACTATGGGATGCTAATAATAGAGTGGTCTTATATTAAAGTTGAAATCTTTTTATGAATTTTCCATTTTATAAAGAAAAAGTGAAGAGTAAAGTAAGAAGAAGTTTTTGTATTAAGAAGGTGGCACAAAGTTATTGGAAATCTAATGTCATCTTGCAAGTAGATTTTGAAGATCAAATTCTTTAATTAACCAAAATTATTAGAAACTTAGCATTTAGCAGAGCATCATATTGACCGAAAGGGCATATTTAACATCAGATAATGACAGATACTGGACTAAAATAAAAGCTAAATTATGTATTGTTTTCAGTACACGGCACATGAAAGGATCCACTTCATATTTGGGTTGACCTTCACCAAAAATATAAATAAATACTTGCTTGAGGAAGCACAAAACTTGCAGAACAGAAAACCTGTGTATTATCATTTTTTAATGGCAATTAGTATAATGGCGTGAGCCAGTTCTTCACGTTATAAAAGTCATTTCTTTTACCAATAAATTTCGATTCCATAGTATTAGAGTTATAGCTTATAGGCAAGATTGTGATTTGTGCTGGAATCACAACACTTCCAAGCAAACAAATTAATATTAATTGGTGAAAAAGGAAATAAACTTGCTAAGCAAAGTGGAAGAAGGAGAAATAATATTTAATCTGGAATTAGGATCTCATAGAAGCACTAGTCCAGATCACAAAGTCAAAAATTTACTGTATATCTTGTTTAAATATGGCAGATGCGCAGTCTCATTAATAGGTATTAGAATTTTATTGCAAGGTCTATATATATATATATATACACACACCATGTTTCAGCATACTGAGTTGTGATAATTTGCAGAATTATTTCAGTATTTCTACATGTTCTTTACAACAAACAATAAATTAAGGAAGTTCAAACACTGTTACTTGGAACTTTGTAAAGATTCTTAATTACCCAAAACAGAGGTAAAGTTTCTCACATATGCAATGCCTTTTGCTATAAATGTAAAAACATTCAGTGAATTTACTCTCTGTTTGTGGCTTTAGCCTTTTTGGTTTAGAAGAAGCAGAGGGGTCATCTTTGCATGCCATCTTATTAATTGGAGTGCATAAAATCTCTGCAAAAGCAAAATGAAGCCAAGCAAAATGAAGAATGCTCATCATCATTTCCTTGAAAAGGACTGTCAACTCCTCTAGAGACAAAGTAAATTTCCTAACCAAAAAGTGAAGAAACCAGTAATAAGTAGATTAGAAACAGAAGATGAGAGTAGAAAAAAGTATATTAAAAGACAAGTTATCAATTGTGATTCTCACTCCATTCTAGCAATTTGTTTCCATAAATGGGTTATCCAATGTTGGGCCATGATAATTAAAGAATAGAACTTCAAGTTCAAAAGAAGCATGGCCCTCCAAATTGTGGGCTTTAAAGATTAATTAGAGCATATGAACTTTAATTAAACAATTAAACAACCCCTAATCCTAGGTGCTAGTGCTGGCAGTTTCTTTCTTTCACAACTAAACAAATGACGACCAGTTGTTTTCTTCAATAAGGTACAACTTAGACCAAACAGTTCATAGCTCTGACTTGATTATGTACTAATCTCTGTCAAATGAATAAAGAAACTGCCTTTGGTAAAGATCACAACAATATACATTCTTTTCCTTAACCAAATGATTGGCTTTGAAAATTTGTATACCCTAATATTATCATCAATCATTGCACATGCCTTCCAATATTCCTCTTATCATTTATTAATAACAAAGACTTGCAGAGTAAAGTGTCTGTTTCTGCATATGTATAATTAAAAAACACTAGTTTTTGCTGTGTATATGATATAGCCATGTGTTAAAAGCAAAATATTGGAGGGCATCTTTCTCTCTCCATCTCAATGGGGAGTGTACCAAATTAAAATATGAAGCCACCCATGTGTTATAAGGAATCAAACTTAGGCAATCTTCATCTTTTTGTGCTTCTAGTCTGCATTTGAAGCAACATTTAAACCAGATTCTGCACAAACTCTGCATTCTATTTCTCTTTCTTTGACAGGTATAGTGTCACTAACTACCATTTCTTCTCTTTATGTACTAGACATTTATAGATAGCCACAAAGTCTCTTCTTTCCATTTCTTCTCTTTATGCTGATTAGGCTTCAACTAGGGTTCTAACTTCGAAACTCACATTCCTTAAACCTACTGAGTTCCATTTCTTCTCTTAATATACTAAACATTTATATCTACCCATAAAGAGTACTTTTGAATCCTGCAGATGGGTTTTCAAGATATTGTTGCAGGAATGCACTCCAGGTATGGATACAAGAAGCTTAATTCTTGTGATGAAAAATTTGTAAGGCCTAGAAGGTGTTCTTGGATAAAGAAAATGAATGGAGGATTAAAGGGTATTCGCTTATATCGATCCAAGAAACTTACTTTCAAGGCATTGTCTGTGATGGTATTGCCAAGAAGGATTGCCAGAATTTATGGCGATATTATTAGCAGAATCAAGATGGATGATCTTTATCCGAATATCATCTTCTCCACTCAATTGGGACTACCTGTTTTATCCCATCCTTCTGTTAAATGCAGACGAAGCACCATTTATCTTCAAAGAAATTTAACTTTTGTGTACTAATTTATAAATTCTTGTTCTATCAGAAGAATCTAATAAACTTCATTTTCATTCCCAATTAGTTTTTCTTTCTCATTCTCCTGTAATTATTATAACTTTAGTTTTATGTAGATCAGAAGATTGGATACTGATAAACTAAAACTCTTATCAAGCCAATAGAGCTTAACTAATTACCAAGTGCCTAACTTATATGCTAAAATTTGCTGCTATCATATCAGGTGATATAACAGGTAAAATTTCATAATTTCTACTTATAATTATAAAAAGAAAAAACATAACCATTCGAGCTAATTTAAAATGATTCGAACCTAAAACCTCTGAAATATAAAATTCCAAAAATCAAAAGCAACTAGATAGAACTGCATTAACTTAGCATTCAACGGTAACTGAATGGCAAGCAATCAAACATGATTGAAGTTGTAATAAATTGAAGACAGTAAGGGTAGGTGAGAAGGACAAACCTGTTGAGCAAAACCTAACTATATAATTGTATATATAATAATAATAATAATAATAATAATAATAATAATAATAATAATAGTTGAACCTTCACTGTAAAGGAGAAGGAGGGACCATATTAACTTTCCAGCTACTTCAATTACAAACCCATATTTTATTCCTTCACCCTGTCTTTCAAGAAGGTTTCATTTTCAATTCTCAGTCATGAGCCTTGGCTGCACAAAAATAGGGAGATCTGCCTGTCGCAGCAGAATGTGGAGAGTGGTGTCTTGTACAAGAAGAACAATCTTGAGAACAGAGTCCAAGAAAGACATACAAGAAATACTCAATACTAAGCTGCCAACTATTCAAGAAGAAGAAGAAGATCAAGAAGAAGAGTCGGTTAGAGTACACCTGCAGGTGGCAAAGGCTAAGAAGAATAGCAATAGTGTGAAGAGAATGATTTCTTCTACTTTTAGTAAGAAACGACGTTGGTTTACCTCCAGGTTCACCTTCAAGGAGTGTGATGTTTTATTCTTGGCTGCAGCCTGCAGGGTTTGCCTCCGAAGGTATCAATAGAAGCTTTGGTTTTTTAGTTGTAACCACAGAATCCTCTATATCCGTCCGGTAAGTACTAAAGTTCTCTTAGCACATTTGCTCAGTCCATGAATATCGAATCCTTTGTTAATTATATCAAGGCTTGTTGGTAAATATATTAGCATAACATGTAGTGTACATTATTGGTTTCTCTTTTATGGTTAAGCAAAATACAAAATTAAAAAAAAATAAAAAAAAATGAGGATTTCCACCTTCATTCATTCACTATAAGCTATTTTCTTGATATTCATTTCTAGATAGAAACTAATCTATACGAATTCAATTTCAGACCAAATCAAAAATTGACAGTTTACGGGTAAATTCTAATTTTTATTTTTAGAACTGAAATCAGCCTGAAAATAACATAATTTGGCCGTTGACTTTACAATTTTGACTGTTTTCTTTTATAAATTATAATAAAAAAAGGTGCATGAACAAAAACAGCAAAATGAGAGCAAATAACAAACGACAGCGAACGGCATGTATTGGCCGCCAAATTAAACAAGAGCTAAACACCGGCCGACACATTTAAATAACGCGTTTTAACTCCCCGACCTCGTTTTAACGCCAGATAAGAACTACATCTAAACAAAAGGAACGGCATGTCGTTTTTTTTTTTTTTTTTTTATCTATGACGAATTCAATTTCAGACCAAATCAAAAAAATTGACAGTTTCGGTAAATTCTAATTTTTATTGTTAAGAACTGAAATCAGCTCTGAAAATAAACATTAATTTGGCCGTTGACTTTTAACAATTTTGACTGTTTTCTCTTTTTAATAAATATAATTAAAAAAAAAGGTGGCAATGAAAAACAGCAAATGAGAGCAAATAACAAACGAACAGGCGACGGCATGGTATTGGCCGCCCAAATTAAACAACGAGCTAAACAATCACCGGCCCGACACATTTAAATAACGCCGTTTTAACTCCCCGACCTCGTTTTAAACGCCAGATAAGAACTACATTATAAACAAAAAGGAACGGCAGTCGTTTTTTTTTTTTTTTTTTTTGGTATCTTTTCCTTAAATCCATAAGTTCATTTTTTTTTTTTTTTTTTTTTTGGTATCTTTTACTTCAATCCATAAAGTTCATTTGCAAAGGCATCCATGGTCCCCATTTTGGTGGCAGAAAGGGTCCATGACATGTCATGCTGCGTATTTACGCAATGCATGGAGAGAATATGGACATCTCATACATATATTTTTGTTTGGAAAATAATATTACAATTAAAATACTACTATAAATTACAAGATTTTTAGTCCAAAATTTTAATTAAAATATATGATATAATTAAAATATGAACATAAAATGAAAAATTAAAGTGATATTTTGTGCCATAAAGTCCAACCATGTATAGTGTGAACCAATTACTTTTTACACATTCCCATTGTACACTTTTACCCTGAAGCTTCTTCTTTTCATAATTGATTTTTTAATTTAGCAATAATAGTAATGATTTAAACTCAAAAATATTTTAATTTTTTTGTGACTAATTAAATGAGATATAATTAGTTTTTTTACTCAAAAAAAGAGTGAAAGGTCTCAAATTTAAATTTTTTTCAACCATGATAATTATTGTTGTGTAGCATAACATAAAATGAATTGATCTCTATGTTTTCAAACTTGATTAGAATGTGCTTGGAAAATTACTTGCACATTAAATTAAAAAAAAAAAAGTTCAAAATGAAAATAAAAATGAAAATAACCACCGGATAACGGCAAGAGATACGTCCATTAGATAAGGAAAACGTGGTCATTTTTACTATGTTGTCGGCTTTATGTGAAAAATGATTAACGTACAAAGTCATAAAATTTAGAAATTTTTTATTTCATCAATAAATAAATAAACAAAAGAGTCTCCTCGTCTTTGTCACAGTTGCGAGTTGGGCAAAAACTCGAAAACCTGTTGCCAGTTGTGGAATAGGCAGCAAACACAGTGCAAAGAGTATTTTCGTCAGAAAACTCAGGCGAAGAAACCCATTTTTATCCAATCTCTATTGTTCAAATTATCAACTGGGTTTTCTCTTCTCTTCTCTTCTCTAATCCTGTTTTTCAAGATTCTAGATTGATGATTAATGCCTGTGGTGGCTGTGGTCCTCTACTTTGTTTTCCAGTTTTCATTTAGCCGCAATTTCTGATTCTTGTCTGTTGATGTCTGCCTACGCACCCGAGTCTGACAGGAAGATATCCAAAGTTGGTGGCAGAGTGGATGAAGATGATGATAATGAAGAAGAAGATGAACAGGGTGGTGGTGGGGCCCGTGTCAGGGTTAGTGCAGATACCGTCAAGAACAAGAAGAATAATAATAAGAAGAACAAGAAGAAGAAGAAGAAGAAGCAGCAGAGAAGAGGATATGGGTGTGCAAAGGAGGTGGTCCTCGTTCCATTTATAAAGGCGAAGAATTATCTGAAACAATCCAGGACCAATAACTGGTCCTCTTCTTCTTCTGCCACAGGTAATAGGTTTGATGGTAGTTGCTTTTGTTTAAAGCAGCCTTCTACTTTGGAATCCCCTGCTGATTCTCACACAAGCGACCCTGATGATCCAAAATTTACCCTTGAGATGTTAACGACTTTGATTGAGAAAAATGATTTCTACTCCAAAGAATGCAATCCCCATTTTGATGCTACTTCTCCTCTTTGATCTACTACTAATAATAATACTTATCGGTGAAAGTTAAGGGCTTTTGCTATTATTGCTTTCAATATCTTGACATAAGCATGTGGGAGGCTGCAGAAGTTAAGATTGGGCCCTTGGATTATGGGTTTTTGTGAAATTAGAAAGCTTAAAGCTATAATATTTGATTGCTTAATATTTGGCTTTTATCTGCTTTGGGAATTCATTCATTCATTCATTCATTGGTATTTCTCTGTTCTTTGAGAAGGATCGAGTATCATTAAGTATCTTTCTTGAGTTTAAAGAGCTTTGACTCTCGAACATATTGTGGAGGAGTCAGCTTTCTCTTCCCTCAACTGTTTACTTTCGATGGAAATTGGGAGCAATCTTATGATTAAGCACATTTGAGATATATTACATTATTTCTTGGAGAATTATTTCGGCTTCTGTTGGACATGCAGAATTCAATTGTTTATCTGGAGGAAATTTAAGGTTCAAGTATATTAGAACTAGTGAAAATTGAAGGATAATACATGTATAGGACCAAATGCAATTTGTACTATGGTCAGTTTCGTGTGAGATACACTTGGAGTTATTCAAACTACATATACAATTTTTTTTTTATTTGATATCTACAGTGTGGTGTTTTAGTCCCAATTTTGTTTTTGGCCGTGCTTTCTATATCTTTGATTGTAAAAGTGACTGAGTTAAGCAGGTTTTTTGCTGTTTCTTGCTTCTTTCTTGACATGGCAGTACCCCGATATGTAGACACATGACTATAATTAAGGGTCATATACGTGCATGAGATTTATGTATGATAGATGAAATGCAAGTGTAGCTTATATTGACTCATTGCTAGTCTCAATACGTCCTCTGCCTCATATTTCAATGAGATAATGAGGTTCCCTGAATGATGTTTAGCATAAAAGCAATCCCATCTGCCTTTGAGCTTGAATTGTGCAAGAAGATCATGATGCTATAAGGCATATCTTCTTTGATGATTGGAAACTTTCCAGGAAAAGTAATTCCCAGTTATGCATAATTTCATTTATTTACATCAATAGATAGTATTATTTTCTGTGCTATGCTCTAGCTAATCTAATTTTTGGATCTTGACTCCGGATTCTATGGTACAGAAGCAACAATAGCCCTCTTATACTGTTTTATCAGATGATGAGATAGTGTATTCCTTCATATGGCTTGACTTGTTTTCATGAGTAAAGCTTTGAGGAAATTCTTTATTTTTACCTTTCAATTTGTTCAGGGGTGGCAGCAGTGCCACCGCTAATCAGATTCCTCCAGTTACAGCCTTTTGTCTTCAGAATCAATTTCCAAAGTACCTTATACTTAAACTGTCTCAGACTTGCCATGTTGAAGCTCCAAAAGGAGTATTGGGAATTTTTCTGATAGGGGATCAGAGCGGTTTTCCTTCGATCTCTACTCATTTCACTGCTCCACCGGAAATTCCCTCTGCCCCTACCAATCTGCAAGTAATCTTAGGGTGTATCTTATAAAGTGTTGCATCAGCACCATCCAATGAAATGAAGTTTGGTTTTTTTATGGTTTATTTTGGTTGATGATCCCAATGGACAGGTTGAGGATTCTTAGTCTGGATATTGAAGACATGACCTTTCATAATGGGTCTATTTCTGTTCCCTTCTTTTCCCTTTCTTATAATTTGGGGATATGCAAGAGTTGTTTTGCTTCATGGAGCTCTTTCTGTAGGCTATATCTAGCCAGGCGCTGGATCTCCTTTGCTTTTGTATTACTTCATGATTTGATAATTCTTGTATTGAATTAATTTGAAGCTTATCAAGCAATCAAATCTTATGTTTAGTTGGGATATGGATAAATAAGACAGGCTTGTATTAATTCTTTCCCCTTTCTTTTCAACAGCCATTCACATTCTTGCAATTGCATAACAGAGTTGTCCTTGTCATTGTTCCTGATTGCCTCTTTCCGAGGTCATGCCATTTTACTTTAGATACCCTTATTCCATTGTTATACTTGCATTATCTTTGTTCTAATATCATTTTTACTCATGTAGAAGTAATATACTGCAAATCAAGTTTCTAGTTTTCACAGTTAATTCTGCAATTTGAGCTTAAACCCCCTGTTCCTGTGACATTGGAATATTCCATGATAAGTTCCTTGATGCCAATCGCTAGTAGCTAGCTTCTGAAGTTGAACACTGATCTAGAAAAGTATGAACAGGTTCAATATGACATCCATTCATGGTAAAAAAGACTAGTCTTTTTCTTCAATTATTTAAGCATTTAATTTTTTTGGTTAATTAGCTTCAACTTATGATGCACCGAAACTTCTAGCTATGGATGTTTCCGTATATATTTTAAATGTCCTTTTTCCGTATCATTTCCGTGTACTTGCAACATAACAGACGTCAGTTTCAATCACACGCCTTTTAGTTTTAGAAACTTAGCAAGCACTGAGCCAAAGATTTCTGCATTTACTTGTACGATTAATGCCAATCACACTAATTCATCCTTCTCCTGTCACTGTCATTTGGTTAGGCAATTGGGGGTTGGGACTGGGCAGAGAGTTGGCTCCCAACCCAATGCCTATTTTGCATTGTCCTTGCACGCAAGTTATATTTTGAGGTCTTTCCCGTTTTGTATAAGCATTTGGTTCTGTTTTAACTTAGTCACCCTTTCATGAAATGCATCTCCAGCATTTTGGTTAAATTGTTCCATACATTCATATACATGAACCCCAGGACCAACATATCCTAACAAATTATTAAAATTAAATCTGAATTCTCAAATTGTATTTCTTTTTAAATTTCCCAACTTTAAGTAATATCAATTTTTCTTTTTTAGATTTTCCCTACCCAAAATCCTTGAATTTAAAGAAATATTTATTCAATTGACAGACTTTCCATACTCAAAATTCTTGAATTTAAATAGATATTTATTCAATTAACTATAAACCGACACTATCCTGGATCACCCAACACTATAAATAACGAATAATCTCTAAAAATTATGTTAAAAGTTGTTAGAGCCTTAAATATAACTTACTACTTGAACTGTAAATTTTTAATCTTTCTATGCTACATTATAAATAGGAGATAAATACTCTATGATTTGCACTAAGAAAACAGATAGCGCAGCTCTTTACTATACCATGGCTATTTGAATAGGAACGACAAACACGAAGAACGAAAAATTCACGAGAAGCAGCTTCAAATTCAAAACTTCAAGGTCAGAAACTATAGTCCACAACAAGTTGGCATCAGAAATAGCACTTTGATCCGATTGAATACAAAGTTGCTACTCGAAAAGCAACTTCCTATCTCCTATGCAGTCAAAACAAGAAGAGTAGTTTCAACGGATGTATCGCGAAACGGCAAAGTTCTAGAAATCAAACAAACAAAAAGAAGGGTAAAGGGGGCAAATGGTCCCCCAACCATGATGGCTTGAAATGGCGCCATCGCATTCGCAGCTTGTTGTCGGGTCCCAAGATTAAGGACCCATGTGGATTCACGCTGCCATCTTCGTAAAAACTTCGACTTTAGGGATTAACCTCAACAGATTGAGGGAAAAAAGGACCAAGACGAAAGAAAGTAGGCAAATGGCCCTACTTCTCCACCACCATCGGTTACAAGATTCTACAAGAACAACTCTGTAAGTATGGGTATAAAACCCAATCCAGTTCTGGTAGGTATGTGTCATTTGCCCAGTTGTACGCACGTGACTACCATTAGTCATATCTTCTTGTTTGTTTGTTTATTATATATTATCAGAATTGAACTAATCATGGAGGCATGGTCTCATGGGTAGTGATAAACTAATGATGGGGTACCATTTAGTGGCATTTGGGCATATATGGGCTCTTATTCGTCTTTGTTCCTCTTCCCATTCCCACCCAACGCCAACACTAACTTCTCTCTTTTAATCTACACTACAGTTACCCACACCAAGATAGCTCCTTTCTTATCCTTTTGTTGATTTCTTTATTAATTTCCTGTGGTCACATGATGGATAAAAGATCCCACTTTTAATTTGTTGAATATCTTTTTGCCGCCCTCTTTGATTGTTTATCAAATTTTTTTTTTCTTTTTGTTGGAGAACGGTTTTTGATCTTCTAGTTATGGAGAAAGCAGTTTCAGATGCACCTGTGCAAGTTGATAATTGGAGAGAGAGAGAGGAGAGAGAGAGATTGGTAAAGGCATCCAATTGAGTTTCTACTATTGAAGGGTGATCGACTGCCACTACTGTCCATCTTTGGAAAGTAAACAATAAAATAATATACCAGAATATTTATATATTACATATAATATTATTATTTCTTCAGCTATCAATGTCTTGGAGGACGGTGAACCCAGTCTTGGAGGAAACCCACCCAAAGAGGAAATCTGGATGAAATTTTCTTCGAGAGTAGATATTTTTTTGTTATTATTATATTGAGGCGTGGTCCTTGCTCTGTTCGCGGATTGGAGTGTTGGGGGTAACAGACACGAGGAGCGGCGATCGAGATTTGCTTACTCGGAAAATTCTTGCATGCACCGAGTCCAAGGCCCCACCCATGGACTCATATTCTTTATTTTATTGATTGATAAGAGCTTCCAACCTCCACTTCTTCATACTCTCCCTTCCCCTTCTTTAAGCAGTTAACCTCATCATTTGAAGCAGGCTGGATCTGAGTACTGGGTTTGGCTCCCTTTAGCTCTGCAAGGTTTGAGCTCTTCTTTCTTTCTGTCTTAATTCTTGAATGAGTAGTAGTTTTCTTTTCATTTTTAAAACAGGGGTTAAAGGCTTTTATTCCTTCCTTCTACTTACTCTTCACGTCTTTTATTGTAGAAATTAGTATTCTCTATGCTCATTCTTCGTGGCTAAAACTTCAATCTTCATTTGAGTTCTATTAGCTAAGCTAAGAATAGTATTTTCCTTGGTTAATTATATCAAACCAAATCATTGATATTACTGGGTAAATGGTTTTGGGCTAGACAATGTTGGATCAACTTTTCAGCTTTGAAAAAAATGTGCCTTTGTCGGTTCTGTTCATTGAACGCCTGTTGTTATTGAAATATGCTTGGTACACAAAAAGATTAAGGATAGCATATCTTTGTTTCATTATTGTTAAGGAAGATGACAAACACCTACGTACTGATTACTGTAATCTCTACCACAGATTTTAACCACCTTGTATCATACTGGAGAAGCTCTTATACTTGAACTTCAGTGAGAGCTGTCTCAACTTCACTTTATGGTGATGAAGAAATGACAACCATGTCCTGTCGTGATAAAAGTAAATAAACAAATAAGTAAAATAGCCAACGATAGCAATCATACAAGCTCATAATCGTTAGTTTGAGTCGATGCCCACAGGAAGAGGGGATTTTTATTATTGTTCGTAGGACCAAATCCGGCAATTTTGTGAGGTGCTTTTTCTTGGCGTTTTAAGTTTTTAAATCCCTTTTTCTTTTTTCCACTGTTTTCCACCACCAGAATTAAGGAAGATGTCTACCTCAAGGCCAAGTCACTCCTCATCCAGCAACTCTACGAGATCAAGACACAGTGCTAGAATTATTGCTCAGACTACTGTAGATGCAAAGCTCCATGCAGATTTTGAGGAGTCAGGCAGCTCATTTGACTACTCGAACTCGGTGCGTGTTACCGGTTCAATTGCAGGAGATCAGCCTCCAAAGTCAGACAAAGTAACCACAGCCTATCTTCATCACATTCAAAAAGGCAAGCTCATCCAGCCTTTTGGCTGTTTGCTAGCCTTAGATGAGAAAACTTTCAAGGTTATTGCGTATAGTGAGAATGCTCCTGAAATGTTGACCATGGTTAGTCATGCAGTCCCAAGTGTTGGGGACCACCCAGTTCTAGGAATTGGAACTGAAACAAGGACTATCTTCACTGCACCCAGTGCCTCTGCCTTGGAGAAAGCTCTGGGATTCGGTGATGTTTCTCTTTTGAATCCAATTTTAGTCCATTGCAAGACTTCTGGGAAGCCCTTTTATGCTATTGTGCATCGGGTAACTGGTAGCTTCATAATTGACTTTGAACCAGTGAAACCTTATGAGGTGCCCATGACTGCTGCTGGGGCCTTGCAGTCATACAAGCTTGCAGCTAAAGCAATTGCCAGGTTGCAATCTTTGCCAAGTGGGAGCATGGAAAGGCTTTGTGATACAATGGTTCAGGAGGTCTCTGAGCTCACTGGTTATGATAGGGTGATGACATATAAATTTCATGATGATGAACATGGGGAAGTTATTTCTGAGATTGCTAAACCAGGTTTAGAGCCATATTTGGGTCTGCATTATCCAGCCACTGATATCCCTCAGGCTGCACGCTTTCTATTTATGAAGAATAAGGTGCGAATGATTGTTGATTGTCGTGCAAAACATGTCAAGGTGCTTCAAGATGAGAAGCTTCCATTTGATCTGACCCTGTGTGGTTCAACCCTAAGGGCCCCACACAGTTGCCATTTGCAATATATGGAGAACATGAACTCCATTGCTTCACTGGTTATGGCAGTTATAGTCAATGAGGGGGATGAAGACAATGATAGTCCTACTTCTGTGCAACCACAGAAAAGAAAGAGACTTTGGGGTTTAGTAGTCTGCCATAATACAACTCCGAGATTTGTTCCATTCCCTCTCAGGTTTGCCTGTGAATTTCTAGCTCAAGTATTTGCCATCCATGTCAACAAGGAGTTGGAATTAGAAAATCAGATTGTTGAAAAGAACATCCTGCGTACCCAGACGCTCTTATGTGATATGTTGATGCGGGATGCACCCTTGGGTATTATGACACAGAGTCCAAACATAATGGATCTTGTAAAGTGTAATGGGGCTGCACTATTGTACAAGAACAAGATATGGAAGTTGGGAGAAACTCCTAGTGATCTTCAAATTCGAGATATAGCTGTATGGCTCTCAGAGTATCATATGGATTCTACAGGTTTGAGTACGGATAGCTTGTATGATGCGGGGTATCCAGGGGCTCTTACTCTTGTTGATGTAGTTTGTGGAATGGCAGCTGTGAGAATAACTTCCAAGGACATGCTATTTTGGTTTCGGTCCCAAACTGCTGCAGAAATTCGATGGGGTGGAGCAAAACATGAACCTGGTGAGAAGGATGATGGCAGGAGGATGCACCCAAGGTCATCCTTCAAGGCCTTCCTTGAAGTTGCCAAGACCAGGAGTCTGCCTTGGAAGGACTATGAAATGGATGCAATCCATTCTCTGCAGCTTATACTGAGGAATGCTTACAAAGAGGTAGAAACCATGGATATGGATGCCAAAACAATTCATTCAAGGCTTAATGACCTTAAAATTGAAGGGATGCAAGAACTGGAAGCAGTGACTAGTGAGATGGTCCGCTTAATTGAAACAGCCATGGTGCCAATTTTGGCAGTTGATGTCAATGGGCTTCTTAATGGGTGGAATACCAAAATTGCTGAGTTGACTGGTCTTCCTGTTGATAAAGCAATCGGAAAGCATTTGCTGACACTAGTGGAAGATTCTTCAATTGACATAGTAAAGAACATGTTGTTCTTGGCATTGCAGGGTATGTCTTATTCTGATTTCACATTTTAACTATCTAAATTTATTAATTCTTAAGTCTTACTACTAAGAGATGTGTATATAAGCTTAAGTGAAATTAAGCAAGTCAATGATTGTTTGTGACCACTCAATTATGCTTTTGTCCAAGGAAATGCTTCCCATGCAGGATTTTATGCCATCTTCCTCTACCCGTCAAATGTTTATAGTATTGTTTGTCATAATCCTTACTGTTGGTTAAATTTCAAATGGAGTATGAATAGCGAATCTATGGTAAATTTGCTAGATTAGGCAGGATAAGTAGGTAGTATTAAGGGAAGGGATTTGTAACTCTACTCTTTATTCAGTATTGCAGTAAAGAAGAATGAGATGTCTTAACTGTGCATTTTACGATGTTTAGGTATGTTCTGCATGCTTGAGGTCAAAACATCCAATTTGAGAAAATTTATGGAGTTCCTTATTTTCTCTTTCTGATCAGGCAAGGAGGAGCAAAACATCCAATTTGAGATCAAAACACATGGCTCCAAGGTTGAAGGTGGCCCCATCAGCTTAGTTGTTAATGCTTGTGCAAGCCGGGACATTCATGAAAATGTTGTTGGGGTGTGTTTTGTGGCCCAAGATATCACAGGCCAGAAGACAGTTATGGACAGGTTCACCCGAATTGAAGGTGATTATAAAGCAATTGTACAAAACCCAAACCCATTGATTCCCCCAATTTTTGGAACCGATGAATTTGGTTGGTGCTCTGAGTGGAACCCTGCTATGACAAAATTGACTGGATGGAAGCGAGAAGAAGTAATAGATAAAATGCTTTTGGGGGAGGTCTTTGGGATCAATACAGCTTGCTGTCGTCTCAAGAATCGAGAAGCCTTTGTAAATCTTGGTATCATACTTAATAATGCCATGACTGGCCGAGAACCTGAGAAGGTTTCTTTCAGTTTCTTTGCTCGGAATGGAAAGTATGTGGAGTGCCTGTTATGTGTGAATAAGAAATTGGACAGAGAGGGTGCTGTTACTGGGGTCTTCTGCTTCCTGCAGCTTGCAAGCCAAGAGCTACAGCAAGCACTTCATATCCAGCGATTATCAGAGCAAACTGCTCTGAAAAGATTGAAAACATTATCTTATATAAAAAGGCAGATCAGGAATCCTCTCTCCGGGATTATATTTTCACGGAAAATGATGGAGGGCACTGAGTTGGACGCAGAACAAAAGCAGCTTCTGCATACTAGTACTCTATGTCAGCGGCAACTCAGCAAAGTTCTTGATGACTCTGATCTAGATAGTATCATTGAAAGGTATGATAACTTAGAAGTCAGTTAAGAATGATTTGCTTATTCTGAGTTATGCGTCCGTCATGCATTTTCTGAAAATAATTGCATAGGGAGAAATACAGTACTTCACCCTTCATCCAAGATTCTCAGGGGACTGGTAAATTCACTAGGCTCTATTGTTAGATAAAACCTATAAACTGGATAAGTTTGGTTCCAATTTAGCAATTAAAAAATCTCAAAGGAGATTAGGATAAGAGCTCATATCTGGATAGGAAGGTAAGTTAAGTTGCCGTATTTCTTATTGTGAAAATAGAAATTTGAGGTAACAGAAAACAGCCCTCTGATAATTAGAACATTTTCTTTTTTCTTCTATCGTCTTTATTTGTGGTTCTCTTTTACTTGGTTGACAGCTACTTAGATCTAGAAATGGTTGCGTTTACTCTGCACGAAGTACTAGTTTCCTCCATCAGCCAAGTCACATTGAAGAGCAAGGGAAAGGGTATTAGAATCACCCACCATGATGTAGCAGAAGAGATCATGGGTGAGACTTTCTATGGTGATAGCATTAGGCTTCAACAGGTATTAGCTGACTTCCTGTCGGTATCAGTTAACTATACACCAACTGGAGGCCAGCTTATACTTGCAGCTAACTTGACCAAAGATCAGTTAGGGCAATCCATTCATCTCGTGCACCTGGAACTCAGGTACTACTTCTGGCACCTATTAAGACGTCAATTTATGCACATTTGGCCCTAGTTTGTTTCCATAATTTTTTATTATGTACATGAAATGTTTCTGCTAGAAATGTACATGAAGCTAACCTTTGTTGCGTCTAAATTTGTTTAGGATAATGCATACCGGCGGCGGGATACCTGAAGCATTACTGAACCAAATGTTTGGTAGTGATGGAGATCCATGTGAGGAAGGCATCAGCCTGCTCGTCAGCCGCAACCTGGTGAAGCTTATGAATGGAGATGTACAGTACTTGAGAGAAGCAGGAAAGTCCAGTTTTCTTATATCAGTTGAACTTGCAGCAGGCCAAAAGTCAAGGGACTAACTTCCTTAGACACATTTAGTGTCTGTTGTATATATCGCAAGAAGAAAATTTTGGACTTGGATGCTGTCATTTGTCATGCCTAGCAGTTCTTCATTTTTTCAATTTTCTTCTTTATCTACACATTTGCCTTGTTTTCAAGTTGTAAATAAATGGCAATTTCACTATGTTTTATGGATATTGTTTTAGATTCTTATTTACAACAGAATTGATGCATCTTTTCATGGATGAACAGCAAAAAATGTCCCAAAACCAAAAGCATTCCTTCCATCTCTTCCTTTATTTTTAGGACTTGGGGAAAAAAGGAAAGGAAAGAAAAAGTAAAGAAAAACTTCATTCTTGGAAAGGGGGAAAGTTTTGGCTCTCAAGGGGAAATACACATTTAACCATGTGATACTTACTTCTTTCTTTCCTTAATAAATGTCCATTTTGCTAAAAATGCGAGAATTAAGGAAATGAGGAAATGATTAGAAGTCATTAATATACTAATATTTTACTAAAATGCCCTTGTAGTAATGATAAAAATAAAAATATAATGTTATTTTGATTTCATAAAATAGATATTTAAATTGGAAAAAGAAATGACAAAATGGGCACTCATTAAACAACGGAGGGAGTAATAAATTTTGCAGGGACTCATTGTGTTCTCAAATCATAAAATTACATTAATTAAATATTTCAATTTGTAAAAATTATTTTAGTTAACACTTCATCTTATAAAATTGCATTCCTTAAATACTTATTTAATATTTAAAAAATATAAAAATAATTATTCTAATAATTACACAAACTACATAACATTAATATTTTACGTATAAAAATTGTTATTTTTCATTTGCAAGTTAGAGGATATAATAAGTTATATAAAAATTGTTGTCGTTGGTATACGGAAGCGGTAAACGTCTAGTCGTTTACAACCAAAGCCGCACACAGAAATGATAGAAACTTGCAAAATGCAAATTGACCCGATCAATCAGACAATCGGGTCTCCGCAGAACTGTGGGCTTCGTAAGCCAAATTGGACTCTGGTTTTAGGCTTTAGAAGCGTCCTTCCCTTTACCCTCAATCGATCTCTTCTATCTTTCAACGCGCGGAACTCTCCTCCTCTCTCTCCCTTGTCTTGCTTACTTCCACTTCCTATAAGGTCTTAGGCGGCTGCTCTTCCTGCATTCCTATCTCCACCTTTCCACAGATCATTTAACTGGTCGCGGTTATGGAGATTACGCAGCTGTCTTTTGCAGCTGATACGCCTCCTCTCCCTGTTATTGCTGCCGCTAAGGTTGCTTCCGTCCATCTTCCCTCGCCTACTCTTGTCAACGATGTTTCCCTGCCTACTGTTGTCTTCTCCGATGGGTATCTTCCATATCGTGTTGTTTTATTTTTTATTTTATTTTGGTAATCCGAAAAGCTTATTGAATTTAGCTGACTGGTCCATTTGTTGTTTAGGACGAAATTGCAAGGTATATTTGTACTTCTTAGGTATATTGGTCGGGTTGCCAAGCTTCCCAATTTTTATGGACAGAATGCGTACTTTTCTGGACAGGTGATTTTACTTTGCTTTAACTACGCTGCTCCTTTGGGAATTTCCCTTTTTAGTTTTGATATTGCTAATCCTTGACATTACGCATTGTTGTGCTTTTTAGATTGACGAGTGGCTAGACTATTCTCCTATTCTTTCATCCGGGTCTGAATTCGAGAATGCGTGCGGCCATATTGACAATTATTTGGCAAAGCGTACATTTTTGGTTGGACATTCTTTATCTATTGCGGACATTGCTATCTGGTCAGGTCTAGCAGGTATTTGCTACAACTATTACTAAGTATTTTCTTTTGCTCTTTTATTCATTGGTGAATATCTATACTTCTTTTCATATCAAGAATAAGTAATTTCCAATCTTTTCCAAATTGTGTTCAAAATACTCCTAAAATAATAAGAAAGGTGTTTTCTTTTTTGGTTCGAGACTAGAGAGCTGGCAGAGTGTTTCCTTTGGTCAGGTGGCAATTCTATTGGATTGCATTATATGCCTGGACTGTTCTAAGATTGTTTACATTTGAGTGTGTATAGATGATTGATTTCATTTCTTAACATTTAATTTTCTTGTTGTCACTATGTAATAATTTGTGGTGCTATGAACTGTGCTTGTTTTATATATCCAATTATTTTTTTTGCTCAATGAATGTTTTCCAGAGATCCATGACATTTCTATGCTCCGCAGGAACTGGGCAGAGATGGGAGAGTTTGAGGAAGTCAAAGAAATATCCAAATCTTGTGCGTTGGTTCAACTCAATATCTGTTGAATATAGCGATGCCTTGAATGAAGTTACATCAACATATGTTGGCAAAAGAGGTTTGGGAAAGCCTGCTACAGCTAAATTGAAAGAACAGCAGGTTGTCAATGGAGATATTTCTGAAAAAGGAAAAGCAGGCAGCAGAACATCTGAAGTTGATCTTCCAGATGCTGAAATTGGGAAGGTGCGCCTCCGGTTTGCTCCAGAGCCCAGTGGTTATCTTCATATTGGTCATGCAAAAGCAGGATTATTGAACCAGTATTTTGCTCAGAGGTACAAAGGTGAGTTGATTGTTCGCTTTGATGATACAAATCCATCAAAAGAAAGCAGTGAATTTGTGGATAATCTTCTGAAAGATATTGAGACATTGGGCATCACATATGTAAAAGTTACACATACATCAGATTACTTTGATAAGTTGATGGAAAAGGCTGAAGAGTTGATCAGGCAAGGTAAAGCTTATGTTGACGATACACCACGTGAGCAAATGCAGAAAGAAAGAATGGATGGTATTGAATCAAAGTGTAGGAACAATAGTGTGGAGGAGAATCTGAAATTGTGGAAGGAAATGATTGCAGGATCAGAAAGAGGTTTGCAGTGCTGTCTTCGTGGGAAGTTAGACATGCAAGACCCGAACAAATCTCTTCGAGATCCAGTGTATTACCGTTGCAATCCTGTTCCTCACCATAGAATTGGGTCCAAGTATAATATATATCCAACATATGATTTTGCCTGTCCCTATGTTGATGCTATAGAAGGCATAAGTCATGCACTTCGATCAAGTGAGTACCATGATCGAAATGCTCAGTATTACAGGATCCAAGAGGATTTGGGAGTTAGAAAGGTTCACATTTATGAGTTTAGCCGGTTGAATATGGTCTATACACTTCTCAGTAAGCGTAATCTTCGATGGTTTGTTGAAAATGGAAAGGTTGATGGATGGGATGATCCTCGATTTCCAACTGTCCAAGGAATTGTGCGTAGAGGTCTGAAAGTTGAGGCATTAGTACAATTTATTCTTGAGCAGGTAAGATACTTGCCCCGTGATTTGTTCATTTATATTATGATTCTTGTTAATAGTCCATGCAAAATACTGTGCATCCATGTTGTGATAACTGGTTTCATTTCAATTAATTGTAGCTGAAGGCCCAAATTCATGCATCAAGTATGGTAGTTTACCTTCTTGGATTGCTTAATTTTTTTATTATATCAAAATTCTTTATTGCATTGCTGTATCATTTGTTTAATTATTGCTTATGAATTGCCTAGGAAGGCAAGTTTAGATTCATCATCTTTTTTTGTTTCCCATCTTCCAAATTTCCAATTGTATGCTCTTAAATTTGAGAGGCTTCTTTCAATTTTCATATCCATACTGTTTCAGGGGGCATCAAAGAATCTCAACCTCATGGAATGGGACAAGCTTTGGACAATCAATAAGAAAATCATAGACCCTGTGTGTCCTAGACACACTGCGGTTATTGAAGAAAGACGTGTATTGCTAACCTTGACTAATGGTCCTGAGACTCCATTTGTTCGCATCATTCCGAGACACAAGAAATACGAGGGTGCTGGAGAGAAGGCCACAACGTACACAAAGAGGATATGGATGGACTATGATGATGCAGCTTCTATCTCAGAGAATGAGGAAGTAACCTTGATGGATTGGGGGAATGCCATAATAAAGGAAATTGTGAAGGACGAGAGTGGAAAAGTTACAGAATTGATTGGGTTTTTGCATCTTGAAGGATCTGTTAAGAGCACAAAGTTGAAGCTTACCTGGCTGCCTGAAATAACTGAATTAGTTAACATTTTACTGGTGGAGTTTGACTATCTAATAACAAAGAAAAAGGTAATCTCATATGAGTGCTTTTAAGTTTGCATCGGTACAAATGCATTGATTTCTGAGTTGATATGAAAATTGCTTATTTTTAAAACCTTAACTGTTGAGACTAGTTTACTTTTCATTTACTTTGGCTCTCAATTTCTAGATTCTATGCCCTCCATTTTCTCGTCCGATCTTATGTCTCCCTATTCGAATATCTGAAACATTAAGACTAGTTTATACCTGATGGTTAGTTTAGTTTTCTGTTTCTTGTAGCTTATGATCAGATAGTGATGTAGAACCCTTCTCACACCCAAAAACTTCAATTCAACTAAAATCAAATATGCCTACAACCTTATGTTGAGCAAACTAAAATAGAATATTGCTAATAGTCCAACTACCAAGATATAGAATTTCTAAACAAGCCTACTAAAACTTCAGTCTACTTGTAAAAGAATAATAATTGTTGCCAAAGAGGCCCTTCGTTCCAAGATGAGTTTAAGATCATGGTAGGTTTTGGAGGGGAGGAGTATAAGCTACATCAGATAGTTTATCTCTAGTCATAAGGTGCCTTCGCGGTTCAGATGCTTCTTTTTCCCAGTACCGTGATTCATAACTGCTAACCATGATTGTGTTGCTTGATTTTGATTCTGGTTAATATTGCAGCTCCACCAGCTTTTCATATTTGCTTTTGATTTTTCACTTGTTTCACTTGTGTGGGAAAAACAAGAAGTCCATTTTTTGAAAATGAGCACTTGTTTTTAGAGTGAGCATATTGCAAAAGATGCTTTTTGCAAAATGTACGCGTTAAATTGTTGCTTTGCAAAAAGATGCTTGGTAAAAGGCATTTCACACTATCGTAAGCATTTGGGTAGCTGATGGTTATCTGAAGTATTGGCTTTTTGGTAGATAGAATTGAATTGGTGGTTGATTTTGTGGTTGCAGTTGGAAGAAGGAGAGAATTTCCTTGATGTGCTTAACCCATTGACCAAGAGGGAGATTGAAGCAATAGGGGATTCAAACATGCGAAATTTAAAGCGTGGAGAGATCCTGCAGCTGGAGAGGAAGGGCTACTTTAGATGTGATGTTCCTTTTGTGAGACCTTCAAAGCCCATAGTTCTATTTGCAATTCCAGATGGCAGGCAGGCAACCTCATCAAAGTAGACGATCACATCTAACTAGACTATTTTCAGGTTTTAGAATTTCATCTCCGTGTTTTTTTAATTATTATTATTATTATTATTATTATTATTACATGGGATGAGAATTGGTGTTTGAATGTTCTCCCTCTAATGTGCAGACATGCAAAATCTTATGAAACTTTTGCTTGACACTCCCTTTACTTGCTAATTCAAATTATGAATTAAGCTATGAATGAAACATTTATTTCCCTCTGTTATCTGAATAATTGTGGCTCGATGAGAGTACAGGTTTATGCTATTCCCATTCAAAGAATGTATGATAATGTAGAAAATGCTGGAGAGAAGTGCATGCAACGGAACATGCCAAAAGTTAAAATCTTGATTGGTGAAACTACTGATGCTTTGGATGTTTGATTGATGTTTTGGTTTTTCCATTTGCGTCTGAAAGTGGTAGCCTTGGTACTTCTATCATTGTTGGCTTATTCTATCTTGCGGAAAGATCCGTCAATTCACATGGCTTCTCCGCGTCTGTTGTATTGCAGCTCTGTTTTCTAAAATTCGTGCTCAAAACAGTAATATTGTCAGTTGTCATTTTGAAGCGGACAATGTAATATGAAGTTGTGAGATGTGAATGAAATGAAGTTACATTCCTACTATTTGGAAAATTACTTGGAAATTTACTGTGAAGTCTCTAAAATTTGGTCCTATTAAGCTATTTAATTTTTCCAGTTCAAAGCTATTTTTACAGCTAAATACCCTGTGTTATGGTTATTCACGTTAACTAGGCTATAGCAGGGATAGTCATTCCTTTGAATAATATTTATTAAATTAATGATAATTTTAGTAATAGAGAATATTTAAATTTGAAACTTTTTACTTCTTGTATTTTTTATAAAGACATGAAAAAATTAATTATATTATATTTAATCTGTAAAATTTAACTTCTGCATCTTTTAAAAAAATGTGGAAAGACAAGTAAAAAAATGTAGATAAAAAACGTGAAAAGACCAATTAAATCAGAAATTTTTATCCTTTTGAAAATTAGTTATCCGTCCGGACGCATTAATGTTCTATCGAAATCGAAACGGAAGACTTTCTATTAATGACTTTGTATGTGATTCAAGATGATAATCATGCCAATATCATCACTTATGATTTTATCTACTTTGCCGGTTTGACAACTACTTTACTGGTCATGATTCTTCTGGCGTATTTGGGTTGAATCATTTGTTGCCTTCGGGAAAACATGACACAAGATGTCTTGTCCTGTATTTACACATTTGATTATCATTAATCCTCTACTTAATTTTAAACTATTCCTAATCCAATGTAAACGTTTTCTAATTTGATTTTTAAACTAAAGGTATAGAAAAATATGATAAGGCCATACCTGCTTAATGGCTTTCCTGAATTTGATTGATAATGGGTTAAGGGACATGACATGGGGAAAATATTAATCTAATAGTGTTGTTTTATGACACTCCATGATCATGATTAGTAGTAGGAGTAGGGGTAATTTAAATTGGTGGGCCTTAAGAAATTATTTTAGCCATCACCAACTTGATTGTTGTTGCTCTTCACTTTCTTGGGCAGTGGTTAATGCTCTTTGTTTTTTGTAACCCTTACAAACTGAAGTATGGGTAAAGCTTGGTACTAAAATAGGTAATTGTCATTATAATTCATTAAATGATGGAGCTATCATGTCAAATTCAACTATCTATTTTATAGAATAGGGATGATCATAATGTCAAAAAAAAAAAAATAGGGATGATTATGATATGGTGTCAAACCGAAACCGGTTAAAACTCCCCATTAAACTGTATTTAATGGTTTCTGGTTCTAAATCGTGCATTTAAAATTTAATTCTGATTCTTTATTTTTTTAAAATCGGAATTGATAGTTCAGTTGAAAATCAATTGCTAAACTTTTTTTTTTATTTTATTATAATTTTTTAAAATAAATTTTAAGAAACTGGTTTAGTATTTTTGAATAGTAATATTTTATATAATTATTTATTCAAGATACAAATAAGAAACAATATTTTAAAAAATTTGAAATAAATTATCTAATTTCAACTGGTGGTTTTGAAACCACAATCATTCTTACTATAATGCGTCATGCCTACTAGAATGGAAAATTTCAGTAACACATTTTCTTGTTTTTCTTTTGTTGAAAGGAAAATTTTGTTGGTTTCACGCATCACCTTTCAAGATAAGAATGGACATAAAAGATAATTAAATGCTTTGCATTGAAAAATTAAAATGTTTTAATTAATGAATTTTATTTTGAATACAACAAATTAGAATAAAACAGAATAAGGCATAGGTTAAGAAGGAAAAATAATTTCAAATATTATGAAAAACAAACCCAATAAAATAACAATTACATATTAAAAGATAAAATTGAATGATTTGATTTATTGCTTTGGTGCAAATCTAGACTTTATCTTCTGAATTTCCTTAGAACCCACGTGGAATGTCTCGCTCAATATACGATCGGGAACTTCCGGTTTGGCGGCGAATAATGTGGTGGCCATGACCTGAGTCCCCGGAAGCTGGCTGTTGAAGGCGGCGAGAACGGAGGCTGGTGCATTGGCATTGTTTTTCTGGTAATGCACTAAAGCTTTTGGAAAAATAAATATCTCTCCCCTTTTAACAGTTTTTGCGATCAAAGTGTTGTTGGTGGTGAGGAAACCGACGTCAAGCTCACCTTCGAGGACAAAAATGATCTCGGAAGCGCGTGGGTGGAGGTGCGGTGGATTAAGGCCGCCAGGAGCGTAGTCAATGCGAGACATGGAGATACCGAGAGTGTTAAGACCGGGAACTTTTAGAACATTTGCCGCAGTGGCGACGGAGCCATAGCTGTTCGCTGGGGATCCCGGCTTAGCTATAACGTCAGAGACGAAATCATCAACTACTATGTCTTTTTTGCAGGCATAGCCATTAAGCTTCGCTTCTGTTCATAAATTTTGCACAAAAGAAACAATTAAAGATCATAAAAGAAAAGAAAATAAAACAAAGATGGCTGGAGTGTCTGTTCTGTAATACCGAAAGAATAATCAGCAGCACAAACATCTTGAAGCAAGTCAGGATCAGCAGCAACAGAGGCAAAGAAGAAGACAAAGGGAAAAGTGAAAAGGAAAAACGCAACCGCAGGAGCTGCCATTGATTTTGATTCCCTTTTCCTCTTGCTCGAGATTTGGAGCAGAAGGTGGATTAATAGATATAAGTGAAAGAAAGCAGAGAGGTTAGTTTAGGAATGGACGACGGAGAGACAAAGGAGGGAGGAAGTGTATTAATAGCGACAGGTAGAAATATTTGTCTTTGTTTAGGAAAATAAATGGATGATAATGTCGCGACTGTTAATGCACGACATGTTAGGTTCTTACGCGTTACTCACCCCTCCGCCGTTAGAAACACCACTTCCTCTCCGACTATTTATTAATTATTAAATAATGGAAAATTCATTTGCTAATTTTATTTTGACCCGGTATATTGATGGTGACCCACACGCACTTGTCAACGTGACTTTCATTTCACAACTTATAAATATATATTTTATTAATTTTACCGATCATCAATAATTACCATTCCCGGTTACTGCTAATGGCGATAGTTTACTCTTCACTATTCACTCTCCGAAAGAAAAATTCGGCCCATTAATTCGATTGGATTGGGCCCATATATTCAAAACACGAAAATTTGTCCATTGTCATTTGCATGAAAATTTGATCATCTCTATTGATGCATCTGGGCTTTGTCTAGTTTTTACAGAATTGGGCTCGATTATTGAAACCACGAACTAGATATTGGTCCAGTTAGGCCCAATCGATCAGGATATGGAAGCGACATCGTTTATGAAATAAAATAAAAGAACGACATTTTCAGTCTGCTCAAATCTCTTCAAACTTCAATTGCCTAGCGGAGCAGAGTGGTGTTCCAAATTCAATAGATCATCATAAAATAGTAACTGTGGTGGTTGGCGGCGGAGATGAAGAAGGAATGGAAGCGAAGAGAGCTGACCATTTTGGTGGCCTATGCCATTGCTTTCTACATTTTCATCATCCGTCGATCTCTTCAACTCTCTCACGGTATTCCCTTTTCAATTTCATTTTTAATTTTTTGGATTAGCTTCAGTTTTCGTCAAACTAAATTTTTATAATTTGTATTATCCAATTGTTACACAGATCATCAAGTAAAGCTCTATGGTTTACGCGCCGGATGGCTCCTCCCTAACAGTTTCAATGTAATCAATTTGAAGTTTGATCTTTGTTAGTTTTCTTTGCTGATTCTAATAATCTACTTGTTCTCTTTTTACTTAGGATATCTCCGATGCTCAATGGAGAAACTTTCGCGGAAATTTACCTATTCTTGGTGTCGTTTTTGGAATTTTCGCTTTGTTAGCCAATTTGTTAAGGGCTTTCTTGTGTTTGAAGGCAAAAGGAATGTCCTTTGTTTGGCTTTTCATTTCTTTGGCGTACTTGTCATATCTTCATGGAGCTTGGTGTGTCTAATTCTTCTTCAGCAAAATGCTTTTGTTATTATTTTGTTGTTGTTTAGCTGACTTCCTTCTTGTTTCATCTTGTAGCATCATTTTTATCCTGTCTATTGCATCAGTTAATTTTCTTCTAGTAAAGGTGCGTTCCTTTTTAGTTTTATAACTTTCTTGATAGTGGTTGGTGTTTGAGCATCTCAATGTTGTTAGCTTTCAAGCATAGTGTCACGCTGTCACCTTATTAGGAGACCAACTGTATTCTTGAATCATGTCTTAGAAACCAGGAATCTTTTATTTCTTGGCTTTGCTATATTGGAAGCTTTCTTGGTTATTTTTGATTCAAGTTTATCAAAGAATACTTGTTTATCATGTTGACTAATTTACAAGAAAACGATTGCAAGCTTTCACACTGGCATAGTTGGCTGCGATGAGTTGAGTACTTTTGAAGGTCCACAGGTCTGTCAATAGGATGCTCTGGCATGTTGGTTTTCAAAATTATAATCTTATTCTTCAGTTTGGTTATGGTATAACCGATCAAAATTCTTATACTGTTCCTAATTTGTGCCATATTTTACTAGATTTGCATTTCCACAGATATTTGCACGAACTAAGTACTTCTTATTCGTGCTTTGGGCTTACAACATATTTTTTCTTCTGTGCAATCGTATTTATGAAGGATATTCATTCTCCTTTTTTGGGTGAGTTGCATAGATTTAAGCTTTAATCGTTAATTTACATTGTTTGGCACAAGAGATTATGCTACTTCCACTCACTAAGATTATATTCTCTTTTTTGCATAGGCAAAGATGGTCATATTTGGACAACTTTCGAGGCACCTTTAGGTGGCAAATCTGCTTTAATTTTGGTAGTTCCCTTTTCCTAATTCATTAATTGAGATCATAGCTCCAGAAATATTATTTGAGATCCTTATGGTCTGCTTGTTCTGATGAAAGTTTTTTTTTGGTTTCTAAAAGTTGTTTTGCGCATGATAAGCTTTGGATGTGATTACCATTGGGCACGTCAATATTCTCATTTTGATCAGAAGGTAATATTGCATGCCCTATATAGCTTTTTGTGTCTAATTTATATGACCACTTGCTTTTCCCTTAAGAAAATTTAGGTTTGTTTACCTTGCCTATTAGGAAAATGCCCCTGTGAACTTGGTCATCACCATTTCCCCTAAGAAACTTTTTGAATTGTTTTTTTTTTGACTTGGTTGTTTGTATTTGAGATAATGTTAGTGCAAACAGAAATCTAATTTTGCTGATATTTTACTGAACTGGTAATTTTAGAGGCACGTTCAACATTGTCGTATCTGCAAGTCCGGAAGAACATGCTACCAATTTCTACAGGTTGGTTGCTTAAGCGTGAGCCAAACTGCTACACTATTCACTGTTGATTTGTTGATACCATCCCCTTCAGCTAATAAGTTTATTCATTTTACCCAGGAGACAAGTGCCCCAAATGATAATTTCTCCTTTAATATATACCTTTCTTATTTGGTATATGCTCCTCTTTATATTGCTGGGCCAATTATAAGCTTCAACGCTTATGTCTCACAGGTATGTGACTCATATATATTCTTAATTTTTGTTGCACAATGCTGATCAATTTTTTTGTTTATGACTAAAATGTATTCTTCAGTAGAATCACACTAACTAGAGAATGAGATTGGATTTATTCATTTGGTTGGGTCTGAGAATCTTACTTGTTGCACTCTCTCAGTTAGATTTGTGGTTGTAGTAAAAAGTGTGGCACTGATTTCATATTCTGTTACTGCCAGTGCTGGTATGCGATCTTATTTCTGTTTCATGGAGTCTTAATCCTACACTTTTGAACCTTCTTGCAGTTAGATATGCCCCAGAAGAATTATGCAGCCCATGATGTGTTTTGGTATGGATTACGTTGGATATTGAGCTTTTTTCTAATAGAACTTTTGACTCATCTGTTTCATTACAATGCTTTTGCAATCAGGTTAGTGTATTTGGAACAGAAGGACTTAAATGTATTAAATTTCACTTGGTCCCCTCTAATTGTGAATTAATTGCATTTACTCTTCCAATAAACAGTGGCCTTTGGAAATTTTTATCTCCTGTGGATATATTCATCATAGGATATGGGGTAAGATGATCTTTACTATTTTATAGTTTTTTTAATGTATGCATTTTTAAAACAAGCAGGAACTTTGTGGTTGGCAAGTTCTGTAAACTCAAAAATTAACATTAACACGTTTTTTATTTTTTTTTATTTTTTTTATTTAGATCTTCTGTGATATCATTTACTTGTGCTGCAACAGGTCTTAAACTTTATGTGGCTAAAGTTTTACCTCATTTGGCGATATTTCCGCTTCTGGTCACTGGTATGCTTGATGAGCTATAACACCTTATTTCTAATTTAGTCTAGCTCCTTACCAGTTTAGTCTAATTCTTGGATCAATATATCTGCAATTTTCTCATCCTTGCAAGAAGTTTAAGCTTTTGTCTAATTCTTTAGATTTGTGGCATTGAAACTCCTGAGAACATGCCAAGGTGTATTAATAATTGCTACAACTTGGAGAACTTTTGGAAAAGTTGGCATGCTTCATACAATAAATGGCTTGTGAGGTGCAACTGTTATATCTTTTACCACTGGCCCCAACCTTGTTTCTGTTTATATTTGTGCTTTATAAATTAATATGCTTCTAGGTACATGTATATTCCTCTTGGGGGAACTCGGAGAAAGCTGCTGAATATATGGGTTATATTCACATTTGTTGCTGTCTGGCATGATCTTGAGTGGTATCTAAGCTTCTGTTTTTTTTTTTTTTTTTTTGGAAAAGTTTGGCATGCTTCATACAATAGTAAGTTGGATTTGTGAGGATTGCAACTGTTATACGGTCTTTTACCAAACTGGGCCCAACCTTGTTTCTGTTTATATTTGTGCTTTATAAATTGGTTATATAATTGATCTTCTAGGATACAGTGTCAATATTTTGTGAGTATACCTTTGGGAACTCGGAGAAGAGTGCATGAATTATATTGGTTTATCGTTTCATATTGTGCTGGTGTCGGCATGAATATGATGTATCTAAGCTTCTGTTTTTTTTTTTTCTCAGTTAGTGGTTGGATACTTCTCTGATTATTATATTCTATTATGTTAGCCTGACAGTTGTATTCCTATGTTTACTAGATGAAACTTCTTCATGGGCAATGGTTACCAGTTTAGTTCCTTTATTCTATAATGGTGTTCAACTCAGCAGGCGTGAATCGCATTACACATGAGTGTTTTTACTATATATCCTTAAACTATCCAACACATACCTGACCTTGAATATGGTGCAAAGAATTTGAAATCTGCAATAGTTTCCTAATCACTTTATTTAATGCTGTTCATTCGTCCTCAGGAGGAGTATGTTGCTTCTTGGGCTTAGTTTAAGCTTCTTTTTTTTTTTTTTTTTTCTTCAGTCACTTCTCTGTATGATATACTAGTTACCTGACAGTTTATTCCCATTGTTATCAGGAAACTTCTTTCATGGGCATGGTTGACATGTTTATTCTTTATTCCTGAAATGGTGGTCAAATCAGCAGCGAATGCATTACAGGTGTTCTATCTATCCTTAAACTATCCAACACCATACCTGACCTTTGTAATATGGTGCAATAATTTGAAATCTGCATATTTCCTAATCCCTTAATTTCCTAATCTGTCATGTTCTCAGGCAGAAAGTGCTTTTGGGGAGTTTCTTTTCCGTGAACTTCGGGCAGTTGCTGGTGCTATTACTATCACATGTCTAATGGTATGAATTTACTAAATTAAATCTGCGGCTGACAAAAATTTAAATTTCCAACTAGGTTTGGAGAACATGTGTATGTTAAAATAAAATAAAAAAGTATTTAATTTACATGGATTTCCTTATCTCTCACCTTTACTCTCTCAATACAGAAACAAATGTTAAGAATTTATCCCTTGATTATGCACAATGCATTGTGCAGGTTGCAAACCTTGTTGGGTATGTTATTGGACCATCAGGTATTAATTGGTTCACTTCACAATTTCTCACTAGAGAAGGTAAATCAACACCTTATTGCCTCTACTGATTTCCATATTATTAGAAACATGCAACTGCATATTTGATGCAAATATTTCATTTACAGGATTACCAGTACTGGGTGGTATGTTTGTAACATTTTATGTTGGGACAAAGGTAAACATTATGAAATGTCTCGAGTATCACATTGAACACAGAAAAGTGCTTTCCCTCTCTCTCTCTCTCTCTCTCTCTCTCTCTCTCTCTCTCATTATGATTATTTTGCAGCTTATGTTCCATATCGATGATGCCAAGCAAAAGAAGCATTAAATTGAGTTGCCTGGTTCTATCATAGATCTGCCAGAAGTGGGCTTCAGTTCAAAGTCAGAAGGAAAGCATGTCTACAAAAGTAGGATAGATGACCTTATAGTACTGCAACAGATTGAGTCTCTATTCTAAGTTCACGTGGCTAGTTGAGTGTATATTTTTCTTTGACAAAATAAGAAACTCAATTTTTTTGAAGACTTGCACAGCATTGATTCTTTTTATTCATTAATTCAGAAACTGTACTCACTATCATTGGACAAATTGGACTCTCTCGAGATTAAGGCCTACTACCAATATCTTAGCTTTTTTACTTATTTTCTACATGACATCTAGGGTTTATTACAGGATCCGAGGATTAACCCAATACATCACTTTAGTCCTTAAAATGCCATGTGTGGTAAAGATTCTGAAAGATTCTAGTACTGTATTTATATGGTGCAATAAATCAAGGTTTGAAGTGTAATTAGATTCACTAGTACAATCTTTGCTTGCTCAATGGGAAGATCCAACACAACATTCCAAATTTAGGCCAATGTACTCAGGCATAGCAAGAAACCAAAATAATATCACGCATAGCAGTCGATAACCATTTTCATAAAAAATGCTCAGTCACATCATCTAGGCATTTTCAGTCAATTAAATACATAACAGGCGAAATCTCCCCAGTTATTGATCACAAAATCCTTAACTCTAACCTAGTCCTAAACACAAGATACATCTATTATATACCTTGCAATTTTTGCAAGTGTCAATAAACATAAAAGACTTCGCTTTCTGTGCATCATCTGGGAAAACTGCAAGTTCTCTGATATAAAAACTGCCAGCCTGAAGTAATTTCAAGAAATATGAGATTGTCACTTCAGATACAAGAAAAAATATATAAATAACTACTCCAGATTTTCACTTCAGTGCATCTAACACACTTCTTTGTTCATCTTAGTACTCTTTACATTAACTGAATTAGTATTCATCCAAAAAGGAAAAAACATAGATGCAGGCAAATAATTTAACAAAAATCATACTTCTTACCCAATTAACATCCATGCGTTTAATCAGATAATAATGTCAAACTATTTCTTCTTCTTACCACCTCCAGCCTTTGACTTTTTAGCATTAGATTGTTTACTAGTGTTCTCTGGTGTTTCCTGTCATGAGAATGTACAGAGAATCAAAACTAAGAACAAGTAGCGGTCATCAATTGATTCCCTCCATGATTTAGTCATTTAACTTATGATTTCATAGTGACCGCCATATATGCAACTGATGAAAATTAAGAATATTACTTTCCATGTGAAAGCAAATAGATTGTTAATACATGATAGCTAGGCTGCTAAAAGTGAGCAACGCTGAGTGGATACAAATGCAGATTGGTTCTGAAGGTTCACCAGAGTTTTCAGCTTCATGCGCCGAAGCAGACGCCTCTGGCTAATGGCATGTTGAGCTTGGGACCTAGATCCATAATTGGCAGTCCTAAGCTGCCAGTGACCTTCGGCAAGAAATTATAGACTTGCAGAGAAAGCATTTTAGACTTGGTTGCTGATTTGGGAGATTGAAGCACACATTTAGTTTCCTGTCATCCAGTGTACCAAGAAATTATGGTACCAATCAGTTCTAAACTTCCCAACAGACCATAAGAAACATGGAAGAAGGATCATACTACAAGCAGAAGCAGAATCAGAAGCAACCACTCTGCTTGGAATGGAATCTTGGTGGATTAGGTGCATATTCATAGTACAGTGGAACTAGGAAGTTCATCAACAAAGAAAGGAAAGAAGACCCATATAGCTAATTTGGGACAGAGACTTTGATTGGACATAGTATTAACCCCAAAAACATGTTATGGGGAGGAAATGCCATTTAAAACGTTAAATGGGATCATACCTTCCGTTTAACGGGTACAGATGAGTTTGCAACTGGTTTGAAAAATGACTCCAACCTGTAGAAGAAAATCAATAAGGCATAATCAGACAATTAAATGCCAAACTATGATACTTATTGCGTTAATATATGCACCACATCAAAATGCACATGAAAGTTTATTATTAGCTAGAAACTTGGTGATATGATTGAACGCTAGTTACTGGTTTATACTTGTGTGTCACAAAAACCAATAATTCATCTGTAATCACCTAACTATACATACCGGCCCTGAGATGACTTGTTCTTAGCTGCTTTAATTTTTTCTATTGCCTGTTACAATTACAAAAATGAAGACAAATGAGTTGCACGCATCTCTCCAAAAGCAGTGAGTTAACAAAGGGAAAACATGCAATAGGTTTTTGTAATGATAATCTAAGCATACCTTTGTCACCCGATCACTATTGAACCCATTTTCATTTACTAGAAAAGCAATCAAACCCTGAAAGATCACGAAGTGTTTCTCCTTCAACATGTCAAAGAGCTAATTGAAAGACAGTAAATATAACAAATTCAAGAACCAAAAATCACCTCTTCATCTGGCGCAGTCCACTTAATCTCAGGCTCCTCTCCATCAGTGAGGACAAGTGGTTCTTTAAAAAGCCGTCGAGCCTCTTGATATGGCCAGTCATCTGGTATTTGGTATCTGAATATGCAACAAATAGGATCAATACAGAAAAAGCAACTGCAATACTTCCAAGGACTAACTCATTGCACAAACAATTGTTATCATTTTGTAGAACTCGCAAGCTCTAAGTTGAGCTACTATACAGCTGGCAATTATCGGAGAGACAGAAATATTAAAAATAGCAACGAATGCCATAGATAGAACATCCAAGTGCTACAACAAAGCATCAGCTGTAGCCCACATGAAATATTAAGTTGATAACAGTCAGCATGACGAGCCAGTTTTAAATGCTTATCAAACAAAAACCACTAAGGAACGATTTCATAGAACAATAGCCTCCTACAGAGTAGAAATGATGATTCAAGGATCTAGACAAAAAGAAATAAAATATTATAACATACTTTTATAGGTTTTACATATTTTTATATGTATGTATATTTTGCTAAATATATCATTCTTCACCATTTTAAATACATGATATATGTGTCGCCATTAAAAGTGGAAGCGAAGCTGAAAGATAAAGTCACCTGTCTCTGTTTATGTTCTCCAATATAGTTTCTATACAGCCATGTTGACGGATGAGCTTCAAGGCAGTCAGTCCTCCAATTCCTGCAACATGGATTTTTGCAATGGCAAACTTAAAACGCATTAGGAAACTTTCATGCTGATTACTGCTACGAGTGTCAACTCTGATATGTTTGAGTGCATTACTGAGGACAGAGCCATAACTTAAATTCTGAATACCTCGAATGCTGTCGCAATAATCACATCCAGAAAGGATGCAGAGGTCAATGAATTGATCCATGTTAAGGTTCAGCTCCTCCAAAATCTGAATCAAAATCAAATCAGAATAGTGAATTAAATATCAAGAGATTGCTTCAGTTGTCACAGTTCCTAGCACCTTTTTAATTTCAAATTCCATAACAGGGATTTTTCTCGAGCTCGGATCCATCAAATGGCGAAGAAACCTAGGAGCTCCAAAAGTTAAGGAATCCATATCCTCAGAAGCTACAGCATAAACCTGAAAGACACATAAAGTTTTTGAAACAAATCATATGGAAGCCATTCCCAAATTCAGTAAAACTTAGGAACAGAAATGGCACTACTTCTTTCCAGTAAAACAAAGGAAAGATAATACGATGGATAAATTTAATTCCTTCAAGACATTAGAAAAATAATATTAATAGACTCGTCCCAAATGCCTTGCAAAATATAATGGACATATAAGAATCCTAAAATAGCAAAATTATCTAAAGCAGAAAAGTACATGCCTTTCCTGATTTACAAAGCGCTGCACACTGTGCCTCTGCTTCTGAAGGAGCCTATAGAAAAAGATAAATGTCTCAAGAATCAATCTGTTTTTATATAATCATCAGCCACTTATGCATCATATAAACTATGTCAAACTTTTAACTTATGGGGCTATTTTAATGCCATATTCAAAATTGAAAAATCATACTAGTAAAAGTTGCATTAAATAATGCAGAATACCTCAATTACGGGTACACCCATGAGTCTTAAAAGTCTTTTGCAGTCTTCATTGTGCTGCTTTGTCACCTGTGGACAGAGATACAAATGATATTGCTATCCAACTCTTGTCTAAAAGAGGATACATATGCATGCATTCATGAAACCAACCGTGACCTTCACAGAGATCATGCAAACCATTGTTGGAGGAACGAGAATAGTGCAAAGAACCAACCTTCACAGTTCGCTTACTATATTTCTCAATGTCTTCCTTGATGCCAGTCTGCAATGAAAAACCAACATTATACAAAACGAAATCTGCAGAAGAACATTGAGAAATCATGAAAGATAGAAATAAAGATATACCTCCAAAGCTTGAGCCAAATCCTCGGTAGCGTCTGCCCTCCTTGAGTAACTGCATTGGAAATTTTTTTATGAAGATCATTATTTACCATCATGCGAACATTTTCAATTGTAACAATGCTGAACAATAAAAGTGAAACCAAAAGAAGCATAGATGGTAAACACACCGCTTTGCCAACTCTTGTTTTTTGAGATCTGGAGGCTGCCCATCAAAAACATAACTGAAAGCAGGTGGACTATTTAATTTAGAACAAGCATGCCACACTAAAAAAAAAAAAAAAAAAAAAAAAAAATCTGTGAGGCTGCCCATTCAAAACATAATGGAAAGCAGGTGCTATTTATATTAGAACAAGCCATGCCACAGCTAAAAAAATAAAAAAAAATAAAAACACAAAGGTGACGCGCTATATTTTCTTAAAACATGAATTTTTTTAAAATAAAAATTAGGGAAAATTAAACGTGTAAGAAAACTGCATTTCACAAGCTTTCATTCACAGCTTTCCAATTGAACCTAATTGTCCAAAAAAAAAAAAAAAAAAAAAAAAAAAGCAACAAAGGGACGCTATATCTTAACATGAATTCTTTCTTAAAAAAAAAAGGAATAAAGAAAGTGAAGAAACGCATTACACAGGCTTCATTCCAGATTCAAGAAGCCTAATTGTCCGGTTAAACATGCCCTGCAAATGACTATAACAGAGAAAAAACCATGTCACCAATTATCCAAAAGAATTAAAAAAAGCACTTGGAATTAAAATGCAAATAGGCATATAGGTGAAAGCCAAGTTTTATAGAAAAATTCCACATTAATCACTAGTGAATCGATAGATGAAAAGATTTAGCAAAGACCTAGTGACTTCGCCAGCCTCATTAGTCAGCATTTCCGACCCAGTTCTCCCCACCACAATCTGCAACCATTATGCCCAATTGTCCGCTTAAATATACAAAAATAAATTTAAAAGGAAAAAGGTTAAATTTCAAAATTTGAGATAATACAAACAAGGAACTGGTAAATGCTCATGCTGGCATCAATGGCAATCTTTCGGCCAAAATAGCTCTCAAATTTCTGCTCTTTCATGGCTTTTGGAGCATTATCCGCCAACAACTTCGTTAAACCCTATTTTAATCAACCAAATTAAGGGTAAGCACAAGAAATACCAAATAACTGAAAAAAAAAACCCCAATAACGGCGTCAAATTGAGAGGATAAACCGAAGATTTGAGATTAAAAAACTGACCTTGATACCCATTGATAATTACAATAAGCAACGAAGATGGTAGACTAAGAGGTTGAGCTTCAGGTGTTTGGGGGGTTTTTGCAGGTTTTTAGGTCACAGAAGATGGGACCAAAGACACTCTTTCCCGCCTACTTGAGTTGAGGTGCCAAGAGAGAAAGAAATACGCGCCTGTATCTACGGTTCTCTAGGCATACACGCATCACGCTTCTGAGATGGGCCTAGATCAGCCCAAAAACAAAATGGGCCTCCTTTTGTTAGATAGGGAAATTTTAATAACGAAAGCATTTTTTTACTCTCTCATATCCTAGGAGATTTCAGTTTTTCATTTAATGCAAACTTTTTCTTATCACATGAAAGATATTTCAAATGAGTGAAAAAATTTATTTGATTGGTTGAAAATATTTCTCTATTGGATATTAAAAAAAAAAACAGAGAGAGTATATTTTCGTTCTATGGGCAATGGATGGAAATTAAAGATATTAGAGTCCTTAAATATTAACTATTAAAATATCTTATTGGTTAATCTTAATCAAAAAATTTTAAAAAATGTCATTTTTCATATTCCATTTATTGTCATTACGTTGTATTTTTTAACTACTTCTCAAAAAATGCTTATATTTCATATTACTTCATTAATAGAAAACTTAATGCTCATGTTTATGTGGTATAATTTTAAAATATCAAATAAAAGAAATATAAATAAATTAAGGGTTTTATTGCAATTTCGAATTCATTAAACGCAGTCATTGCAAATTCCAATAAAAAAGATTATTTGTAAATGAATATAAAAATTCAGAATTTCTATAATTATTTTTCTGAAACATGGATTGTCCCATACACCAATAAAAAAGAGTTTTTAAAAAATATTACTATTTTTTTTTTTAGTATATGGTCAGAAATACCGTCGTTTAAATAAAAAATCTAAAACATCATTTGATAATGATTTGATGTGTAAGTAGAACTATGCACAGAGGTGTAGGTGGGTTTGTTTTTCACTTATAGGTATACGAGGGAAGAAATCCAATAACCTTCCAAAACTTAGGTGTCAATAATTTGGAAACTAAAATGCTGGCAGTGAAGCCATTAGCAGCAGCTAAGTTTTGTATATTGGGCCAGAAGACAAATGGCAATTATAATTTACGATGAGATGTTGATTTTAGATAATTTTGCCGCTTAGCAAACAAGATTCTAATTAGAAGCTGGATCTTCTTACAGAAACTTACAAACAAATTAAGAATTCTTAATATTCTTATTTTCGTAGAAAAAGAAACATTATTACTGTATAAGTATGTTGTAAACTTGTAGCGAGCATAACCTGGAATAATACCAAACAACCTTCGGTTCATCCGTCAATCCAAAACAATATGGAATAATTTTCCAGGGAGAGCTTTCAACTGATGGAGGGAAGTTTAGATACCAAATAGTAATACCTTGGAAAGCTCAAACAAAATTAATTTCAAGAACAAAACAAAAGCTTGTGATTTGGCGGATTAACCTAAATAGTAAATACCCTTTAACGTCATTAACAAAGTTTTAGATTTTGCTATATTTTCAAACCCACGTTCCTTCTCCATATTGTTAAATTTCTCCATGGTAATTAATTAATTCTTAATCTTATCATAAACTATGATTAAGTTTCCTTGTGGTAGATACTAAAATTTTGTGAAAATGCAGGGCGATATGGAGGTCACGAAGCCGGACCACAAGTCCCTCTACCAGAGAGATGAAGGAAAAGGTGGATTTAGAGCTTGCATGTTTGTGTTTGGTAAGCAAATTATTAACAATCTTGGAGTAAATATTTTGATTTTATATGCCTCTATATTTACATCAGTTCCCTGTTTTTTGAACAGTTATGATAGCACTTGAAAATATGGGTTTCATAGCAAACATGGTTAGCTTAGTTCTTTACTTCCTCGGAGTGATGTACTTTGATTTGGCTAGCTCCTCCAACACTCTTACTAACCTTATGGGTTCGACATTCTTGCTTACTGTCGTTGGAGGCTTCATTTCTGATACTTATTTGGACAGGCTAACCACTATTATCATCTTTGCAGTAATCGAAATTACGGTAATACTGATATCTACTGCCATTTACAACTTTTCCTGCGAGTCTAATTAAGTATAGAAAAATATTAATTTTGAATTTAATTTGTCATGCAGGCTTTGGTGATGATGACAGTTCAAGCTCATGCGAAAAGTCTGCACCCAGAATACTGTGGCCCTGGCAAGTCAAGTTGTGTGGAGGGTAAGGTAGCATTGATGCTGTATGCCTCTCTCGCTTTACTGGCATTGGGTTCAGGCGGCGTAAGAGGAGTTCTGCCTTCGCTTGGTGCAGACCAATTTGATCAGAATAATCCAGAGGAAGCCAAGGCTCTTGCTACCTATTTCAATTGGATTACACTAAGCACAGTTCTTGGTGCAGTTGTGGGTGTAACTGGTGTAGTTTGGGTTAGTGTCAATAAAGCTTGGTATAAAGGGTTCATGATATCAACTATAGGTGCATTTGTGGGTTTTGTTATTCTTGCCTGTGGTAAGCCTTTCTACTACAACCGAAAACATGGAGAGAGTCCCTTCATAAGAATTGCACAGGTATTTTATTTTTACAATATTCAATTAGGATTTAAAATCCTGAAGCTCGCATTCCTCTATTATGAGAAAATCTTTGTTGGCCTTTTCAGGTTATTCATTTGGCAATTAAAAACAGACGATTATCGTTGCCTGCAAATTCAAAGGAACTATATGAGATTACTGACAAAGAAATGATCTCCACGGACGAAAAAATTGCACATACGGACCAATTCAGGTATGTAGACTTATGTTATAATAAATATTGGAATGAGATGTTGTTATATGGGTACTTCTATTAAACCTCTTTGTTTTTCTGATAAAATTCCAATTTAATTACTGAACCTGCAGATTCCTAGACAAAGCTGCTATAATTCCAAAAGACCTGGAGGGGGTGGCACCATGGAAAGTATGCACTGTGACACAAGTAGAAGAAGTGAAAATCCTGACAAGAATGTTACCAATATTATTCAGTACTATAATAATGAACACATGTTTAGCTCAACTTCAGACATTCTCAGTACAACAAGGCAACGCAATGAACCTTCATTTAGGCAAATTTGAAGTTCCGGCAGCTTCAATTCCTGTAATTCCTCTAGCTTTCATGGTCATACTAATCCCACTCTACGAATACTTTTTCGTACCATTTGCACGAAAAATCACCGGCCATCCATCAGGAATCACACAGCTTCAACGTGTAGGAGTTGGTCTTGTTCTGTCAGCAATATCAATGACTGTAGCAGGAATTGTCGAAGTCAAAAGACGAAACCAAGCTCTTAAAGATCATGACCATCCTATAAGTCTATTCTGGCTTTCTTTCCAGTATGGAATTTTTGGAATAGCAGATATGTTTACACTTGTTGGGTTACTGGAATTTTTCTACAAAGAAGCACCAGCAGGAATGAAATCACTCTCTACTTCATTTACATTTCTATCTTTATCGTTTGGGTATTTTCTGAGTACTGTTTTTGTTAATTTAATAAATACTATAACTTCAAGAGTTGCTCCAAGCAGACTGGGATGGTTACATGGGGACGATATAAATCTGAACAACTTAAATCTGTTCTACTGGTTTTTGGCCATACTTAGTGTCCTCAACTTTGCAATGTATATGTATTGGGCTTCTTGGTATAAATACAAGATAGACGATGCTAGTACAGATCCTAAGCGGGAAACCAAGAAGACGAGTTCTTCAGAGGGTTTGCTTCTTTCCAAAAAAGAGAACAGCACTACAGAAAGTGTGGTTGTAAAGGCACAAGTAGCAGAAAGTACAGTGGAAGAGAAAGTGGGAAATATAATAATAAGTGAAGCTGACACTTCTGTTGAGCATAGTAGAGATGGTAGAGAAAATGATGGGCAACCGGATAAGCAAGAAAATGATGAGGCTCGAGCAAATGCTAAAGAACATGGGATTCAACCCAGCAATTAGAGTAAATTGCCAAAACAGCTGATTTTTTTTTTTTTTTCCAATTTTTGCAATTGCCTCGTTGTGTGTATGTCTTTTTTAAGTTCAAACTTGTAATGACATTGTTGTTCCAGCTATTGTTTAAAAAACTGATTAGCACGCTTTCCCATTTGTCCATTTTCAGTTTGGCTCTGAATAATTTTAAAAGATAAATTAAAAGGAGCAAATAATTAAAAATAATTCCATTTTTTCCGGTTATCTGAACAAGGAAATTCAAATTTTGATTTCAAAAAATTTTATTTTCCGAAAAAAAATCATTATCAAAATTATAACTTATCTATATTAATTAAATTTTCTTAATTTATATGCAAGTCACACATATTATGCAACGAACGAATATTTATTATTATTATTATTATTATTATTATTCCTCACAATACAAGTGAAGCCAAACAGTTATGTGGTCTTCACCTCTGCAGCTGTGGAGAAATGGTGATCCAAAAATGGAATACCATACCCTAACAAATCGTAATATATTTTTAATTTTTCAGCAAAAATATAAAATCGTAAAAAATGCACCGACAAAGCATCAATACCCCACAAAACCACAATTCCTATAACAAACCCTAATTATATGATGTACTACTAAAATTAATTACTAATTAACTAAGATACTGTGCACATACCAAACTTGGTCGCACGTGCCATCAAATTAATTTACAAGCCCTAGAACTTGTTGGTGCATGTGAATGTGATCACGAGACGAAGTCGTAAGAACTCCCTCTCACGTGCATCATCCTCTTTGCAGCGTTAAAATTAAAATCGGATCCTCTTTGTTCCACGTGATTTTAATTACTTTTTTTTTTTTTCTTCAGTCATCAATAGGTTTTAAATTGGTTAGACTTAAAAAAATTAGAGTAAATAATTCATTGCTATTATTTTTTTTTAATTTAATAGTGATATATATTTTAATAGAATGACTTATCCACGCTCGGTATATAATATATTTATTATATATAATAAATTAATTAAAAATCATCATTGTTGGTATAAATGACCTCACACACCAAAACAAATCTTAATCTGGTGCACTGCTCCTGCAAATAGGAGTAAGTAAAAATGTTTAACAGCGTTAAACAAAAGTTAGATATGATGATGACGTGTATGGTATCATTACTCCTAATTCCTAATGATTGAAAATTTTGCAATTGAAGACAAGTTTAACGTCCTAATAGAGAATGTGTGCTAACGTGTAACAAGGAAAGAAACGAGCACAAAATGCAAGGATTTTAGGATTTATGCTAACGTGTAATAAGGGATCATAACAGCACAAACTGCAAGGATTGAAGGAGTTGAGTTTCGTAAACGCAACGGAGACAGATTCTTTCTTTGGACAAGCATTATCCATTTGGTCCCAATGCATGGTTTAGCCCTTGTCCAATAGATCCCGACGTATTTAGGATGTCATCTAAAACTTCGTTTGGTTCAAAATAATCTATTTTTTAAAAAATATATTTTTTTAAAAATTATAATTAAATGTGTTTCATATCATAGGGGCTCAAGAGTATTAACAGACTGCTCAAAGGAAGAAGCATGGTCCCCTTTTCCTAAAACCATCATCAATTAGATAACTCCATACAAGTTTCTTTCTTGTAAGGATCTAACTATCTTTATTTTTATACTATAAATTTTAATTAAAATATATATATTTATTTATTTAAAAAGTGACTTTATTTATTTATTTATTTATTTTTATACATTGAATGATGTTTACTGGCTGATAATTTCACATCAAGCATTTATCCAGAGGTCCACACTCCGCTAAATGCCCAAGACATTGCAATCAGAAATAATTTGTCAAGATTTTCAAATAATAATTTTTTTTTTTTGAAAAAAATGGAAATTAAATGATAATGTTGTGGGCCAAGCATATGGTAGGCATGCAAGTTGAGCAATTAATAGTCAACATAAACATAATTATTATTGTTAATTACTGCCAAATCCTTTAATATTATGTCGCAGATTTAGACTACAACCACAATAAAAATTGAATCTTGTAAATATTTTTTATTTGGTGACAACCTGAAACCTATATTACTAAATTAAAATAGAGAAAGCGATTATATATATTTTTTTCTTTATAAAATATATATTGTGCAATGGATTAAAATTATTTATTATAATTTTATAAAACGATGGTTACCACATTATTTCATAGATCTTACATCATGTGGGCGAAGCTAACAGTGTCAAATATTTTAGTGCCACTATCTTTAATAATAATAAAAAGATAATAATGAAAAAAAAAAAAAAAAGTTTATGTGCCACAATATTCTTTTACTAATTAATAAAAAAGATTTAATAATGAGATAAAAAAATAAATAAATAGATTGCGTATCATGATAGATACTAACATCATTTCGAATGCAGTGGTTGGATTCCATATTGGCAAGATACATGTGATTTAAATTCAGTGATTATTGATTCTGAAAATCGGTAATAAAATATTTTAAAAAATTAAATAATTTATGTACATTTGTGTAAAAGCTATGTGAAATTCGCGTATTTAATAATGATATCTGGTTTGAATATCTAGCAATTTCAGTTCCCCAAGCATGTAGAAATCAAACTAAAAAGAAAGCAATAATAATGGGAAAAAGGGAAAAAAAAAAAAAATTCAAACAGTGATGAAAAGGAAAAGGTACACAATCATATAAAAAAAAAAAAAAAAAAGAGATGGATCATATACTAAACATCATTTTCGAATGCATTTGATTTTCCATATGGCAAGATACATGTGTTTAAATTCAGTGATGGATCTGAAAATTTTTCTTTTTTTGGATAAAAATTAAAATATTAAAAATTTTTACATGTGAAAAGATGAATTCTATAATAATGTTCTGTTTGAATATCTAGCAATTCAGTTCCCCAAGATGTAGAAATCAAACTAAAAAGAAAGCAATAATAATGGAAAAAGGGAAAAAAAAAAAAATCAACAGTGATGAAAAAGAAAGTACACAATCATATAAATATTACTATTTTTCCATTTTTTCAGAAAAGAAAGAATTTTTTTTTTTTTTTATAAAGGCCAGAGATATGATCGAGTGGAGCTGCAACCATGATTAGATTTTAGTTACCAAAGCTTTATGGCCTGAAATTGAAATGAAATGACAAATCATAAAAAACAGCTGGAAGCTTCTGAGGGCTAGGTTCCACCATAGAACGATACAGTTGCCCACTCACAATAAATAAAGCCAAGGATGACAGGACAATTGAACACTGTAACCCATTGAACCTCTCCACGGCTCCACCCCACATGTACATATAAAAACTATAGAAGTCATATTTTTGACCTCCATTGGACCCCACTTCATATTACCATTTATGATCGTATCCCTTTATATAATACGGACGGTGGAAAATTGTCTGTGACGTAAATGTGGCAGTAGATTGTAACACCAGCTTGGCGTGTTAACCTAAAGTCTCTGTAAGATTCCAAACGTGCCTCCAGTTATATAAATCATAAAAAGCCCGGCAAAAGGCTTTGCAAAAATAGCTCAAATCTCTCCTCTTCCTCTCTGTACATTTTTTGTTAAAGCTGTGTTATTTTTCATTTTTATATTGTCATATTTAGCTTGTACTTAAATTCTTGAGTTTTTTTCGAAGATAACATCATTTATTGGTAATAATGGCAGGGGATTCTTGCTATTGCTAGGCAAAGTTTAAAACTTTTTTGTATTTTTTCCTATTTTTTCAAGATTTGTGTGGCAGACAATTTGTGGCAGAAGAAAGAGAGGGAATGAGGAAACTTTTGTGGGTTTGGGTTGCTGTAGTTTCTGTTTTTGGGAAATGGGTGAATGGGTTCTTGGAATTGAATGAGACAGAACTGTTTTACACTGGAGCTGAAGCTTATGGTTATTTTAATGAATCTAAATCCAGTTACGATGCTTTGATGGTAGGATTTACTCTCATTCAAGGAGCTGGTGCTAGAGGGGCAGGTACTTGCTAGCTTTCATCATTACTCTTATTTCTGCTAATTTTAGCTCTTAATAAGCTTGCATTTAGAGATTGCTTCGTTTTGCTGGGATTAGTCCTCCTTTTTTCTTACATATGTTTTTCTCTCACTGTAGATTTGATTAAGATTGATAATAGCAGACTGCATTTTCATATACTTTGTGGTAGCTAATCGATTTACTTATTATTTCTGGGTTCTTCTGAGTTCAGATTTGTTTCTTTACTTTACTTTCCTTTGTTTTTTTTTTTATTTATTTATTTATTTATTATTACCATGACAATAAATTTTAAAAATGAATGGCCATTTAAAGATAATTATTTTTTTAATAAAAAAAATGCAATGTTTTGAATCTGTGGAGACATTTATTATCATACGGCACTCTGTTTTCTCTGTTATTGTTCCTTTTTTGTCCAGAGCTCATTGTTATGAGCGAAATATTTGTTCTGTTCTCCGTTGTTATTTCTTTCATTTTTGTTTAATAATATAACATGGAAAGTCCTTTTTTTTTTTTTGAGAAAAAACTATTTTTGCAAGTTTTCTTATGTTTTCATTTTACTTTACCAGTGGTTGCTCATTTTTCTCTCTCACACACAAACAATTAAAACGTGCATTTAGATCCCTTCACTGAATGTTCTTGCAAGTTTTAACTTTTAATGACAATGACGTGAGATTTTTGATATTTTGTACAATGAAGATTGTCTTACATTTTGTTCTGATTAAACCTGTTATTTTCAATCTCAGTCTGTTTGGATGGAACATTTCCTGGCTATCATTTGCATCGAGGATATGGTTCTGGTGCAAACAGTTGGCTCATTCAATTGGAGGTTTGTCTTCCATTTTTGAAGTGACAGCATTTATGTGAATATATTTTCCACAATTTGATTTTGTTTTTCTGCCTGGGAAAATCTCAACTGCCTTGCTAAACCTGAGTGTTAATATGTAAGAACATCTTGTAGTTGAGTAAACAATTCACACTGTAGCTTAAATTCTCATTCTTGGCCATGGGATAGCTCTAAATTTCTAAATAAAAGGTTAATAACTCATAAAAATATCGCACTAATAGTGAAGAACTTAAATGTCTCAATGCAAGATGATGATCAATAGCTTGTTGATTGGCAGTTTTCCTTCTCCGGAAAAAAACAAATGCTATCCTAACCTACGAGAAAATATAAATACACACAAGTAATGTAGTTTAATTGAAGATACCTATTGTTTGGAAGTAAGGTTTAAACTACATTTTTTTGGAAAAGCACAATATAATGTGCCGTTGGAACAAGTAGTTTGAAAGTATTTTTTTTAATGTTTTGAAGCTTCTATCATTAAAAAATGAAATTCATCTAATAAACTTTAATAATCTCTTATATACGTGTTAAACATGGTGTTTTTTAAGCTTTACAGCTTATATGACAAGCTTTCAAGCTCTTTTTTAAGCTCCCCAAACAAAACTAGCACTTTCTGCTAAGTCTCAGAAATCCTTTCAGATAAAAATATCCTGGATTGGAAACTAAATTATTTCAAAAATCTCACGCAGGGGGGTGGATGGTGCAATAGCATCAGAAATTGTGTTTACCGCAAAACAACCCGGCGTGGTTCATCAAGATACATGGAAAAGCAGCTGGCATTTACAGGAATCTTAAGCAATAAGCCTGAAGAAAATCCTGGTATGGTTTACTTTCTCAAAAGACTTGTAGTTTTCTTTTGTCTCCTATCTCTGGCTTTTGCCTCCTATCTCTGGCTTTTGCTCCGAAATTTATATTCTTTTAAATTCAATTTGATATATTTTTCAGATTTTTTCAACTGGAACAGAGTAAAAGTCCGATATTGTGATGGTGCCTCTTTTTCCGGGGACAGTGAAAATAAGGTTGGTATTCTGCTTTTATGCTATTGTACATCATTGCATTCTAAATTAAATTTTCTTCCATCTATTTTGATTTTGGTTTAGAACTTCTGAAAAATTATGACAAAGTTCCTAACCATATCTAAAATTGCTTCTTAAAATCAAATGATTGTGTTCATAGGCTGCACAACTGCAATTCAGAGGGCAGCGGATATGGTTGGCTGCAATGGAAGATCTAATGTCAAAGGGAATGCGTTATGCCAAACAGGTTATATGCTTGTCGAATTTTCAATCTTACTTTATTCATCTTTCTGTCTCAATTCTTCCTTAAATTGATAAGTTTGCCTGCTCTTCAGGGGCTTCTTTCTGGGTGCTCTGCCGGTGGTCTAGCTTCTATTTTGCACTGTGATGAGTTTCGAAACTTGTTTCCTCGAACAACTAGAGTGAAATGCCTGAGTGATGGTGGTTTATTCCTTGACACGTAAGTGCTACTCACATGGACATTCTTTGTGTTTTCTTTCACTATTGGCATGCTTAGCAACACTAATACGCTCACTCATATCCCTTCATCCCTCTAAAGCCCTCTGCTTCGCTCATTTTAGCTTCTTTTACCATTTGCACTTATATGGATTAGTTTTTTAGTTTTATATAGTGAAAATTTATCATTATGCCTTTATTACTGCAAGATTCCAAAGTTTAAATCCTAACATCTCCTTCACTTGAGAAATTGCTATTGTTATTAGACCAATATCCATTTCATATTTCTTCATTTTTGATATTGCAGAGTTGATGTATCTGGTGGCCGCACCCTAAGGAATATGTACAATGGTGTGGTGAACTTGCAGGTAGCATTTAGAATTTTCTAGCTTTGCTGTTTAATTTGAAGGTTTTCTTGATGTCGCTGAATGGTATGGAAATTATAATTGCTATACAGGGGGTGCAAAGTAACCTGCCACGTATATGCACTGACCACCTCGATCCAACCTCGGTAAGAACCTTACTTTTTCTGGTTCTCCTGTCTTTTATCTCTCTCAGATAATATCTATAACACTCCAATGAATGAAGCAACTCCGGGATTCACTTTTCATTCTGTGATTTTCTTCTGTTTCAGTGCTTCTTCCCTCAGAACATTATCGGCAATGTTAAGACCCCGTTGTTCCTTGTCAATGCAGCCTATGATGTATGGCAGGTAATAATCCTTTCTTTTACATTTGGTGTGATTAGTGCCGCAATGCCATGATTAACAAACTACACAAACTAACTTACCGAATTTATTTTCTAACATGTGAAATCAGATTCAGTCCAGCTTAGCTCCACCGTCTGCAGATCCCCACGGCTATTGGAGTGAATGCAGGAAGAACAATGCAAAATGTTCTGCATACCAAATCCAATTTCTGCAAAGTAATTTCATATACGATTCACAAATCTATCTAATATAATATGCAAACATAACAAATGAATTCAGTAATATTTACTAGAGAGCATTTTTTCATTTCTTTGGAACAGAATTCAGGAACCAAATGCTACGTGCCGTGAGAGGCTTCTCGATGTCTAGACAGAATGGTTTGTTTATAAATTCATGTTTTGCTCACTGCCAAACAGAGAGGCAGGATACATGGTTCGCGGATAATTCACCTGTCATCGGAAACAAGGTATGTATGCTTATGCCTATTCATTTCTTGCATTTGATATCTGTACATGCCATCAATTAAATTTCTTTTCATGCATGAAAAACAAAATTTTTTAGTATCAAACTTGTTGGTTGATAATTCTGCAGGCAATTGCAATTGCTGTCGGAGATTGGTATTTTGATCGGTCAGGCGTTAAATCAATCGATTGCGCCTACCCGTGCGACAAGAGCTGCCACAATCTGGTTTTCAAATGAGCAGAAGTATTATAGCAATTAAGTTAGCTTTCATAGTCATCTTATTTGAATCACCTTATATATCTTCCCATTGTTGCTGGAAAGAGAAACTCTACTACAAAATTCCAAATGATAATTTAGTTATAGAAGACAATAAGATTAAGAAGAAAGGTTGCCAGGAAATGCAAATTTAGGGCAAACCTTCCGACATTATTGTAGCACTTCTTGTGCAAGCTGCAATTTTTTTTTCCATCAAAATGTAATATTTTCTATTTATAAATGATTAATCAATCAATCAAGTCCATATTTTGTATGCTAGTTTTATTGACATTGTTTTTTGGGTTTGGACCAAACTGCCCACGCCGACACTATTTGGATCTTTTTTGTAGCTGTCGTTTTCCTATGAAAGTGGAAAACAGATGAGTTTATTTATTTATTTATTTAAAATAAGGGTTCATTTTTTTATGTGAAGCTGACTTTTTTTTTTTACACACAACAATAAATTTTCGATTTTGAAATCTTTTACTCTTTTTTTTTTACCGGACAATAGGGTAAGCATTTGACTTTTTAGCCGGAATTTGAACTTAATCTCTTAATATTTCCTTTTAATGTGATTCGAGATAGGGATTAATTTCAATAATTAAATATTTTAAATTATTGGTTTGTGTTTAGTCAATTGGTTTCATTAATTAAAATTGATTAATTAGCAAACAGCTAGTCCTAGTCGGTGAATAATTATGAAAAGGATTTATTATTAAAAAAGAAAGATAGAAAGCTTAAAGAATGACCTTGACTTTTAATTAGGGCTAAATATAAATAAATTCTATTTTAAATTTCTGAGGATTTCATTCACTCATTCCTTTTTTTTTTTTTTTTCCTAAAAATTTCTAATAATCATGTTCTCCATGACAAATTCATAATGTTATAATAAGAAATTCTTATTTTTTAGGAAGAAAAATAGGTAGAATCATGTAATAATGCAGATTTGAGAATCAAAGGCTATGATTGTGTTAAGGATTCCTTAATCAATTGGCCTTTTGATTACATAGCATGAGGTGACCAATTAGATGATTTTCTTTTTTTTTTTTTTAACTTTTCATTAGATGATTTTCGAAACATAATACTTTTCTTTTTTATAAATTTTTCCCAGAACCTTCAATAGCACAGCAACAAGTTCTCCACTACAGAAGGAGTTCCACCAATCCAAGGAACAAGATTTGATTTTGATGTATATATTATCTTCCATTCCATCAAATCTTATGGTGTCTTAATTAGTCTTAATCACCCAATTTAATTTCATTTTTAACATGGATATCAGAAATCAAAACCCTAGCCGACATGTTACGTCTGATAATGCTATTTTAAATATCTTCATCATTACCATTATCATCATCATCATTATTTAAAAACTCAATCTTTTATCCGCCATTATAATATATTTCAAGAAAGGCAAAGATTGCATAAAGGTTTTAAATTTTCTATTGCAAGAACCTCTTTTTTTATGTATATAAAAAAGTTTAGAAGCATAAGAACTTTTTGCCACCCCATTGCTGGCTCTCTGCCGTCTCTTCTTAGACTTTTCCATTTTTCTTTTCTGCAGAAATGGGTTTTTGTGCTCTTTATACAGCCATGATTGTAGGGCCCAAACAGAAGGACCCAATAATTTGGATCACATGTGTTTGAGGATTTTTAATATATGAAAAGAAATTGCTTGCAAAGAAAGAGGTTTTAATAGTATAATTTTATTGAAGGAGACTATTTGTTTGGTATGTCTGCACATGGCCAAACATGAAGCTTCTTGTCTGCATATATATATGTGAGAGGAAAATAATTTAAATGCTTACTCATTTATTCATTTTCATGTCCCTTTTTTAACAGTAATGTCTTTTTTTTTTTTATCAACAAAATTTAATCTTTTTTAAGGGGAAAATGAAAGTAAATTCGATTTCAACCCTTAAAATATGTTGGCAAAATTAGCTATTTTGGTAGTTATTAGCTGTTTAAGTAATTTTCATAAAGCACTAAAAGTTAAATGTAATTGGAGTAACTTGTTATAAAATGCCATATTAATCTCTAAAAATTAGTGTTACCTAACATTATATAGAATAGCAATTAGTATTTTGACTAATCAAAACGCTAAAAGTTGCTTAAAATACCGTTGCATAATACAACCTTAATCATCTATATCAAATTAAGATGGATTTATAAACTCGAGTTAGAAATTATAAAATCGACTCACTGGGATGTATTTATGTATTTTGTATATTAATTATATAAGGACACAATAGCTTTCATTTCTATTTCCCCAATTTGAATATGCATGCTCAAGTATCTTCTAAGTTATCTTCTTGGTTTTTGCAAGAAAGACATTAAGTTCTTCATATTTCCCTGTTAGAGGTTCAACATCAATAGATGCCTAATAGAGGGACCCCTCTTACTATTCTTCACAAAATAAGTAAAAAAGATAGACCCACATCAAGGACACTGTCCTAAGAAGATTAATGGTATGGAATTTGTCACCTCACAATGCCCTGTACATTTAAATATCCTAATTGCCTTAGACTAAATTGGAAGTTTCTTTACTTCACCATTGCCCTTTCAGAGAGTTTTAGTACCTCAAGAAAAATGCTTTCAAGGAGAAATGCATGGCCCTCATCAGACTGGAAGTCACACACAAAAAGTCTTATTGACTGCAAAAAGGGTATTTGTACATTTGCCATATGTTATGGCATGTAGGGCTTTTTTTTAAATCAATTAGACTTTTGTTGAAATTATGACTTGCTCCAGAGATAATTTTGCTACTTTCGAATTAAAATTAGAAAAAATTATATAATGAAACGGTCTTAGAATGATAATCTAACACAAACGACCAGTTATAAATTTGCTTTTGCATCTCAATCTTCCAGAGACTAATATATTCCTTACCGTGTCAAAAAGTGAAAACCATCTACATCTCTAGGAGACAATGATAGACACCCATTTAAGAAAAATGGCCCCTTTAATTTTGATTTTCTTTAAGGAAAATGCACCTATTGAATTTTAATGTATTCTTATTATGTAATGTGAAAAGGATCAAATAAAGAAAAATCTAGATGGTACTGAAAAGAAATATGAATCCCAAGAAACTAAAAGATACTCAGATTTTGCCTATGGAGTCAAAATCTTCAAGGATTTTCAGTTTGGAAAGGTGAAATAAAGGTAGTTATTATTTTCAAATTCCATTTTGGAGCAAAGAAGCTAAATATGGATTGCTTACAGAAAAAAAAAAAAAAAAACAAAAAAGAAACTATGACCTTCTAAATCCTAATAATTGAATCAAATGGGTTAGCTCCATTGCAGATAATTTGCAAGAAAAGATCATATTATGAACAGCAAAGCCTTATTCAGGGTTTTTCATGGATATAAACATAATAAGCAACTCAAATTGGTTCAAATCACAAATATTTAACTAACAAAAGCTGAAAAATTTTTGTATCAGACAACATTTACAAATTGAAAAGAAAATCTATAGCACACACCTTTTCTTTTTATCCAAACCCATCTCAAACTGAAAAAGAAAAAAGAAGAAAAAGAACTTCATCTATAATTTGAATTAGAACTCTGCACATGTTAATAAAACACAACCAACCTAAAGTGTTTGTCCAAAAGCCACAGCAAGTCTCTGCAGATCCTTATTAGTGTAAATATCACACGGCTGGGAAGCTTGTTGATGATGATAACTAGTAGTTGATGAAGCTTCAGTTATGAAGTTTGTTTCTGGTTTAACTTCACTGTACAAAGTCTGGTTGTTGTTCTGTACTGAACCTCCAAGAAGAAATGGCGTAGTACTAGTCAAATATTCAGACCATTTGATATCTTCTTCATCTGATTTTCCACAATCTGTAAGCCCCCAAGAAAAAGTATTGCTTTCAAAGAAGTTTGTATTGTTTTGCAGTTCAATACTGCTACTGCTCCCATTACTACAGCTACTGCCATTGTTACTGAAGCTACTAGCTTCCCAATTATCAGAAGGAAGACTAACAGAAGGCTTTACCCGAATCGGTGTTTGAAACATGGATGGAGGAATTATTGTTGATGAGTTGAAATCAGAAATCATATCAGAAGAGGAAGAATTCGGATTGAAGCAGATATTATTAGGCCTGTAATTTAACTTTTGAAAAGGAAAATAGCCTACAAAAGATGGTCTGCAAGTAGTATTATTAGTAGAGGTTTCATGAGAAGAAGTAGCATATCTATCTATGAAGAATTCTTGAGTTGGTGGTGTTAAGTTGCTGCTACTGTCATTATTATTATTGGAAGTGATTTTGGAACTAGAAGAGATGCTAGATGGTTTTGAATTTGCTGCAGGTTCAATAAGGTTGAGTTCATTATTGTTTTTGATGTTTGAGGTTTGCTTTTCTTTATTATGATCATTCTCGACCTCAGATAAGGGTTTATGAGTATTTGGGTCAATGCCTCTTTGTCTCAGCTTCTTTTTAATGCAAGAATTCCACAAATTCTTTATCTCATTATCGGTCCGACCTGGTAACTGTGCTGCAATCTGAGACCATCTGATAAAGAAGCAATATATATAATTAACTATGCAAACCCATTAAAGATAATTTGCTAATTCTTGAGTTGAATATATAAAGTTAGAAACTTTATTGAAAAAAAAAAAAAAAAAAAAAAAAATAGTAGAGGTTTCATGTGATGAAGAGAGTAGCATATCTATCTATGGAAGATTCTTTGATGTTGGTGGTGTTAAGTTTGTTGCTACTGTCATTTTTATTTTGGGAAGTGATTTTTTGGAACTAGAAGAGGATGCTAGATGGTTTTGAATTGCTGCAGTTTCAATAAGTGATTTGAGATTCATTTTATTGTTTTGGTGTGGTGAGGTTTGCTTTTTCTTGGATTATTGATCAATAATTCCGACCTCAGATAAGGGTTTATGAGTTATTATGGGTCAATGCCTCTTTTGTCTCAGCTTCTTTTTAATGCAAGAAATTCCACCAAAATTCTTTGTCTTCATTATCGCGTTCCGAGCCTGGTAACTGTGGCTGCAATCTGAATGACCATGTGTGATTAAGAAGCCAAATAGTAATATGATGTGAATCTATGCACACCCCATTATAACGATATCCTAATTGTTCTTTCGAGTTTGTAAAATAAAGTTATAGAAACTTTTATATGAAAAAAGGAAAAAAAAAAAAAAAAAAGAAAACCTAATTTACCAAGAAACTGGCAATGGAAGATCAATATCAAATTTTCTTCATTCGTTGCGGAGCCAATGGCTCCTCTCTTCAAATACAGGCCTTAAAGTATTGTTGTAATCCACCTTAAATCTGCAACTTTTTGCCACAAAAAAAAAAAAAAAAAAAAAAAAACCTATTTCCAAGAACTGCATGAAGATCAATAATCAAATTCTCTTCTTGTTGGGAGAATGCTCCTCTCTTCAAATCAGGCCTTAAGTAGTTAATCCACCTTAATCTGCAACTTTTGCCACATCTTTGCAAGCCTGCAAAAAAGAATTAAATTTTTATGCATTATGATTGTTTGAAAGGAAAGACTTAAAAGAAAGAAATTAGGGTAGTAATTACCTGCCAGTTTAGGGACAGAGCTCCAACAGCCATGGCCATGCTTAGTAATATAATTGAGTAGCTTCTCATCTTCTTCAGGGGACCATAACCCTTTCCTTAACTTCTGCTTGTAACAGCAAGAATGTCTACCCATGTGGAAGCAATGCTGGCAAGAGATAATTTAACAAAAAAAGGGAAAAAGAAAAGTTTGAAAGTGGCCAAGTCTTTGTGTCAGCAGCAGAAGAACAGTAAAGGGTTTGAAATGGATTTCTTGGAAGTGTTGAGAGAGAGAGAAAATGAAATGGCAGACTGGTTGGGAATCTAATTAATAGGAGAGACCTCAAGGAGAAAAGTCACATTCAAGAGGTTGATTGAAGATTGTTAATTTAAATTTATATATATAACACGATTTATCATTAATTTCCTTTTCCTCTGTTTTTCAGTCATTGGATGGTCCATGTCAGCAACTAGGACCATCCTTTATTAAAAAAATAGGTGGGCTCCAATCATCCATCCCCATCCATGGACGGTTCTGATGAGATGATGGGGTTTTCCAATAATTTTTGACTTGCACATATCCATCAAAATATGAGAATTTATGACTTAGGTACTGCTTTGTGGGGGCTGCTATTGGCAGATATTTCATGAACTTTGTAAAATTGTTAGTAAAAAGCTTATTGTGACGTAGAGATGAGAAGCCAACATCAGACAAATATAACAATCAAAAAATATATTTTTTCTTTTTCTTTTATTTCTTTTAAGTTGGTATTAAGTTTTAAGCAATACCCTTTTTTTAACCAAGTCTACTCTAAGATTCCTAATTCAAAATCAGTCATAAACATTCAAAATGGAATAATTTTTGGGATATAAGTAATACCCATTATTAGTTAATTTCAGCAATTGTAGTATAGAGCAATAAATTGATGATAGAAGCAGCTTCTATATGTATATTAACTCTTGGAATCTTGTTTGTTTATCAAGAAAATTTGTATTCAATTTTCTCTTTTTAATTATCTTTCTTGACTCACTAGCTTCTGAAGCTAAATGTACCTTTCAGCTAATATTTCATCCTTCTCTTCTTTCTGCTTTTTGGGTATTTTTCCAATTTCAAGATGGTTTTTGCAAGGTTTCATAATTAAGCAGGAGAACAAATCATTTTAAAAATATTATAAAATTAAGACTATTTCCTTTTTTCTTTCAAGTCGTCTTATTTTTAGATATAGAGTTTCATCACCAAAATTTTTCAATTTCTAAATAAAAAAATATATTTATTTTCTTCTTCCTCACTTAAATAATTAATTATTATGGGTATGAAATCAATCTCGTTTTAGGATACTGTAAATATTTTTTCATGAATTGAACCCTAATTTTACAAATATTATTTTCCGAATTAATTTATACTATATGGGTTGTTATTTGTGTACGAGGGTGAAGCAAAAAAACAAAATAAGGAAGTAAAATGAAACAATTCTGAATATATAAATAGGACAATCAACAATGGCAATAATGTAGTTGGCCTCCATATCCTATATTTCTCTGAATGAAGACAAAATTAGATGAATTATTATAAGTTGCTGCCATACTCAATATGACATTATTTAATTGTAAAACGCCATATCTAAAATAGCTTGATTTTCTTAAGGATATGAATTAATTTCACACTATTCCCTGCCATTTTCACCATTCTTAATTTGTCTGGAAAGACAAAGACCATAAGGAAATAGCTCTGCTTTTATATTAAATTTTTCTTATTTGCTTCCGGCATATATATAATCAGTTGTAGTCTGTTTGGTATTCTCATTAGTGTGAAGTCTCAAATTCGAATCCTCTTGACCACAAGAATTTTTACCAATTTGGTGAATCAAGAGGAAAGTTATCTCCTGTTGTGTGTAGTCCATATCGTGTTATTTCGGTTCATTGGACCTTCTTATATATAATTTGGTGACCAATCCAAGAGAAAGTTATCTCCTGTTGTGTTGTAGTTCCATATTCGTGTTTTATTTCGGTTTCATTGCGACCTTCTGGCGGGATATTTATATAATATATTATATATATATATAATAGTATTATATATAAGAGGAGGCTAATTTCATTGTAGTATATCAAGTTCTAATCTACTAACAATATACATCGCAGAAGATAAAAAGCAAAGAAAAGGCCGCGCAAGGAAAAGGACAAGTGTAAAGTATGCAGGAATAATGTTGGATATAAGACGAGAGAATCAAGAAATAAATTTAAAGGATGATTTCTTTTCATTACATGTATTCATTTATTATTATCTCCAGTGAGCATAGGTATTTGGATATATATATGTATGTTAATCATTTTAGTGTGTGTATGTGAAGACAATATAAGTCTTTTTCAGGGAAAGGAACTTGCATGTGTGTCTTAAGGATGAAAAAAAACCAATTAGGTTAGATTGATAATATATATAAAGAGGAGGCAAGTTCATTGGATGTATATCAAGTCTAATCTACTACAATATACATCAAATAAAGCAGAAAAGGCCAAGAAAAAGACAAGTGTATATGGCAGAAATAATGTTGATTAAGACGAGAGAAATCAAGAAATTAGATGATTTCTTTCATTACATGTATCATTATATATCTCCAGAGCAGTTTTTATATATGTATGTTAATCATTTTAGTGTGTGTATGGAAGACAATATAATCTTTTTCAGGGAAAGACATGCATGTGGTCTTAAGGAGAAAACAATTAGGTTAGATGATAATAATAAGCTTATTTTTTTATTAATTGACGGTTAAATCAACGGAATTAGACTGCACTTTCATATAAACTTTGTTTGTAAAATCAGGACTCAAAACATGTTAATAGTGATTTACCAGAATATTATTATATCTTCGACTTGACGGTAAAACACAAATGCAAATTAAAAAGAAAAAAAAAATCGAGAGTGGCATCATTTATGAAATTAATAATTTTTATAATTTTTTAACATTGGTCAATTATTGATCACAAACAAACTTAATTCATTTTAATTAGTTTTCTTAAACACGTTGATGAGTTTGGAAAGAATACAAATAATGTTAGAGTTAACAAAATAATCTTTATTATTATTATTATTATTAATTAAAAGAAAAGGAATATAATTAAAATATAAAAAATTTAGATAGCTAGCCTGTCTTCTGCTTGTTCTTACATTATGAAGCTTCTCTGGACCTCTGGCAATGTCCTAATTCAGACATCCAATAGGATAATTAATCATTGAAGAAAACATAATAATAATAATAAAAAAATTAAATAATAAAAGATGCTTGTAATCTCCAATCCATGCCTCATTATGCACTCGTACGCTTATCTTTTAGTGTAATATGAGCTGTTCATTTGAAGTCAACTTTGCCTAATTACTTCAATTTGTTTTCTCTTTTTCTGTCTTTTCCAATCTTTTATTGCTACTTTTTAACATTTCATGAAAAATATATATTTTATTATTATTATTATTATTATTTGATTTCTCAATAAAAATAATTTCTTGCTTCACTTTTAGGTAATGAATCAATGTCTTAGAATCATTAAAACATTAACATTTCCTATATATATATAAAAATTCAACTCCTTCACCTTGAGGAGGCTTATAACGGTTCTAGTTATCATAATTTTGATTAAAGAAAATTAATAAACCATTTATTTTTTAATTTTTTTCATAATTTAATGCATAATACTTTCGTTTGGAATTTTACGTTTCTTTAAAACAATCATTAAATTCAAATTTGTCTAAGATATAATAAATTATTGATTAAATTGACTATATTATCTTTAATTTAATATTAATTCTCTAAGAAAACTAATGAATTGAAGTAATAATTATTAGTCATATATAAAAGGCAAATATGAAAAAAAAAAGATTTATTACTCTTTGGAGCCATAAATATGATAAGTATTTTAGAAAAAACTATTTTCTCAAATGTGACAAGTATTATCAAACGGATGTAGTAAATCATTTTGGATATTCTAAGGAGTAATAAATTTAGTGTTACTTTTATTTATATTAGATAAAATAACTATACATTAGTTTGAGATAAAGGGTAATATGATCAAATTATCTTTAGTTTTATTATGAACTAGGATAATTAATTATTTCCGTAATCTCTGTATAAAAATCTTAACAACTTATATTTAAAACAAACATACATAAAAACACATATAACCTGAAGATATATATACCTGACTTGACGATAGATTCAATTTAGAATCTCTTCTCCTGTACTTTGAAACGTACCATTTTTACAAATTGATGTCAACTTAAATGTTAAATATTTTTTACAAAAAGTTAAAAAAAAAAAATTCAAATTTTTTTTGAAAGGTAATCATGAGAACGGATATAGATTGAAACCTCAAGTAATGGTATTTTTAACCTTAAAGATAACTAAAGCGACTATTTACTTTCTCAAATGAACTCTATTTATAAATTAAGAATTCAAAATATAAGTATGATGGGAGTATTTATTTATATATAAAATAGAAAAAAATTTACAAATTCGATCCATTTAAATTTGAAATTTTGCATATATGATTAGAAGGGTGGTTGGGGTTATTTTTGAACCGGTGTAAATTTGTCGGTGGCCGACGGTCCAGCAACAAGTATAAGAAAGAAAAATAAATACAAGTATTAAACATGTTTATTAAATTACAGCCATACAATTTGTTAGCAAACCTTATCCAAAATAACCTCTAATTACAAAACATTGATGTGTACTTTGTCTGCTCACAGACAGTTTTGCAGGGTCGATTCAGATTCCTTTGAGGATTAATGAGGTTAAAAAAAAATTTAATCGATCGAGTTTAGTTTATCTGTGGCAAGAACACATTATTAAATAAGAACCACATAGAGAATGAAATGTGGGACTTCACTGATGACAGCAAACTATGTTTGTAGAGCCCATGCATCATAAATTATATTTGGATTATTTTAATATTATAAAAGAAGAAGATTGGAAATACCTTTTTTATCAAAGGAAAATGCCTTTTAGAGAGTTTCTGATAGAGTTATCTTTATGAGTCTTCTTAAGGTTGGCATTAATTACATTTTAAAAAAAAATTATATTTTTTATCCATAGCTAAGGCTGTGAATCCGGTATACGTAAATATTTTCCTAATATATATTCCAAAATTATAGTGACTATGCTATTAAATGATTTATTCGATGTTAATGGTTAGTAATTAGAACATATTCAAAATCGCAGCTAGCTTTAAAAAGTATTATTCTAAAAATGCGAAATAAAAAATGTGTGTCGAAGCTGAAAAACTTTTACATTCTGTAATCCCCTTCGAATCATAGAACATACATGATCTAAGTGCGTTTCTTTAGAGATCGAGCTTGTGTTTGTTATCATACTTACAGAAAATTGAGGTCGCTTATCACTCCAACTAACACTTTATTACTACAATCTGAATTGAATTAACACTTCTTAATTCTGAAAAAAAGAACATTATACTAAATATGTTTTTAGACGTTATTAAAATTTATTTTTGAAGTAAATTTCAGAAAGTCTAATGGATGTACAAAATGAATGTTGGTTTTCAATTTTATATTTTAATTTCTTTGTTTGAGTGAATCAAAGTTTAACATGAGTAACTTTGTGATGAAAACAAAATATTATTAGTAAGTAAGAGAAGAAAAGGTTCTTGAGTTGCTGCCAACTTTTTTAGGGTTTGTGTTGTGAAAAAAGAAGTCAATGTCATTAGATTACAAGTCTCATTGAACTTGAACCTATACTAATTAAGTTGAAGAAGGCATCAAGTGGAAAAAATTTGAATTAAGAATTCATAATTCAAAACAAGTGTGAATCATAATTACAAATTTGTAAGACAAAGAAACATAATTAGGAAAGCATAATGGCCTACTTAACTATATAGCTTGATGGGAAATATTTGAATTGAAATTCATGAACTTGAAAACATAACAATCAAATGGTCATTTGAAATAGAAAGGGGACACAATCCATATGCCCTTGAAAATAGATATAATGCCTTTTCTCTATTATCCTTAAAGGCATTTGTTCCTAAGTTGATTCTAAGACAGACAACTAATTGACAAGAAAGACCAATTGTTTCTCTTATTAAATAAATATTAGTGGTATCACACTCATACCTAAGCTTTTCTATATTATAATTAACTATTACTAATCTAGATCAGACTTCAGACTTCAGTTACGATTACAAATACAAATTATGTCACACCCCGACTCTAATCACCAGAGGAATTGTCCGCTTTGGCCACGGGATTGTGCCACGGCCTAATCCGGCCAACACATACACCCGCCAACACGGTTTTGTCCCGCAGGTAAAATGAGAAACTTTTCAAGAGGTCACCCATTCTAAGATTTCTGTTAAGCGAGCACGATTAACCCTGGAGTTCTTTTAATTCTCCAGCCATTCCACCAAAAGGCGCCTCTAATGATTAATTTCCTCCTTTTCGATATATGATTCGATTCATTCCTGTATCCCGCATTCCACTACCCTAGCTAGTTTGTCCCGCAGGTAAAATGAGAAACTTTTCAGAGGTCACCCATTTTCTAAGATTCTGTTAAGCGGAGCACGATTAACCCTGGTGAGTTCTTTTTAATTTCTCCAGCCATTCACAAAAGGGCCTTGCTAATGATTAAATTTTTCCTCTTTTCAGATATTATGATTCGATTCATTCCTGTATCCCGCATTTCCACTTACCCTTAGCTTAGCCTGTCATCCTAGGATTCGCTTTGCAGTGGTCGGGTGTTACAAATTTAATCCAAGTCAGTTGAAGAAGACTATTAAAAAGCGAAAGAATGACATTTAAATGGTGATAAAATCATTAAAAGCGGAAATATTTACTTAAATGGTAAACATAAAGTTGGGTGAGATTCTAATCTTCCATGCAGGTTGATTCAATTTGTGATTATAACTTTCTACCAAAAGGCGCCTCTAATGATTAATTTCCTCCTTTTCGATATATGATTCGATTCATTCCTGTATCCCGCATTCCACTACCCTAGCTAGCCTGTCATCCTAGGATCGCTTTGCAGGGTCGGGATGTTACAAATTAAATCTCAAGTCAGTTGAAGAGACTATTAAAAAGCAAGAATGACATTTAAATGGTGATAAAATCATTAAAAAGCGGAAATATTTACTTAAATGGTAACATAAGTGGGGATTCAATCTTCCATGCTTTGATCATTTGATTAAAACTTTACTGGCGATCGTTCGATCTAATTTGAAAATACCTTGAAAAGTATAATTGATTAGCTTCCCCATTTTAATGTAATCCCTTTTTAAAAAAATTTTATGAAAGGAGGCAACTTTATTAGTAAGGATTGTGTTAATAGAAGTTGTAAGAAACATCTCACATTGGGTTGCCAAGAGAATGAGGATTGGAAAAAGAGGGGTCCTCCCTGAGATAACCTTAATGAACTATTATTATTATTATTATTATTATTATTATTGATTGGCCCATTAACAAACATAAGCACATGCATCTCTAATAAGTTTTCAGTTAACTCCTAACTAAACTTACTCAGCTTTTGTCTTGTCAAGCAACAAATGATGGCGACTCAAACATGAACCTCCTTATCATCACATTGCTTACTATAAATGGAAGCTTAATATCTCATTAACAATCATTATTTTGCTAATCAATATTGTTCATTCACCATTAATCTATATAACCCTCTATATAATATTAATTAGGGCATGTTTAGCAAAATTAACTATTTGATTAGCGTTTAGAGTAGTTTTTCATAAAATGTTAAAAGATAAACGTTAAAGGGATTAACCATTTATAAAACGCTACCTTAACCTTTAAAGCCAATTCAAATGGTATACTACCAACCATTATAAAAAAAAAAATTAAAATACGAAAAAATTACTTAAAAAGCTGTTGTTGAATGCAACCTTAATCTCTTGTTTTTACCTCTCTTGATTGTTTTTAATAAATTTTAACTAAAACTTTTAAAAGGGTTTTTTTTTTCTTTTTTTTTAATACAATTCTAATTGAATTTAAACTGAAATCCAATTTCAGAGTCGGTGAATCAAAATTTACTGATTTAAAAGAGTGTTTTTACAAAATATTTGCATGGAATAGTAATTTATAATTAATAAGTCTTTTTTTTAGTGAAGGCCCATATTATTATGGTGGAAATTGACTTTAATTAGAAGGCAACATGAATGATCAAAAGCTCTTAAGGGCCTTTAATCCCATCAATTATTAAAAAAGAAAGAGCTTTGTCTAGTTGAAATTGCCCTTACATATATGCAATAATGACATGTTTGCTTTTGCTATATAGTGGCAAATTATAGTCAACTTTCTAGCCACATTTACATCATTACTTGTTTACATTTTGGGAAGAGATTAAGCAAAAAAATAAAAAATCCAATGCTAGTAGACAAAATCAATGTAGGCAAGGACTCAAAAATGGAGTATTGAATTCTCAAAATGGAGTGATTGAGGAACTTTTGTGTAAAAACATACGATAGATCAAATCCCATATTGTAGATTTTTATTAAAGTTGTCTAATCTATAATACAAAAAGAAGAACATACAACAAAGTCTAGTACAATATTTATATGCAAGAAGGCAAAGATACATTATAGAAAAAAATACTTATCTGTTACACGGGGTCTATGGTCCCATATATAGATCAAACTAATATAAATATGAATCTTTTAAAACTTTTGTTCATACTTTGTCCTTTTTTTTTTCCTTAATATATGGTTAAAAATATTCTCGTTTCAATAAAAATTTATATTTTCACCGGTTTGATTTATGGATGAGGCCATAAACCCAGTCCGGACAAATCTATCTAGGTCCACCCATATCACCCTTTGGGCCAATCTTGATAAATTTCCTTTTGATCTCTTGCCTATTGGTCATGACATCCCTTTGATTTTCCTTTGAAGGGCCCATTTACCCTAATGGATTTTAGCAGTTGCCTATGTTTCTTAAGCATAAGTTTGTCATTTTAGGATCTCAAGGTATATTCAACTTGTTATGCAATTTCAATGATTACTCGATCAGTAGATTCAACAAATCCATTGAGATTTGGGCCATATTGTGAGTGAATAGCCCAAAAAGGTATCAACTGGGCCTGGATAAAGCGGGTCATGACGGTGCCGTTTTTAGATGATTTCTGAAAGCGTCTAACACATGGAAGTCTTAAAGAAATGACATCAACGGTCGGTAGCTTTGGCTTTTGGTGGACTGAAACGGTGTCGTTGGATGTGATGAACACGCTGGAATGATGTTTCGACTTCTCGACCGTTAAAAAGGCAGAAAAAGGAATAGAAAAAAAGGTGAATTACTATTTAGTCCTTGTAGATTGATAAAGTACATAAGCTACGATTTTTATTTTTCAAAAATTAATTAAATAGTTTCTATATTTTATTGTTAATAGTTCTTTCATTAAAATTTTGTTCATATTTTGATTAGCCAACTAAAATGATTAAATAGAATTTTTTATTTCGATTATGTCCATAAAAGAACGAAATAAAATTTTTATTGTTAAATTTTATCTAATAATTTAATCTAAGTATACAAAAATTGAATTTCTATTTATGAGGTTTATGATTGAAAATTTTGATGTTTCTATTGAATTTTTATTTATGAATTATGATTGAAAATACTTAAGATAAAACAAAATTCTTACGTTTGATTCGACAATGATATATAAAAAAAAATTCAGAATTTTGTTGGCAATAAAATTGAAATTCTATCATAATTCAATAAAAAAAATTAGCAAAAGAACCATTTAGTTACAAAAAAACAAAATAAAAAGATTATCTAATTAATTTTTAGAAAATAGGAAAATTTACTAAATTATAGAGAATTAAGGACTGAATAATAATTAAAAAAAAAAGGGAAAACTTTATGGTCCCCAATTGAAAAAACACCTTTGTCTGGTAGCCATTAGGAAATTGCAATTTCTCTCTCTCACTTTCTAATCATCCAACCAACCAACCCAAACCTATTCTTTATTGTCATCTTGCTTTGTTATTTAGATTATTTCTTAAAAAATAGAAAAAAAGAAGATTAATGGAATTCTAATCATCAAATTGAATTGATCATGTGATACAGTCTGTCAATCACTATTTTTATTTTGCTTTTCTTTGCTGTTCTTGTTATTTCTTTTTCTTTTTCTTTTATTTTTTTGTCAGTTGCCAACCATATTATCCTTTTTCTTTCCTCTTTTATCATATTATTAATTATTCTTTTCTCACTTAGAAAGAATCTCTCATCAACTTACTTTTCAAAGATCATACTCTCTCTCTCTCTCTCTCTCTCTGTATCTGCTTCTTTCAATCTTCATGGCTACTGAATCTGCAATTGCATCACTCCACTCTCCTCCTCCTACTACTGTTACTGATGAGGTATGTATTATGTACATGTATCATGTGTTTAAGTATGAAGAGATATCTACTAGTTAAATATAGTTCTAGTATTTATTTATTTGTTTAATTTTCATGTGTCTTTTAGTGATCAACTTTTTATGTGATCTTCTGGTGTTTGATGATCAAAACCCATCTGTGATTTTGTTTCTTGTTCATAGATTTTGAATTATGAGTTCTGATCAACACCCACTTGAAATATGCCACTCTAGTATCTTTGCAAGTGAATATGCTTTCTTCTTCTGCTTCACTGTATTGAATTTCATTGAGTTTGAAGCTTCTTTAAGATTTATCCACGGTAGTTGTAGATCATCATTTTCTTAGTATCTACTGTATCAAGTTTTGAATCATATCATATCTCCCAAACAAAGATTCTGTCTTGATGGCCGACACTGATGTCCTCCAGGTCATAATATCTGGCCTTTTTTTTGTATATTCTCACTTGGAACCAGAAACACGTGAAATGATTTCTTTCAGAAGCTTTTGTGTAAATGTTTTTGATCATCTTTAAACTAAAAATAAATGAAAGGGGAAAAATTCTGTATTTGAAATATATATTCAAATTCAAGCTAAAAATATATTGCAATTTGTTGGTATATATGATTGGTGATCCACCCAAAAAAACTCATTTCCACTTTCACTGACTTGTCTATTTGATTATTCAAAAGCTGATTATCTTTTGTTCATTGCAGCTAATTGAGACCAATGTGACTGAAGAAGTAAAGCCTATGGAACAAGAAACAGTTTCTTTAGCCAAGGAAGGTAAAGAAGAGAACTTCCCCAAAGCTGAAATACTGCCAAGTGAGGATAAGCTGTTAGGTAAATCAGAAGTAGAGGCAGAGGATAAAAAGACTGAACCCCTGGCAGTTGAGGTTAAGACCAGTGGTGCTTCCGTTGTGGATGCTGTGGTGGAAGATAAAATTGAGCCGATTGCCAATGCCATTAACAGCCAAGTAGTTGCACAACCACCTATAGAGTCAGTTGCCAAAGTAGAAGAGAAACCCGCGATAGACGTTGTAGAGGAAACGAAAGAGGAGCAACCTAAGGAAGTTGATGATCCGGAATCTTTGGTTGAATCTTCTGAGAAACCGAGAGAGGTATCAGAAGTTCTTCCTGCTAAAGAATCTGAAGCAATTGCTTTAAAAGATGTTGAAGATTTGCAAGCAGTGTCCAAGGAAGTAGATAAGCAAGAATCACATGTTCCAGAACCTGATGTGAAAGAAGGTGAGAAAACAGAATCAGTTGAAGAAATTGCGAAACAACAGGAGCCACCAGAGGATGTAGATGTCAAGGAATCACAAGTAGTTGTGAAGGATATTGAAGCTTCAGAACTAGTTTCCAAACAAATTGATGAACCAGAATCAGTAGCTCCTCAAGTAGAAGTGAAACCAGAGGAAGAAATTGGGAAACAACAGGAGCCAGCAGAAGTTGTAGATGACAAAGAATCACAAGTTATTGTGAAGGATATTGAAACTTCAGAACTAGTTTCCAAACAAATTGATGAACCGGAATCAGTGGCTCCTCAAGTAGAAGTGAAACCAGAGGAAGAAATTGGGAAACAACAGGAGCCACCAGAAGTTGTAGATGACAAAGAATCACAAGTTGTTGTGAGGGATATTGAAGCTTCAGAACTAGTTTCCAGACAAATCGATGAACCAGAACCAGTAGCTCATCAAGTAGAAGTACAACCAAAGGAAGAAATTGGGAAACAACAGGAGCCACCAGAAGTTGCAGATGTCAAAGAATCACAAGTTGTTGTGGAGGATATTGAAGCTTCAGAATTAGTTTCCAAACAAATTGATGAACCAGAATTAGTAGTTCCTCAAGTAGAAGTGAAACCAGGGGAACAATCTCAAGTTGCCAAAGAAGTGGAAATAGTCGAGCCACTTGAAGCCATTGAGAAACAACAGGAGCCACCAGAGGTTGTTCGTGTTAAAGAATCAGAAAAGTTGTCGGTAGAAGATATTGAAGAGTCAGCAGTGTCCAAAGACGTAGAAAAACCACAAGCACTAGTTCCTCAAGATGAGGTGAAACCGTCCATAGTAATCAAAGAAGTTGAAAAACCAGCATTGCTAGAAAGTAAAGCTGATGTGAAGCCAGAGCTTGAATCTCAAGTGCCCAAAGATGTAGAAAAACTAGAATCATTAGTTCCTGAGGTTGCAGTGAAACTAGAAGAACAATCATCGGTAACTAAAGAAGATGGTAAATCAGAAATCCTACAAGTTGAACCTGATGTGAAAGAAAAGGTAGACACTCAAGCGTCTAAGGACACAGAAAAATCACAACCAGAATCCGTAGCTCCTCAAGCTGTGGAGGAACCGGAGGAACAACATACAGTTATCAAAGAAGATGAAAAACCAGAATTCATTGACTCGAAACCAAAGATAGAATCTGCAGTCCCTGAAAAAGTTGAAAATCAACCAGCAGAAGAAAAAACAGAATTAGTTGAACTAAAACCCGAGGGAAAAACTGAAATTGCTGGACAAGTTGAGCCTAAGGGAAGTATCAATGGTGAAACTGTGATCACTGAAGGAACATCGGCTGATAAAGTTGACGACACCACATCCTTCAAAGAAGAGAAACCTATTTCAGTTTCTGAACAAGTTGTTTTGGCTAAACAGGAGGTTGAAACTGATAGTAAGAAAAGCAAAGTAGAATCTTCTCTACCAGATGTTGCAGAAAAGACTGGTGTGGAAGATGGAGATAAGGGAAGTAATGGGACTGTTGTGGTTGAATCACCATCAAAAGAAGCAGAGGTGGAAATAAAAAAGAGTGGAGAAGACAAACAAGAAAAGACTATAAAAGCTGAAGGTGAGAATGTACAAGAAGTAGCTCAGCCAATCAATGTGGATCATATTAAGGAAGTTGTTTCAAATGTTCAAGTTACTGAAAGATCATTTGTAGAAGACAAGAAAGAAGAGAGCACAAGAGAGGAGACATTGGCTTTAGTTGAAACCAGCAAAGATGTGGAGGAAAAGCTGGATGAAGCCACTCCAGCTGTTACTGAACCAGATAAAGAATCCCAAGTGAAGGAAGAAGAAAGTGCAAAAACGGGTGAAGATAAGTTGGAGAAAGAAAATGTCAAGGAGATATCAAAATCTGATGCAGAAACAGCCCAGGACCTGCCAAAACAAGTTAAAGCGAAGCCTACACAAAAGCAATCAAATAATATTTTGACAAAGGTGAAACAGTCACTCGTGAAGGCGAAGAAGGCTATCATTGGAAAATCTCCAAGTTCAAAAACCCTCTCCTCTGACACCAAGGATGATGTTAGAGTCAAATAATCGAAAAGGAAACTAAAACTTTGCATGAACATACAAGGTTGTGGAATTTGTGTTGTGATATACAGAATTTTAGTCGTGTGTAAAAGTTTTTTGTTTTTTTACCCTATTCTTTTCAGTTGTATGTATTTGTTGGTGTGCTGGTGGTTGTCTGTTGTTAGTGATGACGGTTGGTATAGGTATAGAAAAACTTTTCCAGTTTTGAAGATTGATTTGTAGATACATATTACAGTTGCCACTGTTACTCTCCGATAACATTTATGTACTCATTACTTGTTAATAATATTATTGTTGTATTTTATGAGGTTGTTATGATTCATTAATGTTTTCATTGAGATGAGATGTCATGACTTGTGGATGAGACTTGTCCAGAGAATGGACCTTAGTAAAAGAGCTTATCAGTATTCTGGACAACTTATGATATTTGGATGGTACAATATAAACAACATTAAACTTCATGCTTGCAGTCTCCCGCTCTTTTAATGATGTCCACTATGAAACATCTGCATGAAAAAACTTGATGCAAGGGGAGCATCACTATTACATGATCTAGAGTTGATTTCATCTTTGCGTTTTTGCCAAAGACACTACTCTTTTCATGTATGGCAACAGTTGTGGATGAAGTAGATGAACCTGTTGATGTTGTATGGACGATGTTTGAGCCAGAAATTTATGAAGGAAGATATATTCATACATAATTCATGAGATTTCAGTTCGTTCAATGTTTTCATCAAACATCAAATGCATTTGACAGACTCAAATTTGATATATGATACTAAAGACGATCCAATAGGATAAACATATTCTGGAGATATAATCAGAACATGTAATCTCAAATTTTAAGAAAGATACCTAACACATTGTCCCCCTTCCCTCTCCTTCTTTCCCTCTTTAGATAATGATTTTGTGACCACACCACATTACATCATGATGGAAAACACAGAGAGAAAGATGTGCGCAAATTATATTGCCAAGAGTCTATCTTTTCATTAATTCAAAGAATTTGTAATGAAAGGTCTACAAAAGAACACTAAAAAAATATATTTCTGATATGTAAGTAAATGTACAAAAGCAAGAAAAGGCTAAAGCTCCTCAACGTACCAAAATCTTTGCAAATTATCAGTATAACTGCACGGTGCTGAAACTAGAATGAAAATGATCATGAATAACATTCAACTTCATTTGTTGCCCTGCTGCCTTTTTCTGCATACTCGTATAGATTCACCATGAAGAAGGGAAAGGCTTGACCTTTACGGGAAGGATGATTGATTTGCTTTTAATGACAAGGATCAGAAAACCTGTCAGTCACAACCAGCTGCACATATAAAAACAAACAAAAGTCTCATACCCCTTTCAAGCCACATTAAATAACCTCATATCAAATTGCAAGACGGTTGCAAATGAACTCACCAGCAGCTCTGCCAGGCACATTGTCATTCGCATTTGCTGACTTCAGAGCTCTTCCACCATCAGTAACTTCAGAGGATGGACCACTGTTTTGCACCAAAGCAGGCTGTTCAATACGATCATTTGTCACTTGGCACTGGCATTACAAAGAAGGAAACTTCTCTTAGAGTCAGGCACACTGATGAACAAGACAAGCAGGCAACATAATTCCACATAAGGTTCGTCCTTGACCCTTTGATGTTTAGCATCATACTACTACATGAGGATTGCTTCTCCAACTTCAGATTTCTTCAGACAAATGTGATCTCACATGGTTTTTACTTGCCAATAGAAAATTATACACAACCGTTATACAGAACTTTGAAAAATGAACAAAACAATTGGCTGCTAACAGAAGAAAGGCTGTTGATTTTTCATTAAATTTTCCACAAGCACCTCCTTCAAGAGGCAAACACAAATAAGAAAAAGTCAGGATGAGCAGAAAATTCAAGCACGGTGCAAACTAAATTGATCAATTTAAATGAAACAGAGATTCTATACACTGAAAACTTAATGATCAAAACTTGATTAGATCATCTCTTGGCATCTTCTTCCGTCCAAGACTACAATTTCCCTTACTGCAACATTCTGACATTCATATGACAATTTTAGGTTGTATTTTGTATGTGCAAGTTTTCTTTCTCAAACATAAAGGAGAGATGTTGAGATGCTATTTTCTGGGAGAGGACACATGTCACTCCTTTCTATAAAAGCATAATCTGGTTTAGACATATTTAAGGCATCAATTTTCTAGTCATAGAAAATGGAACTTCATGATGAATTCACAAACCTGTCTAGACGTCTGATTCATTGAGATATTGGCACCACAGTTTTGCATTGTTCGTGAGTTGACATTTTGAATTGAATCCTTTGAACCAGAGACTGGGGCTGAATCCAAATTATTCATGGGACCTGCCACCCCACCAGCATTCATTCCCATGGTAGTTTTTAGAAGAGATCCTCCTGACATTGGCATTAAGGGTGCACAAGGATATGGCATTGGATGTCCTTGACTAGAAAGTCCAAATATTGGAAGATTAGATCCACTCATCCCATGCAAAGCACTAGGACCCGATATTGGCGGACTAGGAAAATGTGCTCCATGCATAGGAGGCATCTGAATCATAGAGCAGCCAGAAGATCCAACGATCATATCAGGCATACCCATCCCAAAACCCATTCCCATCCCCATTCCAACTCCCATAGGTGAGAATTGAGCCATATGGGGAGCATGCATGTGAGGCATCCCTGGGGGTAACATCATTGATGGCATATATAAACCAGCTCCCATTGACATAATCTGCATAAAAAGTTGATAAAATAATCCAACCTAATCAGTTAATTATCAAATTCCTGTAACATAAAACAAAGACATGAAGGCATGGAAAAATTACCTGTACCTGAAGCTGAAGTGTCTTTAAATACTCAATAGCCTCATCGAGCATTGAAGCTTTGTCCACCTTGTAATGTGAGAAAAATGTTAGTCAACGAAAGCAAAATTGAAAAAGAATATCCAGTCTTAATTACTTGACTCTATTCAATGTCCATAGACTTTCGAGAATAGCAGGAAGAAGTTCATCTCAATTATGCAAACCAAGGAGGCATAAAAATCTAAACTTTGAACACATATACTTGAGTTCTCAGTTCTAAATTTCAACAAACGCAGGTAAGCTTCATTAAGTTGATTCCACTTTGACTAGGCTAAGCTTTTGTATAGGTTTAAATCTTTAATACATATCAGAGTATCATGGAGAAAGCTCAACAAGAAATATAAATTCAGATATTCAACCTTGTTGCAGTTTGGTATGAGTTCCTGTAGGGCTCGCATCTTCTCGTTGATCCTATCTCTTCGCCTCTGTTTGTTGAAGTTCAAGACAACCAATCAAGATCTTGTAATTCAAAACTCTGAGTGCAATACCAGAATAAGGAAATACATTTTCTTAATGTGTACAGTTCCACTCACCCTTTCAGACAAATTATGTACTTCTGCTGCTCGGCTTCTCTTGGAGCCAGTACTCCCTCGAGCAGGAGCTGCTCTTTTTGCACCTACTGATTCCTCTTCAACATCCTGCAATTGATTGATTTTCTTAATATGTAGGAACATGAGATAATAGTACGAAGAGCAAAAAATAGAAAATATGTGAAAACTATATTAATCTTACTTCACTAGGGCCTTCAGACTCCTCTATTTCCTGGTATTTTCTCTTCAAATCCTGTGTTGGTTCTTCTGAAACTCTCTCCACACTATTGCCTGAGCAAACAGAAGAAGAAGCAACTACGGGCTCTGCATTTTTTCCACTATCTGCCAATCCTCTAATTGCACTTTCAGCGATTTGACAATGACTTCTATCATTTTTAGAGTCATCTTCTTGGTCCAAAGCCTCAGGCTGCTTTGCAGGAAGGAGTTCCTCAGTAGGCTTATGGTTCAACGGTTTAGCATCAACCTTGGATGACACCATGATAGGCTGGGACTGGGAGCTCAAATCCTTTGGTAAACCACCAAATGTATCAACGCATGTGGGCTCAACAGGATTGCTATTGCTTGTATCAGAGCCCTTATCCTTACCTCCCATTGTTTCTATGTTTGAAATTCCTGAACCAGCCCTTGTGCCAATATTATGAAGGTTAGCTTTAACAAGAGAAGCAGGTCTTGAGAAATGTGAGAAATTCATTAAACTGGAGTTAGTAGAAGACAACACTGGACTTGACTTCTGCGCTTCTGTGCTAGGAAAACCACCTCTTGAAGATGGACCTCGTATTGAATTCCCAGAAGCTGGATGACGAGTTAGATTGTTTATATTCTCACCATTATTAACTGAAAATCTGGATCTAAAATATGGGAACGATGTTTGGCATTGCTGCGACGGTGATGGATACAAGTGACTAGAACTAGTTCTAGGCCCAGCACTAGCAGCATCAGCATGCTCTGTTGAAGAAACTTTTGGCATGTGAGCTTGCTCTATACTTGAAACATTATGTACAGAAACAGTAGGAGAGTCCCTTATCGATTGGTTACCACTATTTCTCTTATCCAACGATGGGTAATGATTCTGACAGTTTTCATTTACAGTAACTCCAGATAATTCAGTCAAAAACTCAGAACAATAATCGTGTTGCAGAGGATCATCAATCGGATAATTCAACCATGGTACCATGTCATCATCTTGATTCGAACCCAATTCAACAGACGGCATAGACATCGGAACTTCACCTAGTACAGAACCCATGGACCCAAATCGTCCCATTTTATTGTTGCTGCCATTACCTATATCTTTATCTCTAATCTTTGAGGTTTGAGATAGTAAGCCGTTAGAAATTTGGTTCTTTCTACCTTTACTGGACTGAACTTGACCATTTTCCCATACTAGCTCAAGAAAATCATTCTCAGGTCTGCATTTAGAACATGAAATAGAAAAAAGAGTTAACGAAAGCAGAGGAGAAAATCAAAATAAATTAAAGGTATGGAACTATACCAAATAGAAAGAGCTGAAAAGTTGAGAAATCGAACTTACGCAGAAGAAAGATCAGTTAAGTAAGTGGGATTCTTCTCCTGAGAAGAATCAAACTTTCCTTTAGCCAATCGATATACTAGTTCAGACAAAGGCATGGTGAATGGTTGGCACCACTTTTCTTATTCAGAAATACCCCAAATTCAATCGTTTAGCCATTATTGGTACCTTCCAAACGCTAGACTTTTAACTCATAGCACAAGTTCAAAGAACCCAAAAACATATATGGAGCCAATAAGTTTTCAAGACATAAAAGCTTGACAAAAACCCCACTATAAGACAATCCCAGTTAGTAACAAAAGAAAAGGGAAGGTACTTCTTTTACAGTTACACAATTTACAGAACATAATCTATCTTTTAATACAGCAGTCCTTATCAGTAATCAGTGAGATATACCCACTATAAGGACAATCCCATGTTAGTAATCAAAGGAAAAGGGAAAGTACTTCTTTTCCTACAGTTACTACTCAAATGTAACAGAACATTTTTTTTTATTATCGTCATTGCTTTTAAGTTACAGCCAGTTCCTTATCAGTACATCAGGGAGATATATAATATAATATATTATTAATACTATATATATATATATATATAAATATTAAAGCGTATAAATTAAATATAAAGTACCAGTCAAACCTATTCTTTAATAATTTGGGCTCCCAAAGGATTCCCCTATAGAAAAACTTCCAATATTAAAGCTATATATAAATATTAAAGCTATAATTAAATATAAAGTACCAGTCAAACCTATTCTTTAATGGCTCCCAAAGATCCCCTATAGAAAAACTTCCAAATTAAGCTACTTTAAGTTTAAAAAATTGCAAGAAAACGGATCCTTTTGGCTTATCTAATCATTAAACTTAAAACTCAGAAACCCAGATCGAATTTTCTAAAACTGACGAACTGCAATGAACAAACCCCATCAACAGTTCACTTGAATAACAACTCAAAATCCTCACCACCACCCAGTGATCAACCAATAAAATCAACTGAGAAGGAAGAGAAATTTGAGAAAATCCGAGCTCCTCGAACAAGCAAAAGAACGCTAATCCAAATGCATTAAAAATATGAAAACTTAGTTGTAAATCATAATAGAAGTTACCAAAAGTGTGATCTTTAAAGCTCCTAACTGAGCTCGAAGAAAGAGAACTCAAGTTTTCGAGAGAGAGAGAGAGAGAGAGAGAGAGAGAGAGAGAGAAGAGCCAAGTGGACGCAGGAGACGGCGAAAGGCTAGCAGAATTGCAGGGGACCAAGACACAATATACAAACCACAAGCTCTAACCCATTTTTGTTGCTTTAGCCACGCTGTTACCATGGTTTTGTCTTGTCCTCTTTCTTTTCTTTTCTTTTTTCTCATTTTTGTTTTTTTTAAATTTATTTTGGTAGTATATGATTTAAATATGGACCCACCTAGAGTTACTAGTGTGGGCCATCGCAGCCATTATTATTCTAATTCAACCATTACTTGCAATTCTTTTCTTCTCCACTATGCAACATGTTTCAATATTGTCAGCTGAACCAAACTTCCATTCACCGTTCTTTTGAATTTATGCTCATTCTTCCTAGCTAAACTTCCATTTATCCTAATATTTAAGATATAAATTTGTTGTAGTCCCACGTTATATTTAACTAAAACCCTCTAAAATTGCAGATAAGATTCGCTTGAAAATGTAATTCATTTATATTAGTCAAATTCACCGCCGGTTAATATTTATTGTTACATGTCTTTTTTTTTATGATTAGTTTCGATTGTAGTAAGCTAATACCTAGAATATATTATATTTTATCATTAGGTATTGAAGTTAACTATATAAATTTGTATTTTTTAAGGTTTGCATATATGGGAGCCAGCTAGTATGGATGGGGAGGAAGTGTTAAATAGTGTAGTTGGGTAGTTCTTCTCATTAGGTGGGTAATAGTGTCTCTATGCCACCAATTTGAATAGAACATATTATCCTCTATTGGCATTATAAGGTATCCTACAATATTGGTTGTGGGTTGTGTAGATATGGGCTCTTATGCTTGCTTTCATAATGTAAAAACAAACAATATGTTGGAAGGGTACTATAGACTTTTTAATTTGTTGCTTTCACAATTATAACAAGGTTTGAAATTTTTGTTTTAGGGGAGTAATAAAGCCATTGACTTGGTCATCTATAGCTAGGCTTTTAAAATAATCTTCTTGCCCTTCATTTTGGGAGAGACTTTTTATGCTTTGCAAGTGGTGTGTGAATGGGATATGATAAATATATTATATTATAGTACATATTTATATTGACATTGCAATAATTTAATTTAGAGAGATAGGCATTGTTTTTCCTTTTGCCATCCATTTGAAATTGTGACAATATGTCACCAAATGAATAATTGAAATCTAATGAAAAGACAAAGCCTAGCTAATTAGTCCACAATTAAAATATTGTATGATAAAGTTGCACTATGAATCATCTAAAGTTGATATCACTCATTAAATTCATGATTAGTTCTCAACTAACATAATCTACAAGCCAAGAGAGAGAGGAAAAAGAAAACTTAAGGGTCATAATTGACATTTTGGTCATGTGCAATTTTATCACAAGCCAAGAGATAGGAGACACCAAATCACCAACTTTATATACTTGGATAGGGAAAGATGGGAAAGGACCCACACTAGGACCATAAGGTGCATAAACAACCAAAAAAGTGGGAAATCTAGGGATTAGATTAAGATATAGAGAGAAAATAGTTAATTAGAGTAATTAATGCTAATTAGATTTGGAGCAATGGTAGATTATTACCATTAGTAAAGGCTTTTTGGGTCTTTTTCTACCTTTTTCTAGTGCTAGGTACTATTTGACTATTGACTTGATTTGATTCCTTGCTTATGCATAGTAAGAGGAACAAAAATTGCCATGGTGATTAACAGATTGCAATTAGAGTCCATACAAGGTGGGTTTGATAGTTACATTCATAAATTGAAAGAATAAATGAGTTTTAGAGTCTATTTGGTAAAATTAGTTGTTTTATTAGTAATTTATTGTCTTAGTAGTATTTAATTGTTTGAATAGTTAGTAGTTGTTTGAGTAACTTTTCATAAAACGTTAAGAGCTAAACATTATAAAGGTTAACTATTCATAAAACACTACTTTAATCTATAAAGGGTAATTTATATGCTATACTACAGGACATTATACAAAATAGCATTTATAGCCTGAATCTAATTATTTTTTGGTTATAGTATTTCTAAGTCAACTTAATGTTGTTTCTTTATATTTTTCTCATTAGTTGAAATAGAGATACACACAATACACATATTAAGAATAATATGCACTCTTTTTTTTGTGCAAAATATCGGTGTTCGGACTCCAACATCAGGGACTGTCTAATCCGGCTCGGGACTTATTCAAAATTAAGGCTTCCCGTCCTTTCCTGCAGATGCGTTTAGTGAAGATCGAATCTTAAAACTTTTTCTACATATGTACAATATGCGTTGTCAGCTGAGCCATATCTTGCTGGTGATATGCATTCTTACAAAATATTTTTCTACCCGATACCCTCAAAACATCCCAAATATTTTATATCCAAAAGACTTACTCTAAATCCCTAATATAAAACACATTCAAGTATTTTTGGTGTGTTTAAAAATCTAAACTTTGGCTTCTTTTTATAGCTAATCCACCGCCCTTACATGCTCTTTTCACTTATGTGGGGTTGAGCAAAACTAAATTATATATATATATTCAACAAAGGAGGCTATACTTTTAATTTATATTTACACGTTTTATACATTTAATTTATATTTACAAATGAACTTTACTGCAAGATGACACGAGAGGCTATGTTCATGGTTAAAGGCGTAAAAGACAAGATGAAATGGGTTTTGGACACGTGGATCATTATTGAACCAATAAGGGATTTGGTACTGTCGAAGTGGACCCATGTTTGTTTTGTCTATCTTTTTCTGTTTGGTGCATGAACTGTTAAAGGAGATATGATTTTAAGGAAAATTTTAAAGGAGTTAAAATTGACCTCACATAAATTCGGAACAGAAAAGAAAGAGGGGAATAGTATGGAATTCACGTGCAGGTATGATTCTCACGTGACCAGAGTTTGTAAATTAGTGTTTTGTCCATTCCCAACTCGTTGATACGTTTTTTCTTTTTCTCCTCAGCTCGAGTCCACCACACAACACTGGTCCCAATTAGTTCACTAATTGCTTTTCAAAAGGCATACAAATTCTCTTTATTAATAAAAATAATAAAAAAAAAGAATTTGTATTAGGTAATTTAAAGAATTTATTTGGTTATTATACATCAGATATGCATCCCAATTTATTAATTAGGATTCAATTAATAAATAATCCCAACACTCCTAATTTAAACCACCGTGTAAACAGAAGTAAACAGTTATTACAGTTGTTAACAATGATTAGCAAGTAAAGTTGAAAGAATATACCTAGACTAGACTGGGAGTATAGCTGTTGTCTGAAGTTGCATAAATTAGGGTAACCTGCGGCTCCATTTTCTTGTGCTTGGTTGTCCAAAACCTACGACTCACAACATTCAATTCAAGAATCAAAGAACAGCCTCACTCCTCAGCCGCCATTGCAGTTCTGACACTTTACACCCTATTGTTATTATTATTTAATTTCCTTATAAAACAGAAAAGAATACGACTGGACTGCAGTGCTGATAGTAAACTGAAACCTGTGCATAAAGCCATAAACAAACACCACTGTGAAGAAAATTAGTTTCCTTATAAAAATTAACAGTGTCTGTCTGTTGCAGAAGTCTGGGAAGATAATATAAATAAATTAGTAGACAGAGAGAGAGAGAGAGAGAGAGAGAGAGACCTTTAATTATCCTTTCTGCATTGTTAGAGCTTAGAGCTGAGTTTCTCTCTCCAACTCCTCCATTTTCTTGGCTTCGGAGCCTCACCATTTGGTCTCTGTTTCTCTGCAATTTGCACGTGACCCACTTCCCCCATCCAACATGCACTGTTAGTTATCTTTTCTTTTAACACAAATAAATAAATATATTTGTACTGTTAATTTCATGTTAAAATATTTGCATGCTCATCATATACACGGATAGAATATGCAGTTCTCCATGCAACCCGGCCTCCATTTACCCTTCCATTTATCCGTGATCATTGTACGGACATTCTATTCACATTATACTGTATTATCCATAATTAAAAGTAATCGGATGTAATCTGATTGGTCTTTTTATTTATGTGAAAGGTGATAGGTTTTGAGATTTAATTATCTTGACCATAAAAATTTTTACCAATTTAATGAGCTAAGAGGAGAATTACCTCATTTTTTATAGCCCGCTATGTTATTATGACCCGTTGAAACTCCCAATGAATAATAATAAAAAAAAAAGAATAACCAGTCATTTATTGATTAAATTGATATTGATTAATGTCACAAAGTTTTTTTTAAAAAAAATTATATTGGCTGATTTTTTAAAATTATATATATATAAAGACATAATCCTAAACTTAATTTATAATTATAATTAATGTTGAGAAATCTAGCCTGCAGATGATTGTGTGTGAATGCTGCAAAAAGAAATATATATTTGCTCTCTGCCCATAACGTTTGCGAAGAAAAGAACAATTAATTTATTAGAAGAAGTAATTAAATAATTAAGAAATTCAAATGGGTGATGAGAAAAAATGGCAGAGAAATATTATAAAATGAGTAAAATATATATATACTTTTCTTGAAAGCAAAAACAATGAGCGTGCGAAACATTATAGCACCTGTAAAATGACGATATTATATGCTTGAAGAAACAAAATTTAGAAGCCTAACATTAGATAGCCAAATAGCAAATACCTCCCCCACCCTGAAACTGCAAGATTGAAAGTTTAAATTTGGATTCACCGTTTTTAGAAGGATTTCATCTGAATATCACAAAGATAAAGCGTCAAGCCAAATTTAAAAAAACACTGAACAGCTAAATTGGAGTTTTGAGGGGTTTGTTAAATCCTATGGTAACTTGGCAGGTTTGCCCATACCTTTTCTACATAAGTGATTAATTTTGCCCGTCTCTGTCTGCAGTTCTGCACTACTTAACTAAAAGCCATATATATATATATATATATATATATATGTATGGCTTTTGTCTCCTTAGTCTCTTATTTACATTTATAGGAAAAACAAGAAAAAGATATATACCTAGTCAGAACAGAACAATTCATGATCAAATCTGAAATTTTCTTTTTAACAAAACTGAAACAGAAGCCCTGCAAATAAGCAGGAAGAAATTTCTGTACAAGGACTATCCCAAAACTGTATTACAACATCAAATCCATAAAAGTTGGTCCCTGCAAATATGGAAAACTCAAACCTAACAATCTAGCTAAGAACATATGATTCCTCTAAGAAGAGAACTGCTAATTTGAAGGCTCTCCCATATCATTAATCCAGTATACCATTAACTAATTATTTATTATAGATAAGCAGATGGTCCCAACCGACACGGTCCAGATAATATTTATGAGTTAGATAATGTATTTCTTGTTTCTCATAAATGTTGTCGCCTTAAATGAGGTCTCAGCTGCCACGGCACATCACAGTCAAAGCAACATTTATCCACTCGTAGAAACTAAGGATTACAATCAGATCAGCTTTTTTTTCCAATATGGTCCTTCCTACACTATTTCTCAGCTTTTAGTCTTAGTATCTTCTACAAGACGTGAGAAAGCCAACTATATCGTATCTGATCGACAGATATACTGGTCGTTAAAAGCGGAAGTTTTTGTTAAAAGTAATTATGTTTGATGAGTTATTAAATGTAAAATGATTTTAAAAAATTTTAAGTAATTATTTACAAACGGTAACCAAACCTCTAAATGCTGGTACTAATATCATTTACCCAACGGTACAATTAGTAGATGTAGTGTTTTAATTCAAAAACCAACAAAATAAAAACAAAAAACCTTATCTATGGAAAAAAATTCAGCAAGTTTTTTTTTTCTTTTTTCTTTTTTATAGTTTATTTTTTCTGAATATCAAAATACAATGTATCATATCCATGATTCAATACTATGGTCCCCAAACTAAAACTGTCCTGATTTAGAAAACAAACTAAAGACTGAAAATGATATAAGAAAGATTAAAAAAATATATATATATATATATCCTGATTTAGAAAACAAACTAAAGACTGAAAATGATATTAGAAAGATTAAAAAAATATATATATATATATATATATATTTTATATATATTTTTTTTTTTTGGTGAAAGAAGATAATATCCATTTTGGATAAGATAAGGTGAAGAGCCTACCTGTGAAGCATCTGATATGTATTATTGGACCGGACCAGTCCAGTCCAATCCAAGTTGAATTTTAGAAATGGGCTAAGCCCAATAGGGAAACATACAATTAACGCGACTGTCCAGTAAGGAAATTTCCAAGAAGCTGACCGAACCAAAGGGTCATTATTAGGTTAAAAGTCTTTGTCGCAAAAATCAAAACAAGGAGATGAAGGGCCAAGATCATCAAACAAGCTTTCATCCAATGGTGAATATCTAAAAGTAATTAGGGTTTGATAGCTGACAGCACGATATAAATGAAGCCAATCTCTGAAACTTTCATTTACAGCCCAACCGAGTCATTAGAGGAAACGGAGTCATATTGTGAGGTCGCCATTAGAGGAAACGGAGAGGGAGTTCAGGATTTTCGGAAGGTTCTGGGATGGGTGAGCGGGGAAGATAAATTAATTATGTAAAATTTAATTATTTTTTAATTGTTGTTGTTATTATCTTCCCTACTCCACCCATGCCATAGGTTTCCGACTATTCGTCCCTCTCCTTAAACCTCTGTTTCTTGATCATCTCCGTCGTCAGCTGTTTTCTTCCGATCCGGTTTGTATTTCTTGATCTTTGATTGTCTGGTACTGGCTTATTTTTGTTTTAGTTGATTTGAATCTGAAATTTACAGGTCAATTTCGTTGGTTTGTTTATAACCGGATGATCTTACTTAACTAGCACCACAATAAGCGACCCGAATGTTAGTCTTCACGTTGTCGTTCGACGCCCACAAAAAAAAAAAAAAAAAAAAAAAAAAAAAAAAAAAAAAAAAAAAAAAAAAAAAAGAAAAAAAAAAAAAAAAAATTTCAAAAATTCAAAATTAGGGAATATAAAAAGCAAATATTAATGAAATTTAATTATTAATATGAATTTAAAAAAATTATATTTTTTAAACTGTTTTTTTTAAGAATATATTCCTCAAAGAGAAAAAGGAACTCGTTTATAATTTTTTTTTAAAAAAAAAAAAAAAAAAAAAAAAAAAAAAAAAAATTCAAAAATTCAAAAATTAGGGAATATAAAAGCAAATATTAATGAAAATTTATTATTATATATGAATTTAAAAATTATATTTTAACTGTTTAAAATATATTCCTCAAAGAAGAAAAGGAACTCTTTATAAATTTTTTTTTTTACCTATTGTTTTTTTAGCAATTGAGTTTGAATGTGATAAATTAACTTAATATTTGGATTAATCTATCGTTGCAAACTGATCGTCACGCATGACGTTTGCGATGGGCTTCGGACGAAAAGTTCTATTATTTGAACTAATATTAATCATATTCTTAAATAATTATTTAACTTATAAAAATAAAAATAAAGAACATTATTAGTAAAATTGATATTAACATTAAATTAATTTGTAAATTAAAATAAAAAATAGAAAATAACACACAATTTTCCCTATCAACTTAGCATAATAAAATTTATTTGTTTTGTATTATTAAATAATATTTGAATTTTTATTAGTAAATCAATTTTTATTATTTGAAATCATATTAATGATATCATTAATTATTTAGTTAGTTGTTGAAAAAACTGGATTACATTTATATTATTAAATTAAAACTGAAAAATTTTATTAGTTAAAATAATATTTATTATTTTCATAATATTTATCACAGTTCTTTAACAAAATCATTATATTTTTCAAAGTTATAATAAATTAATGAAGTAAGTTTATCATATTACGTTTAATTTAATATTAATTTTTAAATTAAAATAATAATTATTAGTCGTATAAAGGAAAAATGTGAAAAAAATTACTATTTAATAACATAAATATAATAAAATATTTTAAAATAAACTATTTTTTAAAATAAGGATCATCATATTTAATATTATGAAAAAAATTGAAATATCTAATAATATTATTATTACTAACGTGAACTCAGCAACTTAAAACTTAATATTTTTCATATTATTAATTAATATAAATAATTTTATTAATTATTAAAAAATAATTGAAAGTTTTTATTATTTGAAGCAGATTTAACAAGGGATGAAGTTAAAAATACTCCATAGACCTATACCCAGACAAATTGAAGACGCCTAAAACCGTTGTTGTAGCGTCGGTCGCCGCTCCATGAGGGGTCATTTAATTTGCCACTAATCACAATAATGGTCCTTTATGAAATGGATAAGCAAATACTCGTTTTTGGTGACTCACTCTATTCTATTAAATTTGTCAGTTTTTTTTATTTTTTTAAAAATAATTTTTGACTTTTTTTACTATTCGGATTAGTTGTCACCTTAAAAATTAAAATTGCATTAATTAATTATGCATCAAAGCGAGGTCTAATATAATTATATTCAAAGAGGACTAAAAGTTATGTTTGCCTTGAGTCCCTTAATCATACATATAGTATAATTTATGATAACCTGAATGGATGCCGAGTAAAGAGCACTTACTCCGTAATCGTCATACTTTAAGTTATGAATTCAATCTTCCACAATAGAAATTCCAGACCAATCTCTTTGTTTCCGAAGGGTTGCAAGTATCAATAATTTATGACATCTAATAACTTATTTAGTGGTACAACTATGTCTACATATAATAATGATGGGTATGGCCAAACATACCTAGTTTTAAGCCAATTGATAACATGCCCACGTTCCTTGCCTTTCTATTTCACCTAAATTGTCGATTAAAAATGTCTAAGAATTAAATTTAATGGTGAAAGGCCGTAGAGGAACATACCAAGGGGCCTTGAAAAATTAAATATATATTTTATTTATTATTCATCTTTTATCTATGTGATTTAATTAAATCGACTATGTCATTTTATTTCTAAAATTTATATCTACTCATATCAAATTGAAAAAATATCTAACAGCGATTTTTTAAATATTATAAATAATTCAATTCAATTTTAGTTGCAATTCAAATGCAAATTAAATTCGTTTTAGCCAAAATTGAATAGTATTTCTTTTCTTTTTATTAAAAACCTTTTGATCAAAAACACTTTAGAGATTGGATTGGACAAAAGAAATTCCACCAGCTAATCAAATGTTCTAATTTAGCTGGCACACGTGGCATAACATGTCACACGTGGGACTGTAGAGGACGGTTACGTTTAACATCTTTGATACGCTTTTGGACCGTTAAGAGATTCTTCTCGAGCACGGTTTACTTCACATGGATACCGTGTGCCCATACACTTGACAACCTACGAACCGTAGATTTACTTGACAATCCAGTCAGAATGAGCAATCGAGTCAATTTTCCAACAACTACGGATTTACTTGGATCGAAGAAAAATATAACATAGAGTTCTAATAGTTTGACCAATTTGATAAGTTTAGAGGAAAATTTTATTATAGAATTCATAATATTATTTTGAATATATATCTATTTTAATAATTTTTCCCTTTACAAATTATAAAAAAATATATAATATTTTAATATTTTTAGAAACTGATATAAAATATTATGAATTATAAAAAAAAAAGAAAAAAATTATTACGTGCAATAATTTGAAATCATTAGGTGGTGGGATACAAGGCAATCAACACCCTGCCAATTTTGCTCGCTTAATTTTGAGATTTTTAAATATTTTTTTAGTGAAATTCTACTTTAACAGAAAAATAGTGTTTTAATTAAAATATTATACAACATCATCAAATATTTTCTATTAATATTTAAGTACTAGATATTCACTAAAATATATTTTTTCATTTAAATGATTAAGCGATATGAGATAATTATTCTAAGAAATATTAATATTTTAATTAATATTTGTAAAACATTCCAAAATTTTATTAGATATAAAAATATGTAAAATAATTATTTTATCATCAAAATCAATTAAATAACCAATTAATACTACGATTACTTATATATTTTATCAAAGAATATTTTCAAGTGAAAAATTCTAATATTAAAAAAAAAAAGGTAAACTTTCTTCTGGGTTTGTTAAAATTTTTATAAACTTAACAAAGTTTTAAAATTTTTAATTTTTTAAAAATAGATATACTAATTAATAATTTATTAAACAAAATTTTGTCACTTGCTAAATGTAAATATAATTTCACTATATAAAAAGAAGTTCAAGAAGTTGGGGGTATTTCTGAAAATGGGATGTTGGTCTAGTCTACTTTCAAATTTGAAAATTTGAAAACCAAGTGGAAAGAAGAAAAGAGAAGAAAGAAGAAGAACAAAAACACGTGGGAAGGAGCACGTGGCACGTTCATGCAAATTAACCACAACATAGCTGTACATAGGACACACATCACATGACGTTTCTTTCTTTCCATCGTAAGCAAAGGTTTTTTTTTCTTTTTTTTCCTTTCCTTTCCCTTCCCAATTCTCGTGCTAAGGAAACCAAGGAACACTGAAAGGAAAAAGAAAGCGCGTATATGTACGTGTTTACGTGTGAACACAAACAGCCAAATAACAGTCTTCCACGTGGACATTCGACTAGAAAGCCTATATATATACCGACTGAGGATAAGTTTCGTCTCACAGTCCAGCAGGCAAAAAAGCAGTTGCTCAACACAATCAAACACACCCAATTCTCTTTGAATCCAATTCAAGAAAGCAAGATAAAGAAAGAAAAATGCCAAGTGAAGGCACAGCTACTTGCATAGATATCCTCTTGGCTGTTATCTTGCCTCCTCTTGGCGTCTTCCTTAAGTTTGGTTGCAAGGTACGTAGTACTTCAGTTTCTTGAATTTCCGTTATGTATTTTTGCCTTTTGGTTTCCTCTGCTCATATTTTTCTTGGAGACTAGACAGCCCAAAAGCAAGAACAAGAAAAGGGTGTCTTTGGTTTTAATTCCTTGTTTGTGAATTATGTATAATTGTGTTGTAATAATATTGGAAAAAATTTTTGCAGGCGGAGTTTTGGATCTGTTTGCTTCTGACCATTTTGGGATATATTCCTGGGATTATCTATGCTGTCTATGCAATCACCAAGTGATCTTCCATCTACGGTAAGCTTCTGTCTCTCTCTTTTTTTATATAATTATTTACCAACTGAGAAATTCATAATTACTTATTTATCATACTCAAAAACTGACATGTGATTATTATTTTCTGCAAAAAAATTTGTTTGATCAATCGTAATCTATTATGTTTTATTTACTTTGTAATTAAGTATCTATGTTTTGAATGGTAATTTTATGACAATTATCTTTTTTGTTAACAAATCTTTTGCATCCAATTATACACATAAATGAATCAAATTATTGTTTCGTTTCTAAAAAAGTCTGTGGCATGTGCTTTCATGATTGAAAATGGAAATGAAAATGAAAATGAAAATGATGCATCACCAAGAATTGCTTTTATTACCTGATAGACAAGGAGGGTCCTCAATGATATGACCTGCACTTGTTTTTGTAGTCTAAGATAAGATTACGATGAATTATTATATTCTTAATAAGAAAGTTATGTTTTATTCCTAAACGTATTATATTTTTATTTTCTGGACAGGTGGAAAGCTACATAACCATTTGATTTGATGGAGGGGTCTGTTTTGGTGAAGTCAGATGTATCATTCTAATTGTGTGTGTGTGTTTACGTGTTTGTCTTCTATGAAGATTTCCATTTCATTTTTTAATTTTCTGTAGTTAAAAAAAAATTAGCCATTGAGTTGGGTTTGTGAGTAGAAACAATGGCTTGTCAATTATCATTTTAGTTTATCTTTGAACTTGAAATTTGTTTTAATTTTAAATGTGATTGTATAATTATTGTCTACCTATTTATCTTCTTGATTGTTCATTATTATTATGAAGCAAAAACAGCATATCCCCTGAGGATTCTGAATACATACATAGCTCGAATATTTTTTTTCCAGTTGCATAGAAAGTTAGCTTTGCATAAAAGCAGAACAAAACAACTGAGGAAGATGCTATGCATCCCTGTTTATAAACAACTTTATTCTCGTTAAAGCCAAATCCAATGGGTATATTTTTATCAACCAACTAAAATTGGCCTACGCTATTATTGATCTACTTTTTTCTTTTTATTTGTTGAAAGATATGATAAGCCGAAATAATATTGCAGTTACATATTGGAGATAGCTTTCTCTTGAGTTCATCGAACTAATGTAATAAAAAAAATTCGAATTCAAGACTTTTCACTCTTCAATTTCAATACCTGATTGATATTATTAATTTACTTTAATCAGTTGGCATAACAAAATTGCTTGCCCCTCGTAACTAATGTTTGAAAGCAAAACTGGCTGGTCCTAGTTTTGTCCTGCACATGGTTGTTCTTGTAGCACCATGTGATAGTATTTCAAATAGCCTGAAAATGACAGGTGATAAAAAGATAATGTTTTTTCTAATTAACAAGCTGTCTACATCCAGAAAGGATAAGGATTCACATAGTATATTACAAAATTGTTAGAAAGAACTCCTCCAGAAAATGCCATCATACAACAGAAAACACGTTTGGCAAAGAAAAAGAAAGGGGGAAAAGTGACATTTTTTAGAATCCAATTCGACTTCTTCATCCTTTAAACTGCCACTCTCTACGGCACATGGGACAATGTGCTTGAGAAGTCTGTGAATTCACCCATTTCAAGATGCAGTGAAGATGAAAGGCATGGTTGCATACACCCCAAACTACAAAAAAATGTCAAGAGGAAAATGATTAATGATCGTCATTAGTTCAAGTACCAATTTCACCTGATATTTCCTACTCAATATGTAACCACACCATCAGAATACAGAAAGCAAAGAGAAGTTTATCTCACCGACTAATTGAGAAGTAGACCACCTAACCCAAGAATTTGATTCTTGATCACAGAACTACACCACATTAAGTAAACAGAAAACCCAAAAATAGAAATTGATGTAACATTATCTTGCCCACAGAAGGGCCAAAAAACAGTGCATTCTGGTGATTTCATCTTCAAACATACAAAAATCTATGGATAATTGAGACAACAATCTTTCCCTACCCAACTTTCAACACATTCACACGCACATTTGACATTTGAGTAATTCATGTTTAAATTAGATGATTTAACAAACTGTAACTTGCTGCTGCTGGAACGATTGTATTATGAATAATTTTGGTAAAACACGAAATGTGTACAAGCACTTAACCAAAAATTGGTATAATCTCATAGCAGCTTCAAAGAAAAAAATTTTTTTTTTTTCAAATAAAAAAAAAAAAAAAAAAAAAAAAAAAAAAAAAAAAATAATTTTGGTTAAAACACGAAATGTGTACAAAGCACTTTTAACCAAAATGGTATAATCTTCATAGCAGCTTCAAGAAAAAAATTTTTTTAAAAAAAAAAAAAAAAAAAAAAAAAAAAAAAAAAAAAAAAGAGAGAGTACACATATAAGCAACAAAACATTCAATTTCTGAAGGTGAGACTAAAATTAAGAAATATGTTTCAATAATTTTTTCTCGTCTATACTTAGGTCTTTCACACAAAGGAACAGAATAGGCTTCCCCGATGTTGATGCATTCTAAATATGACAAGGTCTCTACACCAGGTTAGTATGTCAACAATCTTATTTGTCACTTCTTCTCGAGTAATTGTCAAAAATTTCAAATCCAAGATCTGAAATCTCAATGAATTCCCTCCTCTTCATTACCTAATACCTAACAAAAATGTGTCCCACGTGTCTGTTCACAAAAGAAACAATGGCAGCCAACAGCTAACTACATAACTCATCAACTTAATCATGTGAACCTGCCAGTCACACCAATATCCATATTACCAGTAGCTGAATGGAAACACCATGTTGTAGGGCAATGATGGACAACATGCTTCAAAACCACTTAAGTGGTTCTTGTTTGATTCAAGTGCTTGAAGTCAAATAGAAGTATTTTAAGGGCGTAAAGATATCAATTTAAGCAGAATACTTAGTTAGACCTACAGACTCTTCAATATACCTAAAATTACTTTTCAAGTCCTGAGATATTGCTTGACACAAGCGAAGTACAAATAATAGTTCATGTATGAAAAGTTAAATAGAAAAAAAAAGGACATAAGATGGACTCAGACAGCATAGCAGTAGCACATTTCTAAATCATAGACAGATGCAGAAATAAAATTTAAGAAACTCCTCATAACAATTAAGAACATTCACGACAGGAGAAGTATTGTGCAAATGGGAAATAATAGGAAATGGTTAGGGAGGTGTCAAGTAAGTGAAGCAGCAACTTACTTAATGGACAATCATCTCCAGGGAGTTTACAATCAGGACAACAGCCATCAAAAGCCATCCTACAGATCCCACATGTTTCATCTTGAGCATCCCACGTCCACGAAGCGACAGCATGCCACCTATGATTCACCACCAAAATAAAGAAAATACATCCCCAAATTATTTCAATATCCATAGTGAGAGATAAGCAAGACAAAACAGATTGGAAGCTAGAGGGCAAAGTCTGAAATTCTTCAACATATGAGAAGCATCATCTAGCCCAAACTTAAAAAAGCATACAAGTCTAAGTTCACACATTAAACCCTGCACCAGATGTTTAATTCCCAATTCACAATTTATGAAACAAAACAGATAGACAAAAGATAAAGAAGATATACTCTAGTTAGAAGCCATGGCGAACAGTCGGAAAGAAGATTGGTCAAGAGAAAACTGTTTCCTTGGAAAGTTCGGAATGCTAAATTGCAAACACATGAACTGAAATTCATATCTAAACATTGAAATCAACATAAGAGATATTCTCTCACAGTAACTGTACCAGTCGCTAAACCCACATGAGGAATCCTAAAAGCTAATAAAAAACATAATTTTCAGTAATTAAGAAACCAAAACAACATATTAAAAACTAAAATTGCATGAAGGATACGTAAAAGCTTGACTTTCATTGTCTTCTCCTGCAGACCCAACAAATGATGTTTTAGATAATTAAAAAAAGAACGTACAATGTATAATCACAAATAAAGATTATGAATTTATAAACCAAACTTAAAATTACAAACAGCTAATGATTTCTCAATAATGAAATGGGAATAGATGCTTATGGGACGAAAGATAGAAATCCAGACCACGAAAATGAGTCACTTCATATAAACTGGCATGGGATATAATAAGAAAAGCAATGCCATGAAATCAAGAAATCTAACCTCCGATTTTTTGGCGAAGCAGCTGGTAGATGTGATTGTGATTCAGCGTAATTTCAGGGAAAAATTAGAACTCAAAAAGGGGTTTTTGCTTTTGAAATTTGGGGTTTATTGATACTCTCTCTTGCCAATTAAGAGGGATTGGGCCTCAAATGGGCCTTCTAAGTATGGATTGGATTGAATAGTGACACTCCTAAGTAGAAACAAAAAATAGAATCCAAAATCAAAATTGAGTTCTTGCTTTGTCATTATTTTTTATTTTCAATAGATCCATAATTCTTTTTTATCAATTACAAATTTTATTTTAATAACTCAATTTATATTATTTTAAAAAATCAATTTATTTCGATTTATTTTTTTACTCAATTAGGAATTTTATTTTAACTCATTTATGAATCTTAAACATAATTAGAAACTTTTTTAAAACTCAATTATTAATCCTATATTCCTTATAAATGTGAGAGTAGAGAAAAATAATTAGATGGATAAAACTATTCTTAGTATATTATTATTATTATTATTATAAAAAAATAAAAAAATATTTAAACTTAATTAGAAGTCTTAATATTTTTATAAAATAAAAAATATTTTAACATTTAATGCCTTGCATTATATTCTAGTTATTAGAATTCACAAATATTGTAAGTTAATGAATCTTTTACCATTTAAAAAAAATCATTATATTCTATTTTGTTTAGAGTCCACAAATATCGTAAGTTAGTGAATCTTTTACCATTTAAAAAAAAAAAAAAAAAATGGTTGCTCACAATTTTTATTTCGTAAAAAAATAAATTACAAATATATAAAATGAGTAAAAAAATTATGTAACAATGATTTTTTTTTTTAAAAAAGAAAAATAGTTAAACTGAAAAATTGGCATGATTCATTTTTGTAATCAATGGCCACATATGAATATGCACCAATTGTTTCTAAAGATTAAAATAAAAAAGATACAAAAATATGATAATGTTTATACTTTTTATTCTTATAATATTCAATCATTTGATCTTTTAAATAAATAAATTATGATAGTTAAAAAAATAGTTAAGGAAAATTATGCTATTGGTATTTGAATTATTTAATTTTTACTATTTTAGTGTTTGATTGAGAAAAATTTACAATTGAGTATAAAAAATTTTATAAGAAGTTTAATAATAAACTATATATACAAAGGAAAAAAAAATACAATTTTATTTTGAAATATCCTATCAAATTGATACAGAGCACAATAAATTTGCCATCGGTCATTGTTCGCTTCACTTGGTGACTATTAATGGTCACCGTTTAAAGTCCAATGTGATTACCTTTAAATTGCAGAAATCGATGAGCACTGACATTTGCATCGAGATATGAATTTCATGCTTTCCGTCTAAGCGGCGCAAATCAGAGCAACAATAACTCCAATATATAGATAGCAATAACTCCAAACTTTGTCAAAATATACAAATATGAAGATTATTTTCTTAAAAAAAAACCATAAAGAAGAATAAGGGAACCATCAATGAGTTCTTAGTCACCAATGGCCGCCTGCAGAAGGAAAAAAGAAACTTTTGAGAAAGAAACAGTTTAGATTGAAATATCTAAATATTTTCTGATGCGGCTATCATTAATTATAATTATATAAATATTAAAATCGTTACCGAAATAATATTCACAAGAAGAGTGATATCGGCTTAAATTACTTATTTTATCATTATATTTATATATAAATTGAATTAAAATGTCAAAGTTTTTAATTTAATTTTATGAAAAATAATGCAAATTGATATTCTTCATTAATTACATATGATATTTATATATAATTAAACACTTTTATTATCTAATTTACTATGTTTATAAATAACTTATTTATATGTATAAATAAATTAAAAAAATGATAGAATAATACATTTGCGGCAACAAGCAGATTAGCTTGTTTTAAAATTTTTCTACAATTTAATCGACAATTTAATATTATGACTTACATAAAAATATTTAATGGGGATTGATTGATAAATGCTCATGTCTATGTCTCTTCTATGGATAAATTTTGGAAGGAAAAATAAAAAAGAAAAATCATAATATTTATAACTTATTATCAATTAAAAAGTAGTTTATTATGATGGGAAAGTGACTTTAATATGTGTTATGTTTCCAAAATCAAAATATTTTTTTGGGCCTTCATCTTGTCCTAAAAAAAAAAAAAAAAAAAAAAAAAAACAATAATAATAATAATAATAACAGATCATGCTACCAAGTTAAAAAAAAAAAAAAAAATAATAATAATAATAATAACAGATCATGCTACCAAGTTATGTTTCATTTTCACTGACCCAAAAGGCAATAGGTTTGGATTTCTGTCCCCTTAAATAGAATTCAATTAGGGTTAGCCAAAAATAGAAAGACAAACAAAACTCTTCAATGTCTAATAAGCAACAGTGAAGCATTTTAATTATACAAAATATTATGGTAATTTCACTGTTGGATTTCATTCCCTAAATAAAAGATACTTTCTTAGACTGAATTCGTACCGCCAACCAATAAAAATAAAAATTAATATTATTTCAGATATATTCTCGTTTCAATAAAAAGATTATTTTTATTAATTTGATCTATGGGTGATCTCAAGGACCCGATCTAGATAAATAAATCCCTCTTTGAATAAGCTAATATCTATCACATATGTAACTTAAAATATCAACTAATTTATATAAATTCTTACCAGCTCATAATTTTTTTCTTGTTTTAAATAAAATTCACCTAATTTATATCGTCTAAATGATTAATTAGACAACCAAGCCCCCGATTTTATCATATCCTATATTAAATGGTAAGTTACAATTTGATTTGATTAGAGCACTCCCTAAGAACCACAAATTAGACCATATTGCCCCTTAATTCATTTTTTGTCTTGCTTAAACATTACCATATTAGAAATTTTATTAAATAATTAAAAGGAATTCCCAATATTTGATTATCATGTTAAAAAAAAATATTAATAATACCACCAACCAAGAATTAACAAATTTGAAATCCTATGCAATTAATGTGATTATCTCTTTAAACACTATAAAAAGAGCATAGACTCAAGGGGAAAGAACACCCAAAATTCCATATTGTTTACCTTTGTTAGCTTTCTTGGCAACCAAACACCATGACAAGAAAGAAAGTGAAGCTTGCATTCATAACTAATGACTCTGCAAGAAAAGCAACATATAAGAAAAGGAAGAAGGGTTTAATGAAGAAGGTGAGTGAGCTAAGCACTCTCTGTGGGATTGATGCTTGTGCAATCATTTATAGCCCTTATGATTCCCAGCCAGAAGTTTGGCCCTCTCCTTCAGGGGTCCAACAAGTTCTTTCTCAATTCAAGAACATGCCTGAGATGGAGCAGAGCAAGAAAATGGTGACTCAAGAAAGCTTTACAAGGCAAAGAATATCCAAAATCAGTGAGCAGCTCAAGAAACAAAGAAAAGATAACCGCGAATTGGAGATGACTCAAGTCATGTTTCAAGGATTAGCTGGAAAGCTTAACCTTAGCAACTTGAACATGATGGATTTGAATGATCTTGGATGGTTGATTGATCAGTACTTGAAGGAGATTTACAAGAAGTTTGAAACAGCTAATAAGAACCCTAATGGTATCATTTCCCAAGTGGCTGCTCCAACTGCACCACCACCACTACCACCACCACCACCATCTGCGTTGGCTGGATCTAGCGATGGCCAGGTTGAGAGGCTGCAGAATAATAATTTTGAGATGATGAACAGTAATGCAGATCCCATGCAAAGGCAGCCATGGATTATGGATTGGATGAACCCACAAGAACAGATGGGGTTTGGTGGGGAAGAGATGATGATGCCTTTTGGGGAGAACATGAATCAAACTTCTTGGTCTAATGCTTTTTTCAATGACGAGGGAGGAAGATTTGCATAAGGGTTTTACATTGTTAAATTTGGTGCATTTTGATTTCGTTTGTTGTCCAATGTTCCTTTAAAATATTTGTTGCGTCTAAATAACTAAACCTTGATGGCTACATCAAGATTGTGGTGTTCTTACATCATATCCACATTGTTGTTTGAAACCACATATTTAATATTATGTACTTTCAAGTTAATGTTTTAAAGTTTATTCTATGATTGTTGTTACATTGTGTGTATTTACATCTTAACTCATAGCACTTCAAGAACATTTTCATATTTAGAAGATTGCACATTAACGATTAATTAGGTTTATGTTTTTTATCAGAAGGTTTCAAAATTTTTTTTTGAAACTAATATATTAAGATTTCATTAACCTACTTTAAATCAGTACAAGTAACATAAGGCGGATAGAACTTTGCTGAAGAACACTAGATATGGAACGAACTATCGGAACGAGCTATCACAGCTAAAATTAATATTTTAAAGTTTATTCTATGATAGTGATTACATTGTGTGTATATCTTAACTCTTAACATTTCAAGAATAGTTTCATATTTAGAAGATTTAATCACTTAACGATAATTAGGTTTATATTTTTATCAAAAGGTTTTTAATTTTTTCATATTAGGGTTTCGTTAGTCTATTTTGAAATAATACAAAATATATAGAATTCTACTAAAGATCGCCAAATATAAAACAGATTATCGGAACGAGTTGTCATAGTCAAAATTAATATTTTAAAATTTATTTTGCAATAGTGGTTACATTATGTTTAGAACAGTTTCGTGTTTAGAAGATTTAAGCACCTTAACGATTAATTAGGTTTATATTTTTTATTAAAAAGTTTCAAATTTTATTGAAGATAATATATTAGGGTTTTATTAATCTACTTCAAATAAGTGCAAATAACACGACGCGAGTAAAACTCTACTAAATATCATCAGATATGGAACGAATTGTCGGAACGAATTGTCGGAACGAGTTGTCATAACCAAAGTTAATATTTTAATTTTTTTTCTACGATAGTGATTACATTGTGTGTGTATCTTAACTCGTTACTTTTCAAAAATGTTTTCATATTTAGAAGATTTAAGCACCTTAATGATTAACTAAGTTTATATTTTTATCAAAAGATTTCAAATTTTTCTGAAAATAATATATTAGAGTTTCATTAATCAACCTAAAATCAGTATAAATAATACAAGACAAATAGAACTATGCTGAAAATCACCAGATATGGAATGAACTGTTGAAAATCACCAGATATGTAACGAACTATCGGAACGAGTTGTTAAAGCCAAAGTAAAGATGTCAAAATTATCATACTTAATAAAAAAAAAAAATCTTAACAAAAGATTAAATAGAATTTTGATGATCATGCAAAAAAATTATATTCCTTAATTTGAGTATTTGCCAAATCACAATCCATTAATGTTATTAATCATATTATTTTTCAATCCAAAGCAAAAAGGGATCTTTTAAAATACAGTTGTTCTACTAATTTATTAGGCTTTCTTCGGCGTTAAAGATTGAAAAGAAATTGGCAAAAAACTTTTACGATCTGTGGTCTGAACAGAGATTATATCTCCTCATTATACTAACAAAAGAAAAGAATAAAAAAAAAAAAGAAATATTGAAAAGAGATTTACCTTAGCCATTGCAAACCTTATTTGATGCTTAATTGCAGATTCAATGGATGTGAAAAGGCCATTTGGATAATTTATAGTTCATCATGTGCAAAAAAAGCACAAGAAAACTATTTAGGCAACAATCTAATTACTAATACATGATAATTATTTCGATACATACCAACAATTATGTATGTACATCATGAGTCATTATATTAATACATTATACATACGTATGGTATCTTTATAATAAAGTAGAACAATCTATTAATTAATTTCCGTAGGATACTAGTCCATTTTATTTATACCATGTAGAGGATTCCCATTCTACATATTCATGTCGAGAAATATAAATTTCTGCCTATGATTATACCATGAATCATCTAAAAAATCTCTTAAAATGGAATTTTCTTGGAAACAATTAAGGTAGGATTAATGTGGGGAACTAATCCATAAAATTTTCTTGGGAAAATTTTTTCTTAAAATGGAATTTTCTTGGGAAACAACATGGCTCATTAATCCTAGAGAGTTCAATTGTAATATTACATAATGATAATTTTATTTTATTGATTCAAAAGATCGAGACAAAGATATTTTGGGCATAATTAATTATTTTATCAGTAGTTAATTGTTTTAACAGCTGTCAGTAATTTTATTAATGTTTCATCAATGTTAAAGGGAATAATGTTTGATGATCCGTTTCCTCAAATTCTAAACGTTAAAATAAATATTATGCCGCTGAACACTAAACGTTACGTTAAAAGTTGTTACTGAACGTGATACAAATTGAAGTATAAATACATAAAAATTCAGATTAAATTATATATATATATAAAATTTGTTTTGTTCTGTGTTGTTTAACATTTGCCTATGCCTAAAAGGCACTAATTGCGAATCACAGGATGGGACAAAGCTTTTGAAACCAAATTGATTAAAGAAAAAAAAAAAATCTAAAATTATGGTTCATAGTTAAACCTAAATAAAAAAAAGAACATTTTGCAGTCAAAATGATTCATTTTTTGAATTCTGATACTTCTAGTCTAAACCCCATACTATATATACAATTGCGATTTGCATGGAAAGAAAAGAGTATATATATAGTTCCTATTGATGATAATGACATTATAACACTCCATCAAAGATTCTTCACATTCTGTTTTTCTCAAATATTTTAATTGTATTTCTAGAGAAGAAACATATAAATGGAGAATCATATTTTAGTTAATTAGTGTTTATTATATATGAGCTAACATGATAATCAGGTACGATCTGGTTGATCTTTCTACTTGCTTGGAAATAATAGATCTCAAGTTCGAGTTCTTTGGACCACACGGGTTTGCAAGTCTATTCCGCAAAATTAACTGTTAGCTATTTCAGTAGCATTTAACTGTTTGAATAACTTTTTATAAAATATTAAAAGTTAAACGTTACATAAGTTAACATTTAAAAACTAATTTAAACTCTATGTTTCAGAATACTATAAAAAAATAAAATTTAATATTTTGACAACTTAAAAAGCTGTCGCCGAATACATCAATTTAGCAACCATAAAAGGGAAGGATAATCATATTAATGTCTTTTCCTCATAATGAATAATCAACTTAACTAATTTCACTTTCTAATCACAAATCAACATCATTGTATGAAAAGTACTATATGCTTTAGAAAAAGCAATAGAGAGACTTGAAGCAAAGCTTTAGAATATAACCAAACAACAATTATTATCAACCTTTTAACTAAGGACCATTGATTATGTAGGTATCAACCATGACAGGCTACATATATTAGATACTGCATTAGCTGGTAAGCAAAGATATTTTTCTCATTTTTAGATATTAATTAAAAAAAGTGTAATCAAGAATCTCTTAATAAATTTTTTTTTTTTTGTTTATAAATAAAGCTTAACTATAATAATTATAGTAAAAGGCAAATGAAAATGTAAAATGAAGGAAAAAGGAAAAACCAAGAAATGAATGAAGAGAGAACCCTAATTTTTATATAGTGGAGTGGAAAGGAAAGGAAAATTTTGGAAGGTTTATAATGTTTCAATTGTTTAAGGAAGCACATGGTAGAACCCTTCAAAAGGGGCAAAAGGGATCTTCAAAAGAGCATATAACTTCTTTTTACTAATTTAGATGGTCACCATTTCTTACAGCTATCAAAAAAAAAAAAAAAAAAAAGTGGAAAGGAAAGGAAAATTTTGGAAGGTTTTATTAATGTTCAAATTGGTTTAAGGAAGCACATTGTCGTAGAACCTTCAAAAAGGGGGCAAAAGGGATCTTTCAAAAAGAGCTATATAACTTCCTTTTTTACAATTTAGATGGTCACCATTTCTTTACAGCTATCAAAAAAAAAAAAAAAAAAAAAAAAAAAAAAAAAAGACCAAAACAAGACCTTTTCTATTGCCTTTTGCCCTGGCATCAATAGTGCCTTCTTTCACTCTTTTGTTTTTGGCTCCTAATTTCAAAGTCAAGTGAAAGTATAGAATACCCAAACTTTGCTAATCTTGGCAAACATAATTTCTTTTGAGTAGTTTTTCGTAAAAAAACGACAATAGCTTTTTAAGTAACTTTTAGCGTTTTGACAAGTTAAATGTTAAGTTTTATAATATTCAGTAACATAACGTTTGAATTAGCTTTTGGAAATTAATGTAATATTTTATAAAAAGTTAACTCGTGTGACATTTTATAAAAATTAGCATTTAGCTGGTGAAAACGCTACCTTAACCTTTGAAAGTTAGTTCAAACTTTGTGTTACTTAACACTATAAAAAATAGCATTTAATCAAAATGCTAAAAATTACTTAAAAATTATTATTGAACACAGTCTTAATAACTGGCAGACTTAATAGGGATTAAGTAGACTAAGAAAGTGCAACTTCTCAGAAGTGTGTATTATTCTTTGTTTGATTTCCATTATTAATTCAATTTCCGAAAAAATGATTCTAGAATTATCAACGTGGTACATGGTATTTGAAAAAAGAGAGAGCAGAAACATTTTTTTAGGTAAGAAAATTGAAAAAAAGAACAAAATATTTTAATTTGTTAGATAAATAATGAATTGTTAGAAATTACATTATTAGAAATAACAGCTAATGTGATATAATTTATGAAGAATATTAACCAATATGGCATGATTCTCTTAATCAGGGACCTTAAAACTTAAGGAAGCAATTTCTATCAGTGATTCTGTGATGCCTAGACCCTTAAAACTTTTAAGGAAGCAATTTCATCAGTGATTCTGTTGATTGCCTAATGGCTCTGAAATGATTACATTCCTCTATATTATTACATCAATGAATATATATTATATCATATATATATATTATATATATATATTTGAACTGTTGAACTGATACATCAATGAATATTAGTACTTGAGAACATATTATTCAGTATATTTGAAAAAAAAAAAAAACAATTAACCCTCACCAATGGTTTTCATTCAATTGATATGATAGATAAATTGAAATAAATACAATATTTTAATTAATTATATTGTTATTAAATTAATTAAAATATTCACTATTTTTAGCTTCTTTGGAACTGAAAATGATACCTCCAAATGCTAAACTTAGTGAA